AACGGCTGGTCGGATTGAGATGATTCTTGTTTTATATTAACGCCCACGCTCTCGCAAATAATCTAAAACAAACATCATCAAAATCCGTCCAGTGGTTTCGGAGGTAACAACGATTTTCATAGAACGGCTGGTCGGATTGAGATGATTCTTGTTTTATATTAACGCCCACGCTCTCGCAAATAATCTAAAACAAACATCATCAAATTCCGTGCAATGGTCTATGAACAGAGATTGTATGCAATTAAAATGTTATTTAACATATTAGCAGACATGGCAGAACGAGGCAGATGTGAGTTAGAGTGTATTTATTACGGAGCAGTAACAATGTAACGATATGTTGTACTGAAAACGGAAGGAAGTCAAATTACGAGTGTTAAAATTAATACACTTAAACAACAAGTACAATTGTTTAATGCTATATGTACAGAATATAAAAATACACAAAATACATGCGAAAAATTATTTACAAAATAGGTTTTATGTTCCTATCTCCACAAGCCAAGCAACAAATACAGTACATTTCTCGTGGTGCCGTTCTATGTAAAACAGCTTAGCTGGCAACTGGAGGATCAACGATCACCTCCTGTTCTGCCAACGCCTACGTCCTACAATTGCACTTCTGTCGATCAGTCGCACGAACGAAACCGCTACGTAACGAAAACGTAAACCTCCTGTAGTGACCGACTTCTTATGACAAGAACGCGATTGGTGTAATGGAAACAATTACTATTACTACCAATTGTACCAGTGATTGTTATACTGTACTTGTTGAATTGTAGCAAAAACACTTTTCATTCCGTTGTCCACCTTATTCATGCGAACTCTCTTACACTCTGCCATTTCGTCTGTATTATTTGGCACGTCTCACTATTCTTTAATACCACGAGACCGCCAATAAATTTATCTTATCTGGACCAATAACAGCCTTCTGGTTTTCCGTCTATCGAGAGATCCAAGTCGTTATCCGGCGCTCAATATTATTGTAGTGGTGATTATAATCTATCGCGACTCGACGCCATCTACAATTTCATCCTGGAATCCGTGCTACAGAGCGACTTCTATCAGAAGATTTGCTTGGCCAAAAGTGATCCCAAATATAAAGAAAAGGACCTGAGATTAATTACAGTGCCAGTGAAGCAAGGTTTACGGACATGCACCTACAACGCCTTCAACATTCAATGTACTCGACCACCGTTTTCAGCATGTTCATTTTGATTTGGTTATTCCTTTAGCCACATCTAACGGATTTACTAAAATATTTACAGCAGTGAACGGGTTTACCAGATGACCAATTACATGCCCAATGAAAGACATCTCAGCAGAAAATGTTGCTGCCGTGTTCCTTGATAGATGGATCTCTAATTTCGGCGTACCTTCTACAGTTATTTATGATAGAGGTTCACAACTTCAATCGCAACTGTTCGATTAATTTACGCACACTTTGGGAATCGATCACATCACTACGACAGCATACCATCCAGCACCAAATGGACAAGTGGGACGACTTCACAGACAACTCAAAAGCTCACTGATGGTACAGCTGGATGTAATCAGACAGAGTGAATCCCTACCTCTAATTTTATTGAGCATACACTACAATTAAGGAAGACTTTCAAAGCACACCTGCACAGCTAGTTTATGGAACTAATTTAACCTCACCTGGTCAGCTAGTAATGAATAAGAGCACATATGTATGTACGGAAACCGTTTCCTTTTGTGAGAGACTAATGAGTCACATGAATAATACTAAGCTTCTTGCACCTCGACCAGTTTTCTTGAAGAAGTAAATTAACAAACACTTGAATACATGTAAATTTGTATTCGTTCGTGCTGACTCAGTAAGACGTCCTTTACAACACCCTTATGAAGTAGTGAAGAGGCAAGCAAAATATTTCACAATCAAGTAGAATAGAAAACAGAGACAGTTTCAGTCGACAGGATAAAACCTGCTTTCGCAGAGTCTGAAACACATGACAGCCGAAAGCCGTCTAAAGACAGCAGAAGTTTCACAACACAGCTTCCTGCGTTTCCAGATGATTCTTCACTTACTTCTGGGAATTCAACTCTTCTTACAGTTGATGATGCTAATGTTACACCTCCCACAAATTCAGTTTCAAATTTTACCACTTTACCTATTTTGAAAACAACTAGTAAAGGAAGAAACGTACATATTCCTAAACGTTATGCAGAATTCATTACTTAATCTTCATTCATTGATCATTATTAATAACACTATTATTCTTATTATGCATCCCATTATCATTGTTAAAATTTCTATGTACATTAAAAATAATAAGCACAGATTACTTTTATCACGCCGAGCATTTTCGTTCGCTTCCCACTTACAGTACTGAATCAAACAGCTTGACCCAGATAGCAATCTAACGCTTTCAACGAAACAGTCTTCGAGACTGTAATGGTTTTTGCGGATTTCATCAAACCTTATGATCTCTATCCTTGGTAGGTCTAAAGATTTATATATCATTGTTATACAGTCTTTTACAGGAGAAAAATCAACTGCACAGGAGGCAGATGTAGACTCGTACATCACTTTGTCAGCCACGGCTTGACTATAATGTTCTCTTCCTCTTTGACGTAGACTCTTTAACTCAATTTCTCTTTCTGTCTGAGCTAAGCGTACTTTAGCTAACTAAAACTGTAACAAGGGTGGCCGTCTCTTCCGAACCGGTCATCAATATTGAGTTCCTGGATAGTGGGAATAAGATTAATCTTATGGTGTTTCTCCGTAGATATTTAACAGCACTCGACGCATGAATTTCTATAGAGTTACTGGACTAAACTTTGTAGGATTTAATTTGTCCTACAGACATTCTACCAGAACTGTAACTGTGATACTGACGACCCAGAGTCTATGTGAAAGGTATAGTTAGAACAAAGACAACTTAGCCTTAAACTTTATCTGTTTCTAAACTTAAAAATAACAGTTTGATTAGTACAATAACTAAATGAATTATAGTCATTAAGTGGAACGCACAAACATACCGACCAGTATTGCCTGTCTTATTGAGAAGAATAAAAATAATGAGTCACACCAATATAACAGGTCAATAATATCCTTTAATTAGCAGGTTACATGCAACAGGGATAGTCTACAGATACATCAGTCTACATCGATGTGACGGGCGTTTAAGTAAGGATTTGATTCGTTAGTTATGGACATAAATAACAATAGTTATCATCGGTTCCAGTGTCAGTAACCATGAAAGTCACAGTGCGCGGTATGCATTTCTTGTGTTTGCTTATCTTGGCTGAAAAAGTAGCGAACATTCATACACAACATAAAAATGGGGGACACTAGGTAATAACAGTTTGTTCAGTAACAGGAAAAGTTGTCGAATTCGGTTGTTATTTGTGGCATAATCAATATGTCAATATATACGTGTATGTACAACATAATGGATAATTTAGTATACATTGTTAAGTAATATCTTATCTGCCATCAGGTTTTCGTCGAGTTGAATCATAAGCACGAATCAATTGAGATTGACTGACTGCACCATGTTCTTCTTGAGAAAATGCATAACCATCTATACAGAAACGAAATAAAACAAGACAATAATGTAATTAGCTCCAAATAAATTGAATGAAGTCAAAGATTAACTCAACGGCTAAGTGTATTTGATTGTGATACTGAGTCACGTGAGTTCGAATACTATGGTGAGAGTAGTGATCTTCTTCAAGACTATATGTTCATTATCCAGATGGGTATCACTTATCATGAAACATATACCCACAGCTGTATTAATATGTTGTGTTTTATCCTGAGTGGAAAACTATCGATTTTGTCAGTGATTTCAGCGTGTTATCAGTAGCCATTAGAATATCAATAGATTTATAAATCTTTATTCATATCATGAGCCTTTTAGAGAGTGTTATATCGTGTAAGTGTGTGCGTGCGTATGCCCTATTTGATATATGGACGCCCAATAAGAGAGAAGTGAATGTATTGATCGCCCAATGATGCACGAAATCGTACGAGCAGTCTTGAGCGCGTATCGGCCCTGCTTTCTGTCTAGCCCAGCAAGTTAAGTCCAGAACACAAATAACAGCCTCGGCAATATAAATCATTATTCACAAACATACTGGGTTTATATACAAACCAAACAGACCATATCGTACCAAAAAATAGAAAATAACATTTGTACAATAATTGGCCAAATGTGGCTGTGAATAGGGGGAAAAGTAATCAATAAACTGATGATAACTCAAGGATCGTATGATAATAGGTCAAAGGTCAAAATAAAGCTAGTGATACAACAATTATACAATAGGAAATATACATATTACATTGATCCATAAATAGTCCTCAAAAGTTATCATTCATAATTCACCAGGGGATATAACAGAGAGTTTTCGGGACCCAAGATCCCATAAAATATCGATCGAAGGGAGTTTGAGTCTCACGATTAGCACGTTAACAAAACGTCCAGTCGGGGTCCTATGGTCCCCATATCCATTTGTCCGGTAAATGCGCGATGATAGACGAACGTTGTCAACACAAACACACTTAGTAACGTATAGGTAAAGTCATCGCAACGAGATTCAAAACACTTCATTATACTCACTTGATGTTGTTTACTTTTTTTAATTTTATACTTGTATCTTCGCATTGTTATTTAGGACCACAATTGATCAGTCTCATGTTGGCATATGTGCGGACTGCCTCGATGTTGCCAGAAGCTTCATAAGCAAAGATGGATGCCTATATGCCAATCGTTAATTGATATTTATAGTTACACAAAAATAAGTTAGACATGTGATGAATAGGATAAGAAGTGCACACATATGCGCTCATAGAAAAACAGTCAAGGTTAATAAACGAATAATTACCAAGGTCGAAATGTGACCTAAGGAGAATGAATAAATTGGCTTGTCAAGAAATGCAGGCTTAACATGGTAACCGACACTACACATGATCATTAAATAAATTGAACTTACGATCTGTTTGCCGAGAATCTGTTATGGGTGTCGGTGATGTTGTATTTGTACGTACACTAGCACCAAGACAAAGATTAAGCAATGCCTGTGAACCCATACTTCTACGCATAATCCGCACAAACGCAGAACGATCAGTAGATCTGTAATAAATTACATTTATATTAATATTTATGTTTAAAAATATTTAGAAATTCAAAATAATAACAAATGACAGAACAATTCAATGGAAATAATACCCCTATGAAATTCAGAGAGAACACACGATCAGGTTATAAGAAATACTTGAGTGTGACGGATAGGTAGAATAACGAATATAACCACAGTACTATTTTATTCATCAAAGTGAAGAACAATTAACAACATTCATTTTAAAATTCTGTGAAGAGAAAACGACACAAGAAACTTTGAATCACACATTGTGAAAATATATAAACCTACGTGAAATATATGCCTATCACAATTTAACAAAGACTATGTTTGCTTGTGATATGGAAAAGAAACAGAAATGTTTTTAAACTTTCATGAAATAGTTGGTTGGGAAACTGGACACTGATGATTGATTAGTAAACAAAATATAATTATTTGCGTTTAGGAAATTGTTTATTTGTGATAACTACCTGTCACAAAAATGATGACAACAAAACCTCAATCAGTCAGTGAATACACATGTATATATCAAGTATATACTACGTACAAGTTCATGTATTTATCTTATGAGCGTATTGTTATGACGTATGAAATCGTAAGAAATATGGACGTGCAATTGGAGAGGAATGAATTTATTGATCGGCCGCAAATGATGATTGAAGTTGTACGAGCAGTCTTGATTGCGTATCGACCCTGCTATCTGCCTAGCCCAGCCCGTTAAGTTCAGAACACAAACAACAGCCTCAGCAATATGAATCATTATTTACAAGCATACTGGGTTATATATACTAACCAAACAGACCACATATATCAAAAATAGAAAAATAACATTTGTACAATAATTGGCCAATGTGGCTGTAGCTAGGGGGAAAGTAAATAATAATAATAGTTCCAAGGTAAAAATAAAGGTTATCATAAGAGGAACACAGAAACGATTAGGTCACTTATTTAACAACTATCCAATAGGGAATGGGCATATTGTATTTGTCCATAAATAGACCTCAGATTTAAGTCACTTATTTAACAACTATCCAATAGGAATAGGCGTATTACATTTGTCCATAAATGGACCTCAGATTTATGATTCATAATTCGCCAGGGGATACAACACGTATTATTTGTTTAAGATCATGAATCGACCAATGTTAGACCACCATTGAAAACGTGGAAGCACTAAATGGCCGTTTCGTCCTAGCATGAGAATTATTTGATGTTGTGTTTAACGGTTCGATTCGATTATGATAAACGCCTTTCACAGCATACTAAACCAACTATGCAGATGAGAAAAATAAAATAAGTAGTAGGAAGGTTTAATTGCTAAGTCGAATTACGGAGTACGGAAATCATAGGTATATACATGACTATTAATCTGACCCAGATGAAAACATATAGGCTGAAAGCTTAATTAAGTAATAAGTCGCTTAAAGTACATAAATCTCAATATAAAAATTTTCTCTATGAAACAACTATGTTATCAAGAGGTAGATTCGGCGACCTATTTGAACATCTTGGTTGCCTGTTCCTGATATCTAGATATTTCAACAAGTTATCTAATTTTGTTTGTTTTAACACATCATTATGGCTATTATTCACATAACCTATTCAGGTGCGTTCCTGTAAAGTGTATAACTTTTTGTTGTACAAGTTACAAAAGGTCTAATCAGAGATATCATGGTTGTTAGCAATATACAGGGAAAAGAATGTATATTATTTAGATGTCAATTAACTGGACTGTTAACATTGGCGACCACTCATTATTTATCGTCAGGACCAACCATGAAGTAAGAAACGGAAACTTGTTGAAATAATTTGTGCTGAGAATTCTATATTATACCAAAAATATAATATTGAATAAAGATAATAATAAATAAGATAAATTTACACTAGAATGAATAATCAGGGTGCTGCTAAACACACATATGTTACAATAATACAACATTGTATTTACACTTATTCATTAACTAATATCTTAAAATCCAACAGTTTAGCTCAGTACATATCACTTGGTAACTAATCTACTGATATTACGAAACGCTATAATTTTAGTTCGATTACTCATATCACACCCACATATATATAGTGATCGACATTGTTACTGTTATATTAAGAACTTGAATTTTTGAGCACTTGAACCCTCTGAGTTGCAAATTAGAAGACGAGTAGAAAGAAGTCTTATTCCAACCAGTCGAATATGGTACAAAACACTCGGGCATTTATAGTTCACATAGGTAAACTCGCATCTAATGGGGTTTAAAACCCTTTGCTTGGTTGGTTTGATTCCTTCCTCAGCAACCAACATCAAATAGTTAAAGTTAACTCCTCACTGTCGAACGCTGTCCTTGTTAGATGTGGTGTAATACAAGTTAGTGTCTTAGGCCCTTTGCTCTTCTCGGTGTTTATCCATGATATTTGTGAATGACTTTGTGTGGATAACTCCCTTCTGTATGCAGATGATCTCAAAGTAATGTATTCATTTTCTCCACACGAGCTGAACAATATTCAAAGATGCATTAGCATGGAGCTTAACAAGGTAGCACAGTGGTGCTTAAAATGGCAGCTGGAGCTTAATACAGCTAAATGTGGATGGATATGCTTTGATGATACACTTTCAACTTAGTTCTTACCATAAATTGTGAAGTTTTATCTAGGTTACATACAGTAGTAGACTTAAGACATATGTACTCCTACGACTTGTCGTTTGCAGAACAAATATTAAAACAGACTTCCAAGTCTCAACGTCTTATAGGTTACATAACTAAAAACCTTTTTAACAATGAATCACGTATTTTAATGTGCAAAGTTTGTGTTTGACCACTTCTAGAATACTGCACGTTTATTCTTAGTAGTGTGCGCATAAAGGATAAATTAAGGCTGGAATCAGAACGGAGACGATTTACACTTCGTATTTTTGGAACTGATTGTAACTTGACTTATAATCCTAGATGTAATAAATTTGCGCTCGACCTTTTATGGATGAGGAGACTCCAACTAAATCTTATCTTTTTCTTCAAAATACTTAATAAACTATTTTTTACATCCACTCAAGCAATTCAATATGCAGAGACTTCTCATTACGAAATTGGTAACTGCTTGTCACTAGCGAAACAAACACAGTCTAAATCATCTCTCTATATGAATTACTTTACCTGTAAGTTTTTTTAAATTCTGGAATAATCTACTACAATCTATCCGTACGATAAAATCACTCCAATTGTCCGTTCGCTGCATTAATGCATATTGCTCCTCTGAAAATGCATTAAATATTTTAGCGCTTGTAAGTGTATCTTACTCCACAAGTGAGATTATAGGAACTTCAAATGTTTAGCCAATCTTATTAGTGGATTCCTTAAATAAAACCACTTACCTGCTGTCACTTTACGTTAACAATTTTCCTAGCAACTTCAACTTATTTGAATAATATCTAACCTAAACAGTGGTAAACCTGACTGACATATTTTGGTAATCATTATTTTGTTGTTCCGCGCTCTCTCTTTTCATTTTACTTTCTCAAGTTGTAGATAATTATGAATAATTCGTTCTGGCACAGGAAATAACCTTAAATAACACTATTCATAAATCAACAGGCTTAAGAAGAAATTAAAAGTTCCCTGCTGATGCATTGGATTGCTGTAATATATGTCATAAATGCACTACCTAAACAATTACTGGACTAGCAAACTTAAAACAATCATTAGATCACATGATTGTTCTTTACATTCAATGTTATATATATATATATATATATATATTATATATATATATATATATATATATATATATATATATGCTCGAACACAGGGAGAGAAAAACAAGAAAAATAAAATTAGTACTGATCGATGGGTCGTGAATGAGCACTACTGAGGAGTCCATACTGGGAAACGGCCGTCTAGCGCTTCCAAGGTTTCAGTGTTAGTCTAAACTACGTCGGTCCACGGTTTTAATGGAGTTCAACAATCTCTACAACTTACTGACCTTCTATCAGGATTAAGCAACAGATTTTGTAGAATTGGACTTAAGCAAGTAATGAAATTCAGGACATATGTTTTTAGCTAAATAACGCTCTTCATAAATTGGATGTATCTGCATCTTAGCTCTGATGTTCAAACTGAGACTCGAGTCTAGTACTTTTATTTATTTTTGAAAGCTTACACATTATGAGATCAGCTATTCAACCCAGATATTCACCAGCATGTTCAACAAGTGCAGTATCTATATTATAATCTAGGTATTGATGTATTCAGGACTGAGTTCTGATGATTCTTTGTTGGTATATGCGTATCGTGGGCGGATCCTTCCGATATAATCATTTTGCAATAGGTTTTAGCAAAAGCTTTAAAGACAAGAAATCAGAACTCTCATCAATTATCATAGAGCTACGTGACTTCAAAATATATTGAGAATTATTAAAAGTTTATTAAACAACTCTTCAGTTACCTACAGTCAACCAACATCAAGTACAAAAAATGTACAGTTATTTGAAAGAGTTAACTAATTACAGAATAGAACTTAATGAGTATACTTTATAGAATAGATATTATGAGAGATCATAACTAATATCCCATTAAACAATATCAGTGTTTATACTATTTTATCCGAGAAACATCCTAACTTGAATTCATAACTACTAGATATAATCCACATCGCAAAACACATATATATACATGTATATATATGATCAATAAAATCAAGTGAAAAAAGAGATACATATATATAAAGAGACAATTTACAAACAACTTACTTTGGACGAATACTGGCACGAATCAAACGACCTGGATCAACTTGCATTTGTTCCATTTGCATAACTTGTTCACGTAATGAACCAGCTGTAACACGTTTAGCCCTATAAATGAAATAGGTTATGGACAGACGGTAATTAGATGAAAGATCATGAATACATGTAACACGTATAAAGACTAGATATTTGGATTAATCAAGAATTTAACATTGAATTTAGCCATAACGTGTTTTAATGCGCAAAACGTTTGCAATACCCCTGGGACTTTCGATCCTTAGCATCCTTTCGTTAATTAAAAAAAAAACAAATTGTTATGATTCCTATTATTACAACCCTGCTATTCCTATTGCTTAGTATTCCTGGACATCAATTCACTCGACAAGTCCCCAAATCAGAACTCGGTTGAACAGGAAAGAAATTATATTCCAAATAACAAGGGTAGATGGAAGTAAGAAGCACAATAAGAAATACGTTAGTAAATTCATAGCTTTTACATGAGAATATTCTAAAGTCTTCTCCAAGTATCAACTAGTGTTGATTGATTAAGAGATTTCATTTCATGCTCTAACTTGAACAATGTTTGTATTTTTCACCGGGGAACATTGGGTATATGTTACACTGACCTATTAATAACAGATAGGTGTGAAAAACTCCAGACGCTTGAAATGAAATACTTTGGTAAAAATCCTACTACAGTATGCAGTATTCATTACCTGAATGAACAGAAAAGTGGCCGAAAAATCCTCCGTACAACACATATCGACCACTGAAAACGTTGCAGATAACCTCAGTCATGTTTAGAAAGACAATTTTTAAAACTTGGAATTAAATTTCAAAAACTGATGTAGAGCACCGAGTATAAATCAATACCTTCATAGACAATAATTCAGCAACGTTAATATTGATGATGTGTCGTGTATGTAAGAAAAATGATACACAGCACTGACTCCGTTCAAATAGCTCAGCAATAATATATCACATCGCCAAACTAGGTTACCTCGCTTTGAATTCACTAAGAGGTATCAGTCCTCTCAAGATTGCAAATGCACCTTATTGAAAAGCGGCAAATAGCACGAAACTTACGTTCAGATTTTCCTACCAACCACGTTTGCTCATTCTGATCCGATGAGTGATGATGCGTAAAGTAGCAAGAAAAATTGTCGCTCAATAAACTTTTCTTTAGCGTACAAAGATACGTTCAAACAAATATTTGGTTTGATCAACAAATCGTTATTCACTTACATCATTCTACTCATTCCCTGATTGTTGTAAACGTAAAATAAAAAATAAGTGCAACTTGCTTTGATTCTATAGTCTCACTTAATCATAATGTTATTCTTAACACTTGATCAACCAACTATGCAGAGAAAGAAGACCAAGAAATCCAAAACTTAAATTAAGTTTCTAACTCATGAGTATTTATAGGTTAATAGATGTTCAGAGAAATTCGGCTCCTACTCATCGTATGGTCTTGAAGGAAAATGTGACTTATCAGAGGCTTTGTTAGGTATATCACAACCTACTCACTGTGTATTGTTGTTTGTATCTTGAAATTGTTTGAATGGATTCCTTCCAAACGTTTCATACAATAACAGTCAATGAATTCATGGAATTACATGCTACATCTTTCAGATTAACCAACCATCAGCAATCAAATATGCCTAAGAAGAATGTGAGTATATGCTACGTGTGAGGCGATTACTATTATTATTACTATGCCATATAGGACCGGTGAACGGAACAAAAGTCAGCAACACATCAGGACAAGATAAAAAAATTTCACTGCGCCCCAGCCCTATAAACTAGAGCGTACAGACTAGAATCGTTCGAGAAAATATATATCTTCCACAAACAGCCCAGAAGCACGAAAGAACAAGAACAAAACTCATATAATTGGGAAATATCACAAAATGGACTACTAAAAAGAGAAACGAGCTAATGACATTTCCTTTCCACGGGTAAATATAAATGAACGGTAAAAATACGCACATTTACCGCTCAGATGAGTGATTAGAATTTCCACAATAAAATTGCAAAAATTAGACGTTTACCAAGTGATTTCTGGGAACCTAACATCCCCAACAGCATTATAATTACAGCTCATAATTCAGAATGCTTTTAGCAGGAGCAATATTTTTTTCGTAAATTGATATACGTGAAAAATTTAAAAAGCCGTTGAAAACCGACTAACTTCAAATCTGCGGTAGTATTGACGATAGTAAAAGACTAAAACTCTGGAGGATACATTATGTAAAAAAGAAATTTGGCGTGAAGGAATAACTAATTCATAAAACTTTATACTACTTTTAGTTGGAAAATATCAGCGCGTGTAGACGCGCATAGATTCACATGCGAATCTAGCGACCCTACCACCTTGTGGCACAGAAAAAAACAGATGATACTTGCATTTTCCAAGCAATATCGCGTGTCAGTGCAATCATAGGTATCAGTAAAAAACCGAACCAGAAAATACCGCATCCATAAACGGCAGAATCCTAAACAATGCAAGGAAAAAAAGCAGAGAGAAGAAAATCACGTAAAATAAGTCATTTACTCATATACAATGCAAAATGTAACAGTAGAAAAGATCAGGTAAAAAAAACAGAAAAGGTATAAAAAGATTTCAGGACTCGGGTTCTAAAGCAAGACAAAGAATGAATACGCTGGCGCTATTGTAAACTATTCTGAGTTGTTGACGGGGTTTGTTTTCTGAGCTGGATGGTTAGATTGTAGAGCTTTCATCGTTCTTCTGAACGACATCATCAGCATAAACTTTAGGTGGAAGTGAAGTGTTCGAATTTCTCCACATATGGTTCTGAGTTATGCAACCGATTTTGAAGACAGTTCGTAATCAGCTCTGATTCGACTAGAAGTGTTTAACTAGAGAGCCTGTACAAGGTTAATGTGCTTTTTTAGTACGTCTTTTAATGATAGGCACTGCCAAAAAACGTCACGATCGACTGAGTCGAACGTCGCCCTAAGGTCAAGGAATGTAATTGTTGTCGGAAGTGGAAAAGTATGTTTATGTTCCAGAGTTTGTGGAAGGGTGAATATTTGATTTATACATTCACAACCAGGCCTGAAACCAGCATGGTTTTGTCGGATTTGCTCTTCACAGTACTACTTAGATGTAAAAGTATTGTTGAGACTAATCTTTTATACAATATATTAGTTAAACTGATTCCTCTGTGACTGTTACAAGAGGACTTTAGTCCTTTCTTATGAACTAGGGCGATCAGCTATCGAAATCAGTTAGATGCGATAAGTCCAGTCCCCGGATTTTTGCTAAGATTTCAGTTGATCTAACTGCTAAAACTGGACCACTATCCTTAAGAATTTCAGGAGCTAGTCTGTCGGGTCCTGCTACTCTCCCGCGCATTTTCAACCTCACTAAAAGTTGAGGGACTTACATCAGTTTGCCATTTGGGTTGCTTGGAGACAGTAGGTAACTGAAGACCAGTTGAACCGTTTCCTGAAGTGTCCTGCCGATCGGTTCAATCTCCTGGATTAGGAGTGAATAATAGTCCTCTTCTGTTTTCACCACCCATTACTGCTCACGATCATTACGTAGGCTTTTGATCAACTTACGCATAATGTCTCTGCTCCTCATCGCGTTCGGAGTCAGACGGGATGGGTTCCAAGCATTTGTTGAGTTCATTAGACGCCACTGAAATCCACTGATTTTTCTTAACCCTTTGGTTTAACTCACTAGTAAATATCATTGCTGTTTCCACAGCATTTCGGATATCATACCAAGTTACCTCGTGGTGGATATCACTTCCATGGTTTACTAGCTCCTTCTCTAGTTGTTCCTGAAATATATTTTTGACGTTTTCACCATTAAGTTGACTTCTAAGGGGTATTCTTGGTATGGCTTTTCTAAGACCAGGAAGGCGCAGACAAATACATCACCAAACTAGACAACGATTGGAGTCTAAACATGTGCTCCAGAATGAGAGACAGTTTACTATCGCATCTTTCTAACGATGACTGATGGCAATGTGGTCTATTTGAGTTCATCGATGAGTCGATTGAAGAGGTCGACACGTCAGACGATGTTCTTCCTTATGCTTAAAGTTGGTGTTTGCCAGGAATAGACGGTTATCTGAACACAGATGCAACAGACGGTTGTCATTATCTATTCACAAAACTGCGACACCGTAAGATCCGCCTATTTGCCTTTCGATTTGGCTTGGTCTATCTACTTGGGCATTAAAATCTCCCGCCACCATTGCTACATCAGTGCGTCTAGCTTTCATCCCAGCTGCAATCAGTGAGAGCGTAAGCAGAGTCAACGATGTGTGTTCCTATATTTTTGAGTTCTTACTGTCTTGCGTATTCGAACAGCGCACAAATGACTGTCTATTGAAATCTAGTCTAGAAGAGCACGTTCTACTTAAGGCTTTACCTACACCAGTGAGGCCACGAGAAGTAGCAGTGAGGATTTCGGATACAGGAGGGGTAAATTTTACCAGTTCTTTACATTGACAAGGTGAGGTCGAAGAATAAATGTACTTCGACCCCGAAAGCGCGTCTCGGAGAGTCAACATACATTGATGGTGCGAGATTCTAAGATAAGTAAAAAAGCAAAACAACCATGGGATATTAATGAAGAGAACCTACCATGCCAACCATATCTGATGCCAATGGTAAAGTTGGATAGACATGAGGATAGATAGTAAGAAATAAAAACCAACAACCGATACTACCCCATATTGCTAAATGTGATAACCATGTCCATGCGGTATGCTCTAGACCAGCTTTTAAACAAACCGTCACAACTACATACTGTAAAAATAAAAACAGTGTAAGAGAGAGAGGAAAAAAGTGAAAATTAAGTATAAAAACATTATTATAACAGGACGAAAACGAGACAACACATCAACAGAACTCAGATCTAGAACATGTGCTTCAGCCAACTAGTGCGTGTATTAGTTAAGTCGACAACCGACAATGAAGCAAGAACAGTGGTAAGAAATAAATAAGACACATCAAATACCTGTCAAACTATCTGCCAGTTTCTTATTTAGGATAACAACTAAACACTATTTACTCTCGCCCACACAACAGACATTTGGTTTTCCTGAAAAGTTTAAGAATGGGATTTTAAAACTTAACATACGTATATACACGCTATTAATTTATGTCTTTAATGACATGTTATGAAGTTCCATCTCTCAGGCGGAAGAATGAATACATAAATTCAAATTATTTCAGTAAACACAGAAATTCACAAAAATCGCTGATGCTTCTACTTGTTTAAAGAGTTTGTGATTTGATTACAGTCGTCGAATTGCTCTAAACCCAGTAGTGGCGTACGAATCCCCACCTCACTTCGAAAATTGGATCCAGACTTACTTTTCACGAAGCAAAGGTGATAGACTGATCCAATTAGACAGATCAATTTAGCACCAAATGATAAATGAACTGCTTACAGATGAACGGGCTTGTGCATGTTTTAGATTCAAGATGGCCAATAAATGCCTCCTACTGACTCAATTTTCCCACTCAAGTAAAAATTAGATTTGTGTGTAAGTGGCGTATATAATAGTGCATCTGACTAGGCTGACTACACAACATAACAAAAAGACTATTAAAATGAGTGATGAATGTTCAACTTCTTTGTAGTTCATTTGAACTGGGTAAGAAAAGATAAAAGTTTTAACTGTACAACATTGTTTAGCGATCCTAAACGATATTCCGAAACACGTAAAAGTTTGTTCATAGAATGAGAGAATAAAAAGCTCAGGGTTGTTTGTAGCTAAGACAGATCATATTATTTTTTACTACTTTAGTCGATCTCATATCCGATGACGTTAGTATATAATACTCATATCACCTAAATATCGACACGTTATTATTGAAGCTTAGAGATAGAGGAATTCTGGGTGGATTAATAAGCGATAGCATATTACAATTCGCTAATGATTAGCCGGTATCAATAACATTAAACCGATCTAGGTACAGTAAATAAAGATCATATCAAATTATTACCATTATTATACAAACTACTGTCAACTTTAGACGGCACCATCTCCAACAAAAAAAATAAGTATAGATTTGTGGAGACTAGAATTTTCACAGTTCAAACCACGGAGTGGTTCAAGTTAGACTCTGATTAAAACCTGGAAGCACTGGACGACCGTTTCGTCCTAGTATGAGACTCCTCGGCAGTGAGGATCACGACCCCACCCATATGCGGAAATAAGAGCCAGGACATTCTGTCTCACGCGTGAACACTGGTGGCTGAAGGTTTATTTATTTATTTAATTGAACACATACACATTGGTACAAGAATGCATCAAATATATATGCGTCCCACAAATTATTTGGTTTGTGTGAGGTTTGGGATGGAACTGAAGCATAGTTTTCTTAGGGGGCCACACTCGGAGCCTTTGACCTAAGCATCGTAAGGAAATGCAGTCCCATGGTAGCCGGTGACCAACAATAGGTTCGTACGCCGCTTGTTCCCCAGGATCCTGGAGCCCATATTCACCATTGGTTCGGAATCAGGGTTTTCCAATTCCCCTAGCTAAACCCTTTATATCCACCAACCCGGTTAAAGCTTCGGACATTCACTTTTCGTCCTCTCAAGTTGTAGACAACACCCATGCCGCAAGAAGGTAGTGAGTAAAACTTTCCTGTAAGTGTTTGTATGCACGTGGTTATGTGAGAGCATTTCGAGAGGGAGAGCGGACTCTTCTCACTCTCGGTCGTACCAGGGCATTTGGGGACGTTGGCTGAAAGTCCAATGTATTAATCAATACACTGGCATACAACGGTGTTACTGTCTAAACTTTATGTCTAAACTCAATAAATCCACAACATTGCACAGAGTAATGGAAGCACATTGCTGACGAATCCCATGCTAGAACGAAACGGAAATCTAATGCTCCTAGGTTTTCAATGATGATCTAGTTAAAACCAGTTCATGGTTTAAACTGTGCGCGAAAAAGGTATCAAAATATTAGTTCTTTGACAAATGAACAGACATGTAACAAATTTCTCCAAGTAGTTATATATTTTACGATCTGAGAACTTTCACAATATTCTGTTCTACACTGTACTTCAGTGCATGTGAAGAACGTATAATTTGTTTTTAAATTTAATAAACTCATTTACCAGGTAATTGCGTATAAGACACACTCCAAGTATGAGGGCTAATGTACTACCCATTTGCTTAAAGCGAAATAAGTGGAGTGGGGTTTGAACCAGGGATTCAGTGTTTAGAAGATGAACGAATTAACCACTAAGCCAACGCTCCACATGAATAGATGAACTTAGTGTATGAAAGAGGGAAATCTGTCATCGAGTGATCTACTCTCATAGGAATAAGGGTTTTTTTAGTCAGTTAGTTATATACAATGTAGAACCTGATACATACGTGCGTCGGCCAAATTTAACACATCATACTATCATAGTGAAATGAAAACATCAAGACGAATATCATAATAATACAAATAGTAACAACACGTGTCAGAAGAGAATGAAATGTAGATGAAAGAAGGTAGACAGAGTGTAGGGAGACTCTGTGATTCAGGATGTAAACGAAGACAAAGACTGAGTACACGTGCGACATTGCGTAAGATGTTGAGCCATGTCACATATAGTCGCTAACTATTGGTTGCAATAGTCGCGTGTCACCCAACCAGATAGTTTGCACGGATTAGTACCGTGTTTTCGTCCGCCCGTCCTAAATTTTTTTCCAATCTATTCTTACACCAAACAACATCGTCCATGCATGCGTAACAGATTTCCTATTGACTGATCATCATATAGCAACTAAGCAATTTCAAGCTTGTCTAATCCTCCTCGATATGTTGTTGGATATTTATCCGTCGAGTTATACTGAGATACTAATATTTAATCGACTCAACAATATCGATCGCACATTTTGATGTTTAGCTTGTTTCTCAATAAATCACTTAATGAACATCAGTTCGCACTAAGATTATCCACATATAAATTTTAAAGAGAGATCAATTAAATCCCTCCACTGGTGACAGGAAAAGTTATTTCTAACGAGAAGTTTTTTGAATGTTAGATGTTTTTTGAAAAGTGTTAATTTATTGAGTATTCGCTTGCAAATGGTATTTCGGACAGTGGGATAAATCAGTCAGTCAGTCAGCTACAACGTAGGACCAGGCACATATATGCATCGGTCCAAGTTGCCATACCTCTTTAGCACAACAAGATGAACACCGGATTCATAGAAGCAATTAATTTAGTGATGGTAGTATATAAAGAAAGATTGTATAGAAGGATATAGTACAGGAAGGAAGAGAGATATGAAGCAATTTTAATCTCAAGGTTTAAGGGAAGATAAAGAGTGTATACACCTACGCCATTGTGATCGATTCTGAGCCATGTCACCTAGAGTCTCCAACCATTTATTACGATAGTCACGCGGACCCCAACCAGGTAGTCTGCATCTGCCAACATGGCTCAGGCTAGAAGTTAGTGACTTCAAACACTGATGCCATGTTTTGGTTTGGCCGCCCCTAACTCTCTTCCAACCGTCCCCAATACTAGTCATCATAGCGCGTCGTGGTAATCGGTGTTCAGGCATACGTAACACATGGCCCAACCATCTCAGTCGATGAAGATTTATCACCTCATCAACTGATTTACCATCGTTACCTAATACCCTGCGTCTAACCTCACTATTACTTACTCGGTGATCCCAGCAGATGCGAGCAATATTTCTAAGGCATCTGTGGTCAAATACTAGTAACCTACGAGTATCTTCTACTCTTAATGGCCATGTTTCGCAGCCGTAAAGTAGAACAGAGCGAACTGCTGCGCAGTATACTCGTCCCTTAATTGATAGACGGATATCTCGTCTTCGCCATAGGTGACGTAAGTTGGCAAAAGCCAAACGAGCTTTTTGAATCCGTGCTGAGATTTCGTCAGACACCAACCCATTAGGGCTGATCAGACTTCCAAGATAAGTGAAGTTGTCAACGCGTTCGACTACTTCACTCCCTATCCTTAGTTCGAGTGTTGACGTAGGCCAGTCCTGGAGTAACAATTTACATTTGGATGGGGAGAAACGCATCCCAAACATCCTGGCATTATTACTCAGTTCCAACAGAAGACTCTGCATTTTGTCAGCGTCTTCACCAAACAGGACTATGTCATCTGCGTATTCTAAGTCGCTTAGTGGTCCCCCTGGTAGGAGATCAATTCCTGTAGATTCAGTCGAAGAGAGTGTTATTTCCAGCAACAGGTCTATAATGAAGTTAAACAAAAATGGGGATAGTGGACAGCCTTGACGGACACCACTTGAGGTTGTAAAATCATATGACAGTTCGCCATAAGCTCTCACTCGACTAATAGTGTTCGAGTAAAGAGCCTTCAAAAGGTTTATGTACTTCTCAGGTACACCTTTCAATGACAGACACTGCCACAGAACCTCTCGGTCTACAGAGTCAAATGCTGCTTTCAAGTCAAGAAAAACTATCATTGTCGGACGCCGATAAGCATGTCTGTGCTCTAAAACTTGACGAATGGTGAATATGTGGTCGATACAGCCACGACCAGGTCTGAAGCCAGCCTGATTTTCTCGTGTTTGCAGTTCACGAGTTTTAGTTAGGCGCCTGATAATTATTGAGGCTAGTATTTTAGATACTATGTTAGTCAGACTAATCCCTCTATGGTTATCGCAGGATGATTTTGACCCCTTTTTATATATTGGGACAATCAGTGATTGTGACCAGTCGGATGGGATTACATCCGTCTCCCAGATTTTAGCCAGAATATTAGTCAACCTAATCGCTAAAATTGGACCACCATATTTAAAGACCTCTGGAGCCAATCCATCAGGACCAGCTGCTCTTCCTCGTTTCAGATTACCTATAGCCTTTTGAACTTCAAGTAGGGTCGGGGGGCCTACTTCAATGTTCCATTCAGGTTTTCTAGGAATAGTGGGTAGTTGTGCAGTAGCTGAAGGCCAGCTAAACTGCTCCTTAAAGTGTTCCGCCCATCGTTCTAAACGTTTGGGTAGAGAGCAGATAAGGGTTCCATCTTTTTCCGAGATCGTCTCACTTACACTTGACTTCTTAATTCCAGTTTCTTTTATTAGTCTGAATAGTTGCCTGGTGTTGCCTACAGCCGCTGCCTTTTCCATCTCTTTTGCTTTCGTTGCCCACCACTGCTCACGATCGTTCCTTAGACTTTTAGTTAACCTAGATCTAATTTCTTTACGCTCTTCGTCATGTTCAGAGCCTGATGGTATGAGTTTACGCGAATCCATCAGTGAAATAGACCTAGAAGAAATCCACTGGTTTTTTGGAGCCCTATGGTTTAAATGACTAATAGATGTTACTGCTGTCTCCACAGCTGTTCGTATGCCTTTCCAAGCAGCATCTGGGTCAGTCTCGTTTACAGAACTACCTAGATGTGAACTCAGTTGTCTCTGGAATTCACATTTGGCTTTCTCGTCCTCCAGTTCAATCCTAACGGGTCTTCTTAGTTTACTTTTCCTGCGTCCATTGAGGCGCAGACAAATGCGTGCTCGTATTAAAGCGTGATCAGAGTCTAAACAAGTATTCCAATACGAGCGACAATCTTCTATTGAGCCTCTCCAACGATGACTGATGACAATATGGTCTATTTGAGTCCATCGTTGGTTTGGTGCAGGTGGTCGCCATGTTAGACGATGTCTCTCCTTATGTTTAAAATTAGTGCTTGCTAAAAATAAACGATTGTCTGAGCATAGTTGCAACAGACGATCACCATTATCGGTTCGTTGAGCCGGAATACTAAAACACCCACCTAAATGTCTTTCTGTTTGATTTAAGCTGCCTACCTGGGCATTAAAGTCACCCGCTACGACTACTATGTCTGAGCGCTTAGCTTTCTGAAGAAGCTCAGAGAGCTTTCTGTAAAAGTCATCTTTCACCTCATCATGGCTGCAGTCAGTGGGAGCGTAGGCAGAAACGACGAAAAGGCAACGACGTGTGTCCCTATCCTTCCGAGTTCTTACGGAGCCATTTAGCCGGACAGCACACAGGCGACTGTCAACGGGGATCCATTCTAGTAGTGCCTGTTCTGCCCTTGTACTTAGTGCTATACCTACACCTGCAAGTCCACGAGAACTAGCCAACGGGTCGCCAGATACACGGAGGGTGTATTTCGTTGGCTGTCCATTTTGGCGAGGTGAGGTCAGGTGAATGACCACACTAGGATCCTGTATGCGTGTTTCGGAGACACAGCATACATCAATGGTACGCGACTCTAAGGTTTTAGCTAAGGAGGCCTGTTGACCGATTTGACTTAAAGTACGTACGTTGAAGGCTCCAATGTGTAGTTTGGAGCGAGGTTTTAGTAGACCTGGGACAGCGTTTCGCGCACTAGAATCGTTGGCCATGGTGACACTTGAGGAGGAAACCGAGAGAGGAAGTTTAGTGTTGAAAGTCAAGGTAGTAGGAATTGAAGAAGGAGATTGATTATGAATACAGTGGTCTTGAGTGTTGTTAGAGGTATGAGGGCAGTTATCACTTCCCGGTTGCCCACACCGTGGAAGGATTCTTCTAGAGGTACCTGAAAAGGAAATTGGGTTAGAAGTGGTCTTAATGACCGGAGAGCGTGACCGCAGTGCCCAAGGGACAACTGCTTGAGGTCGGTCACACACGACCTTTTTGTGGGTAGTTTTTGTGTTAGCTCCGTTCTTCAAAAAAAACCTTACCGCCGGAGACGGATATCCGTGGGATAAGGCGAGGTGTGCATTTTTAGGGTCGACCTTTTCTAACCCCACCCCTCCTTGTGGGAAGGCAGCATCGCTGTCATGCTGGTTGTCTGAAGGAAACACCTTACTGCTTTCACACCTCTGTACAGTCAGCAGTACGACTTCGCCTTCGGACCTTGGGTTTGCTGCTTTTAGTCTCACCGCTCTTCAATCGACCTGTCTGGCATGGTAGGACCTCGAGGAACGATTGTTCCAGCCAGCATAGCTCGATTGCTTCATCACGATAGGCAAGCCCGACCACCACGTCAAGGTAGCAGCAACGGTCGGGAGTGGGATAAATAGAACTATCAAAGACATTTTTAAAATTTCTTAATACAGTTAATTCACCTAGTAAATAAACAAAAGTTGTCGGACACGATGTACATTGTTCAACATAACAATATAGTTTGATAACCTTAGAGAAATGAGAATAACTAACTTACTGTATAAACACTATTGCCCAAGACTAACAAACTTGAAGTTTGACCATTTGCATAGACAGTACCTTGAATAAGGGACAGAAAAAGTGTATTCGTGTGTGTAATATGGTTTAATGATTGACTACATGAGTCAATTAAAGCTAGATCACCTGGAAAACCTGGAAGCACTGAATGGCCGTTTCGTCCTAGTATGGGACTTCTCTGCAGTGCACATCCGCGATCCCGATTGCGGGATTCGAACCGATGACCTACCGAATCCCACGAGCGGGATCTTCAATGTGCACTTCTGAGAAGTCCCATACTGGGACGAAACGGCCGTTCAGTGCTTCCAGGTTTTCCATGGTGGTCTAGCTTTAATTGACTCATGAATTCAACTGTTAAAATACTAAAATCTCTATAAAACCCTCTTCTGATAATAATATAATTTAGACATTTGACTGATACCGATATAAATAGAGTATGAACAGTAAACAGTTAAAGTCAAGATCGATGAATAATCTCTGTCTTTCACACACGCATGCAAGACAAACAAATAAACAAAAATATGATAGCATGAAAGTTGCCACCGAGGAATGAATGAAAGGGACAAGGCCTTGGAAACTGTCAAAACAATTTTTAATTACTATAAGAAAATGCTTTGAACTATCCTTTTTTGATATCCACGACTGCATTTTAATTAATTTTTGTTGACATATATGCATACTGTGTGGATTGTCTAGATATTGGCACTTCTCAAAATTTCTATAGAATAGATGGATTGTAGATAGCAGTGGGATCCACTGCGTGGATAACGAGTTGGAGGTTTGTAGAAAAAGTTATTAGGCTCAAGTCCTAATGTGGGCATCAACACTAGGATCCAGGCACATCAGGCTGATGTGTCTTAACTAGGGAGAAGCGTATCATATTAATTGTTTCATTCGATTGAATTTTTCTTTTTACAGTGGCGATGAATGGCATCTACAATCACAGGAAAAATTAAAGCCAGCGATAGCATTCAATGTCATGATTAGTGATAATACTTATCTCAATCAAGGGATAGTGATCCTCTATCCCATTACAACTCACTGGGAGATTTTGTGCATCCATTTGAAATGAGTTGGTATTGAGTAAACTGTAAATCCTTGCATAGTTCACAAACTGTAATTATATGCACAATTTTTGTGACAGTTATGAACAGAGAAGTACATGGAAATAAAGAAAATGTGATTCAATCTAGTTGTGCGGAATTGAGAAAGCATAGGACATACATGCTAACATGTTAACTACTAACCAATAGACTTAATAAATGAAAATTCTCTCTTTATTGATCTGCGTGTGTACTTCTTTGAGAACTTTTATAATTTATAGCTCACATATGAGCGCTTTTCATTCTCTAGTATTGCACTATAAACAAACATGCATAATGAATGAGTGAACAATTACTGAATAAAACAACCCAAGGTCGAAAACAGACAAATAAATTCAAAACTACAAACGAATGAAGTGGTGATTATTAGTATAAACCACTTTGAAATACGAACATAATACGCATCTAATTAGAATTCACTTAGTACTGTTTGTTTGGATCTTCCCATCGATGTGTTTAGGACTGCAACTGGTCAGTCTCTAATTGGCATATGTGCATACTGTGCGTATTGCGTATTGCAGGTACATCCAGCTGACGAGTCTCAAAATGGGACGAAACGCGCGTCCTGGATTCCACTGCTAGCCACTATCCATCTCTGCTTACCACGCATCTAATTAGTTTTAAGTTCATGTTTGGCATTACGATAAACAAAGCAATACGTGTTAGGTAGGAAGTGGTATGTTTTGTACAGATTTGGGTAAAATCAACACACAACAAGCTCGAGTTAATTAATTGGTCAATCAAATGCAGGTGAAACAAAAAAGAGTGATTTACTACAGAAAATTCGGGACAATAAGTATCTATATGTTTAAGAAACTATTAAGGTGATCACAAGAACAATCAAATTTTACCAGCAATGCTAAAATCTATTCAAAATCGACAAACACTCGCACGTTTCTTCTTATTTAACTTTCCGAATGACTCTACATTCCGACTGGCGGTCATTGTTTTTAGTTTGCTGAATTTCTGTAAGCATGAAGGTTATATTTTGTTACTGTAGATAGAACACTTATACCGAATCAACTTATATTGCTTGTCTCACCTCGAATAACAAAACCACCACAATTCATCTTTCGATGTTAGCCTTAGGTTGTTGATATGTGTTATGTGCAAACGGCCGTTGAGGATTTCGAAGAGAACTTAGTTCTATTAGAGTAGCTCAATCATTCGAAGTGTAATACATTCGAAACCTTATACTATCAACTTTTTGTGTCAATTGTCAAGTTGTCTTAATCTCACGCTGGTGTAAATTCCGATTTCTGTCAATTGATTTCGATTTTACATCCACGTGCATTCTATGTCTTTACTGAGTAGTCGGTACACTTTTCTTCTTATATCGATCTCTTCCACATAAACTCACTGACTACTACAAACACTTCCACATTAGAGAAGTTACCTTCAAGCCAGCCGAAAAACTACTAAAGGATGTACAATACAGTTCGTATATATGTAAATATCATAGCCTCGTACTCAACCCCAACAATAATATAAACTTACTAGGGATTGTAAAAGGCATTGTCAGTATTGAAATCAAATTGGAAACTCATTCATAAAATCAGATCATTCACAACCGTAGTTGCAGCATTAACTAAACCGAGCTATATGTTATGTCTCGTAGGTTGGGCGCTTTATTCACATCTTACGCTATTCGGATAACCCCCAGGCTAGCACTACTCAGCGACTTGAAGACCAGAGAGAAGACACGAGTAACAGAGGAAAACCTTTACTGCAAGGATCATCTTTGTACAGAAAATCGTAGGTATTTATAGATGTTTGCTTAAGTTGAATCAACATCCTAATTCAGCTAATCCAATTAACGACATAAATTGCTACTGACCAATAGTAGCATGCCACGTTGGAACTCCAGAATGTTCTGTCGTACTCTGATTGGTTGGGACTCTTTTTGAGCCTCTAGAGGCTCTGTTGGAGTTCGCTGGAAGCCGACTTAACACTATATTAACTTGGACACATGTTCCTTTGGGTGCTACAATACCAGGAACGTCTGTTGGGGAACAGTCAGACTAAAGGTAACGAAATTATGGTCCGAGGGCGTAGTCATACTGCTGACCACTAAGGTGTGATGTAAGTAAGACGTATTTCGTAGGCAAACAGCACCTGTAGTGATGCTGCCTTCTGATAACGCGAAGAAGGGAGTTAGAAAATGTCAGTCCTAAGGATGTCACTCTCATCTTACCCTACAGGTTTCTCAAAAGTTCAAACTTTTTGAAGTGTTGTGTGTGACCGGCCTCTAAGAGCTGTCTCTTGGGCTCTGAAACCACCACTAATTCAGCTTCCTTTTCAGGTTCTTTGAGGAGATATATCCCTCTGTGGTGTGGGTAACCGGGAAGTGACAACCGCCTTCATACCTCTATCAGCACCTGAGGTCATCTTGTTTACAACCAAATCCCTCCCTAACCTGTTAATTATTTTCCTATCCGTATGACTAACCCTACTCGCATATCTCTATCAACACCAATGATTTGAGTTCACGAAATGTTATTCCTGGTATCGTGTAACCATACTCAAAACTGCATGTTGGAGCTTTTAATGTTCGAACCTTGTGTCAGACAGGCGCATATATATTTGATGCATCCTTGCACCAAAGTGTATGTGTTCAAATAAATTAATAAATTAATGAGAGAAAATAAGGAAATAACCGATAGGTTATTGAAGGATGAAATTTATACCTCTTACATGGTGACCGAACAATTGTACGTACATCTCAGTCGTGTAAGGGGACAGTGGCCAGCCAAAAAGTTTGGTGGTTATAGCTTAGATAGCGTCCTACTTGATAGTTTGGGTTCAAATTCCAGAGATCGCATCGACTCCATCGAGATAGCGAATACACCATGCTAAAGACTGCCAAAAAGTACGAATTCTGGGCCGAACACGGTTTCCGAACCGCATATATCCTAATAACAAATATCTATCCATTACTGAATAATAATAATCCATGATCTGAACAAAGGAAAAACATTTCGCGATGTTGCCAGATCATTATTCTATGCTATTGACGGGTTTACTGTCTCACATTAGGTGTAGTTTCAACTACTTTGGTCACGACTTCTTAATAGATGGCCCTAAAAAATCAACTACAACAATGTTGTATTTCACTATATAATTTTTGATTTCTGGAATTACTTACCTACAGAAAAAGCCAATAATGGAATCCAAAATAGAAGAGACGAATGATAAATTGAATTGAAAATCCAACAGAAGAAAACCTAAACATTTATTGACAAAATGATAAAAGATTATATTTATTGCCTGAATTACTTTTTGAAGTAGTGAGATTGTTTTAATCGCCTAACAAGTATGGGTTTAAGAACTCGTCTTAAGCCAGACTCTAGATATAAGGGCTACTATCCAGAATGTTCAAAACAAAGAGGGTAGACTGGGATACAAACATGCAACTCACTAACTGGAATTCGAATGTTTCAGTCCTAATAAGTTTTAGTGATTAAAAATTAAGCCGATGTTTTACTGTTATGTGCTTTATGACATGAGGCGCTGATAATGTCGTCCATAATGAAAATAAAGACTTTGCAATTCAACCATGCAGCTCATGCAACTGGACGATAACAGCACTACTTCATCAACTCATTTTCTCACTCTATACCACTAAGCACATTGAAATAGCTGAATATATAATTATCATAATTATAATTTATCATTAAAACTATCAGACGCCTAACAGACACTCATAAATCTGAAACATGAGAAAATCAGGTTGGCTTCAGACCTGGCCGTGACTGCATTGACCACATATTCACCATTCGTCAGATTTTGAAACACAGACATGCTTATCTTCATCCGGCAATGATAGTTTCTCTTGACTTAAAAGCAGAATATGATTCTGTAGAGCAAAAGGTTCTGTGGTAGTGTGTCATTGAAAAGTGTACCTCGGAAATACATAAACCTCGTGAAGGCTCTTTACTCAAACACTACCAGTTGAGTCAAAGCTTATGGTGAACTGACATCTGATTTTGCAACCTCAAGTGGTGTCCGATAACGCTGTCCACTATCTCCATTCTCGTTTAGTTTCATCCTAGACCTCTTCATCTCAATTTTCGGCAATCGATCTCTTAACAGGAGGTCCATTTATCGACTTATAATACACAGATGACATAGTCCTGTTTGGTGAAGACGCCAACAAAATGCAGTCTTTTGGTAGCACTGATCAACAATGCAAGGATGCTTGCAATACGTTTCTTCTCCTCTAAATGCAAACTGTTGTTTTAGGACTGGCCGGCGTCAAGGCCTGAACTAATGATAGGAGATAAAGTAGTCAAACGCATCGACAACTCTTATCTCAGAGGTCTGATGAGCCATAAAGGGTTGATGTCTGGCGAAATCCCTGCACGGATTCAGAAAGATCGTTTGGCTTTTGCCAACTTACGTCACCTATGGCAAAGACGAAATATCCGTCTATCAATAAAAGGAAGAGTATACTACGCAGCAGTTCGTTGTTTTACTTTACGTCTGCGAAACTTGTCTATTAGGAGTGGAAGATACGCGTAAGCTACTAGTACTTGGCCACAGATGTCTTAGAAATATTGCTCGCATCCCCTAAGATCACTGGGTAAGTAAGAGTGAGATTGAACGCAGAGTATTAGGGAATGACGGTAAATCAGTTGATGAAGTTGGGCTACGTATTAGGTATGCTTGAACAGCGATTACCACAACGCGAAATGCTGCCTAGTGTTGGAAGCTGATTGAAGAATATCAGGGGCGGTCAAACCAAAACGCGGCACCAGTCCATAAAGTCACTAACTTCTGGTCTGAGCCATATTGGCAGATACAGACTACTTGGTTGGGATCCGCGCGACCATTGTAACTCATGATTGGAGATAATGGGTGACATAGCTCAGAATCAACCATAATGGCGTAAGTGTATATACTTTCCGTCTTCCCCTAAACTGTGAGATTAAATTTACTTGATACCTTCCTTTTTACGAACTGGCTCTTGCTCGTCGTATCATATATTTATATGAAATTTTTTTTTACTACCATTGACGTAACTGCTTCTATGAAGTAGATATTCATCTTGATGTGCTGATGACGTGTGGCAACTTGAACCGATGCATATATGTGCCTAGTCCTACGTTGTAGATGACTTGATTTGAATTTACAGCCCCGGAATAAAAAAATATGTAATGATGATTTATTCTTGAGAATGTATTATTATATTTCATTGAGGTAGAGGTGGTCTAATTGTGGGAAATATCCAGTCAATAGTCTTTCTAGACAGTATATGAACACGTGATAATGATCTTCTAACCGTTTCCTATAATCCTTAGAAGTCTTTCAGACTTCAAGCCTGAATGCAAGACAAAAGGAGGGATATGTGAAAAGAATCTTTTTAACACTGTTAAAATAATAATCTATGTTGTTATCAATGTGAACTTGTTCATTTTTTATGACAGGGCAACAAAGGGTAAGCATGCTGAGAGGACTAGTCCTGCGTAAACCAAACTTGCGAAATCATGCATAAGATTGTTTTGTATAAAAAAGCTTTTCTTTTGCACCATGACCGCGTAACTGAATTCCAAAAATATAAGTCGTGTCCTTCGCGCGCATTCACTATGACCTGTATGATGCTGTTTTAGATTTTTCCCGTACTCAAATGAACGCTAATTACACCTGTTACAGATTGGATGTCACGGTTAGTTAAGGTGTATGAAGCAAATTTTACGGAGGACATCAGTGATGGAGAATATTCTAGAGATATGCTTAGCTTAGTAATTATCCAATCAGAACATGACGCATAAACCTTTTTTTAAAAGACTTCCTGGTAAGTCTCCATCGAATGTTAATTAGGTGAAGTATTTTCAGCCCTTTTAAAACTTCTGAAGGTATTTTCAAGAAATTTTGAAGACTCAGTCATCGATCGGTATATCCTTTCAAATAAAATATTACAAATTCAATACAAGAGATATGAAGTAAAGATAAACCTGGAATGCACGCTTGCAGTTTCATAATAGAAATATTATTAATCAGTTACGGCTATAAAATGAGATGATCTCAACATTTGAGAACAATAACAGTGAACTTTGTATGATAAAAAACTAACCTATTTTTATTTTACGTAACAAAAAGGTAAAGATAAACATTAACTAATAATATAGAATAGAGGAGATGCAGGTAGCAGTGGGATCTAGAACGTGCATTTCACCGTACTTGTGGACTCATTAGCTAGATGTACCTGTTCACTTTGGGACTCAAACCCAGTACCGTTCGCTTTGAACACCATTGGGCTATCTACGTTGCTACTGTGTCAAGATAGTCACTCAATGCTTCAGGTACATCAACCTGCCGAATCCCAAATACGGTAAGATTTCTTTGCTGGACACGTTCTATTTTTTTCTATATTAACTAATATCATAATGGCTACATCAGGGCGACACGCATAGGATTTCAGTCAAAAATCAACAACAGGGTTGATCCAAACCATTTGAAATTTCATTAATTATCAAACAAAATAACTGTTCAATTATATATAATTGATATATGGATATTTATAGTTGAAAGTAGTAAACTCTGTCATATCTTCAACCATATAGTCTTCATGTAATAAACAGAAATAAACATTAGTTATCATAACTTGTTATTTAGGCTCTAAGACAGGTGAAAAAACAGACTGTACTCAGGTATGAGAGTGCATACAAACATACACACTTCAAGTATACGAATGAATGAGGGAAGTAAATGATATGGCGTATGTATGCATACATGCATCATTAAAGATACACGTATTAGCAATCGATACAATCTCTTTTCACCTATTTTTCAATATCACACCATCACCATGTGATGATGATCAGTGTTTCTAATGTAGTTGATATGGATTGCATTTCTTTTTTTCATACACAACTGAATAGCCGAATTCATAACCTGCTACTTGTGAACTGCTGACTTATTCCTACCTTCCATCTCGTTGGGATTTATTTTAAAGTATTGTGTGTCAGTTGCCCGATCAATTAAGTTCGTGTAAATCTACTTTTTGGTAGAAAATACCTCGATTGTTCCTAATTAGTAATTGTCGTAGTAAAACTAACAGACGTTGCATGATATTACTCAAAATCATATACAAACTCACAGATGATTCACGTTTTATTTTCCTTAAGATAACGGGTTCCAGTATTCCTTCATACATACCCTTTCATTTTCATAATTATTACTGATTTTTTAGGCTTGTAATTCCATCTACTTATGCTAAAGTAAGTGATATAAAAACTTCGGCCAACGGAAATTTGGGTCAGGTTTGAACGATTATACCTTGAACTGACAAAAATTAATCTAACAGTAAAGCTAGATTTTGCATGATCATTGAAGAACCGATTAGACATAGCATCAACTGGAGATCATCATTAAAAATTAAGAAGAATTAAACACTCGTTTCCTCCTAGTATCACGCTCTGCAGTACTGGACAACTAATATATATCTTTCAAAGAACAACCCCAACGGATGTGAGAAAAAGCCCTGCAGATAAAGTTAATATTATTAACATATAAAGATTTCAAATTCTGAATACAGAACACAATACATTCCGACGTTAGTATTCACAACAGTACGTACATAAAAAGTACTAATCACACATAATTTTTAGATATTTTTCATTAATTAATTCACTCTCAAGGTACATTAAATATCAGTCACACTCTAAGTGTGATGACTGACGATACTAACTGGATGCTCAGAACAAAATAGGTGGGACGCTTTTCGAGCCTGGAAATCCAAACGCTTCAATCACAATTAAACCACATATGGAATATGGTAATTAACATAGACTTACTTTCGGATTAAACGAAGCTGATGCTTGAGTATCTTTGTACAATTCTGGATATTTTAAACAATTATTAACACTACAACTTCGATCAAATAGTCCTAACGCCATTGGTGGAGCTGCAGTGAATATCTATATGTTTACAACAAAACAATGAAAGGAGGATATAAATATAAACAGGATGACAAAGAAAAATAAAATGATTAATGATAGTGATAATGATTCGAATGTCATACGAGGTAACAATTTGCTTAAGATTGCAGGTACAGTTTGTTGGCACATGCATCAATTGATATCGAATTCCGGTTAGTATAGAGCTCACCAACGACTACTTCAACCAACTAACTTAAAAAGATAGCTCATGTGATGTCAGGTTACTTAAAATAGAAGCCACAATGCAACTTGATGGGAACAATCCAACTAGTAGTAAGAGGACTTGACAAAAATAACAATGCTCAGTGATCAACAAATGCAGGGAAGGAGAGTCGATGATCTAGCGTAATAAAATAGTCCTTCCTGATAAAAAAATTTCAATCATTGAAGAAAAATTCAAGTAGTTCACTAGAGTATGCATTAATGGACTTGGGAATGATGATGTACTCAGCTTAAAACTACTAAAGTTATACAACCATTGTGTTTCAGAAAAATAAAATCATTATTTCTATTATTACCAACTAATGTAATGCAAAATTAATTTCGAAATGTACGTTACTGTTTTCAGAGTGTTTTAATTAAGTAATTACATTGTTGGCTGCATGCGCTTTTATTGAATAAGGTATTTGGGATTCGGCAGGTTGATGTACCTGAATATATATATATATATATATATATATATGTAACCTATCACAAATCGAAATATTGAAAAATAATCACATCATATTGATTTGTATATTTCCTTCTTTATTTGTCTTTAAAACAAACGAAAAGCGACTACTATTAAATTCACACATCAAAAATAATACAGTTGTTTTTATTTTAGTATGGAGCTCCTCATTATTAGTGTACGTTTACGATCTGTTCAAGGGTCGAAATCAGTATGTTCCGGCCTCCACTTTACTAAAATTGTTAATTCAACAAATTGGTAACTGTATGTGATTGTAACGTGTTTCAACATGCAAACAAAAGGTTTTTAATGAAAATTAATAGCTTAATATTATTCAAATAGTTCTTTTTGAGAAGAGCAAGGACAAGAACTCTAGCAGAATAGCATGAATTCATTTTATATCGTTTGATTCTGGTCAGGTGCTTACAACCTCGGATATCTAAAACATAATCGAGACATGGGTTCAAATTAATTACATGAAAGAGTTTAGTTGGAAGTTACGTTGAAAGTACATTAGTATTATATAGCAAGTGTGTAAATAAATTCAATAGACGGAATATTATATCGTTAATATTATATCTTATGTAAAAGAACATTCCACACCGTTGATTGTGTCAAGAGTTCAAACGGCCAGAATACACGTGATTACACCATGAGTTAAAGCTGATAGTAATAAAATAAGTAAAGCTCAGTTGATGAAATAAGATTACTAATTTGGAAGACAGTCGAAATAAAGAAAAAAAACCTCAAGTACAAGAAAAAGTCGAAAAATTGATCTAAGATGCAACGAAGCAATATTTGTCACTAAGTCAAAGAAAGATTAGTAACCATCACTTTTTGGACACATAAATCGGGTTTTCGACACTCGATAACAATATTCAACGAATATTGTTTCCAAAGAACATCTGACAGCCTTTAGAAACATTGAAGGTAACCAGATAAAGGTCGAGGTGTTGTCCTTATGAGTACAGCTGATTATATCACTGAGACGATGTCGATTTTGGACGACCAACTGAGATTCAAGATACATAAACCCAAACTAGATTTAAATAATTCAGCAGGGAAACAAATATCAATAGTATGTCTATTAGGTCTAATTATGACGGATTTTTCATGAGGTATCTTGAAATTACGGTGCCTAAACAAGCAGTCAGTCAGTCAGCTACAACGTAGGACCAGGCACATATATGCATCGGTCCAAGTTGCCATACCTCTTTAGCACAACAAGATGAACACCGGATTCATAGAAGTAATTAATTTAGTGATGGTAGTATATAAAGAAAGATTGTATAGAAGGATATAGTACAGGAAGGAAGAGAGATATGAAGCAATTTTAATCTCAAGGTTTAAGGGAAGATAAAGAGTGTATACACCTACGCCATTGTGATCGATTCTGAGCCATGTCACCTAGAGTCTCCAACCATTTATTACGATAGTCACGCGGACCCCAACCAGGTAGTCTGCATCTGCCAACATGGCTCAGGCTAGAAGTTAGTGACTTCATGCTCTGATGCCACGTTTTGGTTTGGCCGCCCCTAACTCTCTTCCAACCGTCCCCAATACTAGTCATCATAGCGCGTCGTGGTAATCGGTGTTCAGGCATACGTAACACATGGCCCAACCATCTCAGTCGATGAAGATTTATCACCTCATCAACTGATTTACCATCGTTACCTAATACCCTGCGTCTAACCTCACTATTACTTACTCGGTGATCCCAGCAGATGCGAGCAATATTTCTAAGGCATCTGTGGTCAAATACTAGTAACTTATGAGTATCTTCTACTCTTAATGGTCATGTTTCACAGCCGTAAAGTAGAACAGAGCGAACTGCTGCGCAGTATACTCGTCCCTTAATTGATAGACGGATATCTCGTCTTCGCCATAGGTGATGTAAGTTGGCAAAAGCCAAACGAGCTTTTTGAATCCGTGCTGAGATTTCGTCAGACACCAACCCATTAGGGCTGATCAGACTTCCAAGATAAGTGAAGTTGTCAACGCGTTCGACTACTTCACTCCCTATCCTTAGTTCGGGTGTTGACGCAGGCCAGTCCTGGAGTAACAATTTACATTTGGATGGGGAGAAACGCATCCCAAACATCCTGGCATTATTACTCAGTTCCAACAGAAGACTCTGCATTTTGTCAGCGTCTTCACCAAACAGGACTATGTCATCTGCGTATTCTAAGTCGCTTAGTGGTCCCCCTGGTAGGAGATCAATTCCTGTAAACTCAGTCGAAGAGAGTGTTATTTCCAGCAACAGGTCTATAATGAAGTTAAACAAAAATGGGGATAGTGGACAGCCTTGACGGACACCACTTGAGGTTGTAAAATCATATGACAGTTCGCCATAAGCTCTCACTCGACTGATAGTGTTCGAGTAAAGAGCCTTCACAAGGTTTATGTACTTCTCAGGTACACCTTTCAATGACAGACACTGCCACAGAACCTCTCGGTCTACGGAGTCAAATGCTGCTTTCAAGTCAAGAAAAACTATCATTGTCGGACGCCGATAAACGTGTCTGTGCTCTAAAACTTGACGAATGGTGAATATGTGGTCGATACAGCCACGACCAGGTCTGAAGCCAGCCTGATTTTCTCGTGTTTGCAGTTCACGAGTTTTAGTTAGGCGCCTGATAATTATTGAGGCTAGTATTTTAGATACTATGTTAGTCAGACTAATCCCTCTATGGTTATCGCAGGATGATTTTGACCCCTTTTTATATATTGGGACAATCAGTGATTGTGACCAGTCGGATGGGATTACATCCGTCTCCCAGATTTTAGCCAGAATATTAGTCAACCTAATCGCTAAAATTGAACCACCATATTTAAAGACCTCTGGAGCCAATCCATCTGGACCAGCTGCTCTTTCTCGTTTCAGATTACCTATAGCCTTTTGAACTTCAAGTAGGGTCGGGGGCCTACTTCAATGTTCCATTCAGGTTTTCTAGGAATAGTGGGTAGTTGTGCAGTAGCTGAAGGCCAGCTAAACTGCTCCTTAAAGTGTTCCGCCCATCGTTCTAAACGTTTGGGTTGAGAGCAGATAAGGGTTCCATCTTTTTCCGAGATCGTCTCACTTACACTTGACTTCTTAATTCCAGTTTCTTTTATTAGTCTGAATAGTTGCCTGGTGTTCCCTACAGCCGCTGCCTTTTCCATCTCTTTTGCTTTCGTTGCCCACCACTGCTCACGATCGTTCCTTAGACTTTTAGTTAACCTAGATCTAATTTCTTTACGCTCTTCGTCATGTTCAGAGCCTGATGGTATGAGTTTACGCGAATCCATCAGTGAAATAGACCTAGAAGAAATCCACTGGTTTTTTGGAGCCCTATGGTTTAAATGACTAATAGATGTTACTGCTGTCTCCACAGCTGTTCGTATGCCTTTCCAAGCAGCATCTGGGTCAGTCTCGTTTACAGAACTGCCTAGATGTGAACTCAGTTGTCTCTGGAATTCACATTTGGCTTTCTCGTCCTCCAGTTCAATCCTAACGGGTCTTCTTAGTTTACTTTTCCTGCGTCCATTGAGGCGCAGACAAATGCGTGCTAGGATTAAAGCGTGATCAGAGTCTAAACAAGTATTCCAATACGAGCGACAATCTTCTATTGAGCCTCTCCAACGATGACTGATGACAATATGGTCTATTTGAGTCCATCGTTGGTTTGGTGCAGGTGGTCGCCATGTTAGACGATGTCTCTCCTTATGTTTAAAATTAGTGCTTGCCAAAAATAAACGATTGTCTGAGCATAGTTGCAACAGACGATCACCATTATCGGTTCGTTGAGCCGGAATACTAAAACACCCACCTAGATGTCTTTCTGTTTGATTCAAGCTGCCTACCTGGGCATTAAAGTCACCCGCTACGACTACTATGTCTGAGCGCTTAGCTTTCTGAAGAAGCTCAGAGAGCTTTCTGTAAAAGTCATCTTTCACCTCATCATGGCTGCAGTCAGTGGGAGCGTAGGCAGAAACGACGAAAAGGCAACGACGTGTGTCCCTATCCTTCCGAGTTCTTACGGAGCCATTTAGCCGGACAGCACACAGGCGACTGTCAACGGGGATCCATTCTAGTAGTGCCTGTTCTGCCCTTGTACTTAGTGCTATACCTACACCTGCAAGTCCACGAGAACTAGCCAACGGGTCGCCAGATACACGGAGGGTGTATTTCGTTGGCTGTCCATTTTGGTGAGGTGAGGTCAGGTGAATGACCACACTAGGATCCTGTATGCGTGTTTCGGAGACACAGCATACATCAATGGTACGCGACTCTAAGGTTTTAGCTAAGGAGGCCTGTTGACCGATTTGACTTAAAGTACGTACGTTGAAGGCTCCAATGTGTAGTTTGGAGCGAGGTTTTAGTAGACCTGGGACAGCGTTTCGCGCACTAGAATCGTTGGCCATGGTGACACTTGAGGAGGAAACCGAGAGAGGAAGTTTAGTGTTGAAAGTCAAGGTAGTAGGAATTGAAGAAGGAGATTGATTATGAATACAGTGGTCTTGAGTGTTGTTAGAGGTATGAGGGCAGTTATCACTTCCCGGTTGCCCACACCGTGGAAAAATTCTTCTAGAGGTACCTGAAAAGGAAATTGGGTTAGAAGTGGTCTTAATGACCGGAGAGCGTGACCGCAGTGCCCAAGGGACAACTGCTTGAGGTCGGTCACACACGACCTTTTTGTGGGTAGTTTTTGTGTTAGCTCCGTTCTTCAAAAAAAACCTTACCGCCGGAGACGGATATCCGTGGGATAAGGCGAGGTGTGCATTTTTAGGGTCGACCTTTTCTAACCCCACCCCTCCTTGTGGGAAGGCAGCATCGCTGTCATGCTGGTTGTCTGAAGGAAACACCTTACTGCTTTCACACCTCTGTACAGTCAGCAGTACGACTTCGCCTTCGGACCTTGGGTTTGCTGCTTTTAGTCTCACCGCTCTTCAATCGACCTGTCTGGCATGGTAGGACCTCGAGGAACGATTGTTCCAGCCAGCATAGCTCGATTGCTTCATCACGATAGGCAAGCCCGACCACCACGTCAAGGTAGCAGCAACGGTCGGGCCTAAACAAGCGATTAGCAAAGGGACGGAATACTTTAAATATTTTGATGATACGTCTATTGTCTGTAACAGTAAACAGCATGCAATCTACCTGTTAGAACTCTTCAACAATGTTCATCCTAACATACAATTTACTATGCATCACAAAGAGAATGACGTGTTCTGCTTTCTTGATATTACCATAAAACGTATGGGAGACAGGACAGTTCAAGAATGGTCGACCAATAAAATGAACACCTCGCTTTATCCCACCGATCTGCCTCAAGGTCTCAACAAGTACGTAGCTAACACAAAAATTACCCACGAAAAGTTTGTTTGTGACGGGCCCCAAGCAGTTGTCTCATGTCTCATGGTCGCACTCTCAGGTCACTAAGAATAGATGTTAACCACTTTACTATTCATATACATCCAAAAGAACCACTCCACGAAAAGCGACTACTATTAAATTCACACATCAAATATATTAGATGACGGAAAAATATTTTAAGGAAGAAAACTAATCGCTAACATGCAGGGATGAATATAAATGTCATCAGAACGAAGAATTTCGATAAATATACATATTTTAATTATTTACAAGTTATATGCCTATAGAAGAGGAATTTTATTGTGAAATTAAATATTTTGGGCTGATAGCTCTTTTGAAGTGATGTGTCCACTGAACAAGATGATTCAATTAACGTAGCTTTCATCAGCATTCTAGACAACATCTCATCTTGAAAAAACACAATAACATAAGTTCAATCTATAAAGCTATGAAGAACGGATTAATCAATCACAAGACTAGAGGTTGATCGAAGAAAACAATCAACGAAAATGCAAGGGCAACAAAAGAAGACAACCAATCTGAACCAAAGGCAACGAAACGCACTGATATGGTACTTATGGAATTATTGGAAAGCGCACTTCTACAGGAATTAGGCATTGAAGATGTTGTTCTCCAGAATGACAATGGTGACTCCCTTCAATTGAAAAATGAAGCTCGGAGAACTTCACTTCACAACACTACTAAAACCACATCACTTGAACTGCTAATGGTACTAAATAACCCGAGTATTAATTAATTTACCAACAAATTAAACTACAATAATTGACTTTATGCTTTATCTTAAGACAATAATATACAATATAAGAGAGTTGAAATTATCGGATTGATCAATAAGCTCATCTCAAATGAACAAATGAATTTCATTTAATAAGAAACTAAAAACAGCTGTCGACTGGTGCAAACGATATTGGCGTCCCATAAAAAAATATTTAAAAAAAACAATTTGCACATATTATTGATCATTATGAAAACTCAGAAATTTGTATGATACATACGAATCATCATCAATTCACAATGACCATTGATATTTTTCAATACATGCTTATAAAAGGCATTTTAAGTGTTGTACACTCTACTTTTCGCGTTAAAGGCGTTTTATGGAGATTAGTTCAATTTGTGTGTTATATAACGGATAAACATATTTACCAGGTTCTATGTTACTTATGCCTGACTAACACTGTTAAAGAGACTGTCGTCATACTAAACAATTATCCAGTACTCTCTGGTTGCTTCAAGTCAAGTTTACTGGGTGCATGGAAACTGTTATTTGAATTGAAAAATCTCATCAAGATGATAAAAACAATGTATTATCAGTACAGCTTATCAACCACTTACCACATTATATAAACCAATACTCCATCGTTCAAACACAATTTGACCAGAAAATCCACTTAATATGGCAAACCAAAATTGTATTAAATAAAGACAAACATTTTTATAGAACGAATAAAGTATTAATTTAGTCAATCGATTATAGTTCCATGCACCATGTACCAAAAGTAATTTATTTAAGAAACGGAATTGGGCTATTGCATAGTCCGATGCACATGCTGCTTGTCTGCCTTCCATGCCGCTTATCCCAACACCAACATGAGCTGCCTACAAAAAATAAAGACGGAGATAAAGATTAGAAATGAAATGCCATGAGATTTTATGTAGTCTTCGAAAAAATAGTATATTTCGTGAAGATTTATTGTTTTGCTATAAATTGTCGACAACTAAACTAAGAAGGGATTGTTCAATACAACTTGATGAGATTCACCAACAAGAGTCCTGTAATATTCCTCTACCAAAAGTGGACTATCTTGATGATAGTCCAGCGTCTGAAAACTTAACCGATGATATGCTTCGCGACTGGGAAGATTCACCTTGAGTTGAGGTCGAGATAATCTTAACACTTATTTGTCGAGCTGCAGTTTTATGACCCAACTCAGACACCTGTATGGAGTAAAATCGAGTGGGGATAAACTCCAGTTGTCAAGTCATCTAAGTGTATCGTAGTCAGTAATTACGGTCGTGTTCTCGTTTATGTAGTCACTTAATTTTAGATATTTTGGATTAATTTCTATTATAGAGTTCATTGGAAGTGTGGGGATTGCGATGTCGTGATTAATAATTTCTACTTCATTTTAATTAGCTGTCAGGTGTAAGGCAAATGAAAGTGGAGCTTATCTCTGGTCCTAAAACTTTGACCACACATCGACATAATTACAAAGCCATAAGTGGAAAAGAACTACGTGATCGGTCTGTAGTTAATAACCAATAACCTGAGGAGGGAAGAGCATTTCTGAAACTTCAGTTCTGTTCAATACGTACATCGTTGAAACAAACAGATACGATAACTCACCAGCCATTTTCATCTAAAACTCATAACGGAATCGAACATGATACTTTAATAAGAAACCGCGATTAACGTTGTCGTTAATCAAGTCAAGTTTGAGGGACATTAACTTACTGGACTAAAACGAATGAAGACCTCATAATTCACCGCAAATTAATCGGTGTTAAAAATATAGGTCACTGGCTATGGACATGCTACTCGAACAATACCGAAGGTACATTGCGAGATTTGATAGTTCTATACCATGTCTGATCATTAATGCGCATTTAGTGGGGAAGTTTCAATCAACAACGAAAAATCTGTCCATTTCATCAAGGATTTTTTAATAACTCCCTGAAATGAGCCCACTTCGTTTAGAAGAATATTCTTTTAATCATATAACACATTTGGATTACCAGATAAATGGTTAGTTATCAACATGGGGTTGTGTAGATTGTTGAATTTCATTAAAACCGCAAAAATACCAAAGTCAGACAACCCGTAAAGACCTGAAAGCATTGGGTAGCCGTTTCGTCGTAGCATGAGACACTTCAACGGTAATCATTGACCACTCCGTGGCCGAGAATTGAACCCACGACCTCTTGTCTAACTTATACACTATTTGATCCCGACTCAGAGGACTAGAGTTGAAGGATTCCTGTATGAGACGATTCTGAGTTCGATTCCCAGACGACTTTGGTCGTGGATTTGCACCAGTGAGGAGCTCTATTCTAGAACGGGTATTTACAAGTTTTGATGAACATTTATTCAGAAGAGCCTATGCCTCCGAGGACTGAGTTCTGCTTAATTAATTACACACCACTACATCTAATGGAGGCCGATACTTAAAGTAGATGCAATGAACGTATTCAAAATAATCAAAAAACAATTCAATTGTACATTGTTAAGATTTTTCGAAGTCCCAGAAATTGTGGCTGCCAAGATGAAACTGAATCCAAAGAAGCACTGGACAACTGGGGAAACAGCATTACAAAGGTTTGATAGAGTCTTCTTTCGAGATGCTAACAAACACGACGAATTCAAGATAGCCCTCAGTAGCAGGTTCAAAGCCTTACGCAATCTACTCAAAGATGAAACTACTATAGAGAAAACTGGAAAGTGATTAGATAATAACTAACTTAAACGTGTCGGAAGGTTCTCGATCTCAAGAGGTATCATCATAAGGAATGGATCTCCATTGAAATCCTGGGCAGGATTCAAGCTAGGAAAAACAAGAAGACAGCGGTCGAACGAGAGCAGAGAAAGCCAAGACACAGACCGAATACACAGAAGTAAACAAGTAGGTGAAGAAGAACATTAAAGCCGACAAGCGGAAATACGTGCAAGATCTACCAATAACAACAGAAAAAGCTACAAGATTAAGAAATATGAGACAACCATGTGATACAACGGAAAAACTGACAGGAAAATAAGGTAAGTTAGAGGGACCAGTTAAAGACAAAGAAGGCAAGGCGATCACTGAGATTCAAGAGCAGAGGAAAGGATAGGTAGAACTTTTCGAAGAACTCACTGGACATCGAAGCAACACACTCATACCTTCCTGTATATGTCACTCCACCAAAGATCGAAGAAATCAGCATGGCCATCAGACAAATCAAGAGTGAGAAAGGAGCACAACCCGACAATATACCCACTGAAGTCAGGCATAGAAGTAACTGAAAACATGCTCCACATTCTATTCAGGAAGATTTGGGAGGAAGAACAAGTGCCAACGAACTGGGAAGTAGGATACCTCATCAAGATACTAAAAAAAGATCTCAGAAACTGTGAGAAATACAGAGGTATCGTGGTGCGTATACTTATATCCACATAAGTAGTATGTAACGATAGTCAGGCATTGAACGCTACCTTTTTTTGGCAGATATAATGCCGGCAAGGAATGGTCATAATTTAGTTCTAAATATCAACAACAGAGTATTTCAAACATTTGCTAAATAAGCGATATAAACGTTGAAAGCAGCTTGACTTTCACTATCATTTTACATTTCAAACCGTTTGAAATTGTTATTGTTGCTTTTACATTACAGGATACTGTTATATTTGAACGGTTGGCCAGCACTAGTCTATTCGCTCAGTCAACTATGGATCATCTGGAAAATTTCGCTAAAACTGGTAAATTGTTTTCTTCTTGTTTTACGTATCAATGAATGTACATTTTCTGATAAGGTATCCAATTATCCACCAAATCTATTGTCTAATTTTATTTCGACTCACCAATTACACAGATTTATATGCTTTAGCCATGTCCGAGACGGGAGGCCTAATCATACCAGACCATTCAATATTAAGTAAGTTGAGGAGTATCGCCAGTATCTGCCAATTGTTAGTTCTGTCGATAAACAGTCTAGTGCTTTAGGCACTGAAACCTCCGTTTTGAAATTATTATTATTAGTACTATCATATTCGCGAAAATAAAATTAAATTGTGAAATAAAACTTGCGAGCTAATTTTGATACTCAAGATCTACGGAAAACAAAGAATGAATTCACCTGCACGACATCACCAATCATTGTTTACAATAATGACACAGTTCAACACGCTAGTTTACATCTAACAGCAGAAATCAGCTTAATTGTCGATGGGTTCATAGACTAGCACCATATTTCTGGTTTGTCTTTTTCTAACTTTCTTCCAACCTACTCATACATCGGCAAACGTGTCATGATATGTAGTGGTTGGACATACGCAATTCATATTCATAAAATACTTTTATTTATTAGAGCTGTTGTATTCTGACACAATTGTCAATGTCCTGTGACTTGTTTTTGTCATGTGAATCACCGGTTTGTATGTCCGTGTCTCATCTGATTCCTGTACTGCTTCTGGTCAACACATTGTCTCTATTTGCCATCCTATTTTCACCCCTTCTACTAAGATCAGTAAAATTGTGTAACGATTGATATATTGATCCTTGGAATGATTTCAACGTATAATAATCATAATTTTTACTATGAAATCAAGTATTTTGATTTTTATATTTCAGGTCTACGAACGTTATGCATCGCATGGACTGAAGTTGATCCAGCATTTTATAATAAATGGGTAGTAGATTTTTACAAAGCTAGCACAGCATTAAACGATCGTGAAGCTAAGCTAGAATTGGTTGCTAATGAAATTGAACAAGTTAGTTAGTTAATCTTCTGCTCTCCATGTTTGTTTATCTCCCATTTGCCTTATTTTACGCTCTGAAATATATATATATATATATATATATATATATATTGTCAGCCATAATGTGGCGAGTGTTGGGTAAGTACTTAAAACTGTCATTTTTCAATCATTACATCACAGGTACAAACTTCTGTTCAGTCAATCATAGGACATTATAACGTTTTTCAAGTCAACTTCATAAATATGTGCCTGGTAAATGATTTATCATGTATATGTTTGTATAATGGATTTAAATCCACGCTTCATGTGATTCCTCGTGATACTACTCGATTGTCTTTGATCGAAGTCAATGAAGAGGGCATAATACCCACCCTCTCTTTCTTTATTTTGGTACTTAGTCGTTTGTTATACATATTTGATCGTGATATTTATCGCTTTTACATTTTAATCAGATTTCAATTTTTAAGAGAACTCATCTTTCATTCAACAGAATCTTCAACTTCTTGGAGCAACTGCCATTGAAGATAAATTACAAACAGGCGTACCACATACTATATCTAATTTAATGAGAGCTGGTATTTCTATTTGGGTTCTGACTGGAGATAAACAAGAAACAGCTATCAATATTGGTGAGAACTTTTTTCTATATGTGTCTGTGAGTTTTCATCTCGTGTTGCCGTAATGCAGGTGAGTGAGAGTGATAGTCGAATGAATTAGTAAGCGAGTACAGTACCGTGCAGTGCAGTGAATAAGAGTAAGATGTACATATATATACAAATGGAAGAGCATGAATCATCAAATCAATTAAGTGGTTAATAGTTAGGTTAGCAGAATAAATACATGCGTAGGCAGTAAGCAATGCTCAAGCGCACATAATAAAGGTACAATATTATAGATAGGTTGTTGCTGTACGAATGACAGGGCTTAGCCAAATTAGATGCAAACAAACTCAATTGTATTGAGCTGCTGATATAGTCCAACTTCCAGATCGATAGGCCGCATACCATAAGGGTCGGTCGTACACAGGTCAAATCGCGATACTACTGGTGGTTGTTGAGCAATCAATTGAATGAAATTCATCACTGTACATCAACGTACTGGACTATAAGATAGCACTTGAGAGAGTGGATAGGAGAACCTTATGTAAACTTTTTCGACATCATGGTTTACGTGAGATGATCGTCAACGTCGTCAGGAATTCATACGACGGACTACACAACAAAGTGGTGCATGAAGGACAGCTGATAGATGTAATCCAAGGTAGAACCAGTGTCAGACAAGCCTGCTTACTCTCTCCGTTCTTCTTTCTTGGTTGGAGTGTAAAGACCTCCACATCTAAGGAAAACATGGAATACAATAGACAGTTTGGATGTAACTAGATGATTTGGATTTCTCGGATGACCTAGCTCTTCTACACCAACAGGTGAAGACAACCAGTGCAGCGCCGACCTCTGCAGCAATAAGCCTCAAGATACACAAGGGAAAAAAGCAAGAATCTGAAACACAACACAGAGCACTAAGCCAATCATATTTGATGTAGAAGCTCTGGAAAAGGTGAAAAAATGTACGTATCTGGGCAGCATCATTTATAAACAAGTAGGATCTGAAGGTAAAGCAAGGACAGTATTCCTATAGTTGAACAACATATGGAACCCAAAACAACCGTCAATCAACATCAAAGTCAGCATCTTCAATACGAATATCAAGGCGGTCCTACCGTACGGAGCTGAAACTTGGGCAACTACCATCAAAAAAGTACAAGTAATAGGCGTAAGTATGTAAGCAACTATTCACATCCACTTTTGGCTGGTGTGGTGCGGCTAGTTACTTAGTTTAAACACAAGACTGGACACAGTAAGGAGCTAATTAGTAGAGGATCGATGGGAGCTTATTAGCCGACTCGAAGTTAATGGTGCTGGTTAGGTGTGTAATTGGCCAAATCAGAAACACAATGCTACGAAGTAAATAACAGACCAAGTTATAAGTAAGACTCTGATTAGTGAGTAGGCTCGTTATATTGGTCAGTGGGTCACAAGACGTAACATAAAATAAGGAAAAATGTACTACTAACAGAAAACTTACTTGTATCATTCCTACATCATTCGCTCCATCGCCTATAGCCAGAGTGACTGCATCTTTGATTGACTGACGAACTAATTTTACCAACTGTGCTTTTTGCCATGGACTAACTCTACAACAAAATATGTTTTAAAAATAATATAATATGAAATGGTTAGCCAGTAAAAAGTTACCTTCCCACTCTCAGCCTTTAGAAAGAAAATTAAACTACTGAATTACATCATAATAACTTAGCTGTATTGTTTCTACGCTAAATTGAACACTATTGAACACACGTGTAAATTACACAATGAAAATTATTAAACTTTGATAGTTTTTTCTAAATCTAATTATAATTTAGTATTCTTTACCAACCAATATTATAAAATCAAATACTCTGACATGAAGTGATTTCATATATTAATGAAAAATGTTTGAGAGATACACATGGTGTTTCAAACACACTTTATCAACAGCAACATAGCAGGAATGTCAGGTCTAAGAGGTAGATTTGTGTGTATTTTTTGTCTAGTCCAAGGATTGATGGACCAATCAGACATTGTGCAAGTGTAATGTTAACAATAACACTGCTGGGTCCCTGTTCAGTGGCTTAGAAGCTAGGCGTTCGCATGGGACGGAAGTTCTTGTGATTGAGTCCTGCGTGAGAAATCGCGGGTGCGTACTGATGAAGAGTCCCATACTAGGACAAAACGACTGTCCAATGCTTCCATGTCTTAAAAGGTGGTCTGATAATATTTAGCTACTCGCTATAACTTTAGGTGTTCCAGTTCTGAGAGTGTGCTGTCGTTCAAAATCAAAAGATGCACAATTCCAGTCAGCTCAAGCTACATAAGCTGAATGGGGAACGAATCAATATGGCTGCGGTCAAAAACAAAATCTCATGTACAACATCGTAAATGTAGTTCATGAAAAACATAGAAACTCAGCTAAACGTGTGTAAAACAAAAATAAGTAACATTATCTCAGCTAGAATAAAAAATCGTAACGGAATATGCAGCTAAGGGAGTCAAGAAGAATAAACTGAAAATGTGTTAATGGAGAGGTTTTGTGATGATGAGAAGTATTAGAATTGTTGCATTAACTAGGCATTTCCGAAACAGTGAAATTTGAACCAAACAGAACTAGGTTAGCATCAACAAACGTATTGTGTTTAGAATTCCAAATCAAACATACATCAAGTACAAAAGAATCATCACTTCATACAAACGCCGCGAGTTTCCATACTCAATCACACAAAACTTAAGTACTCATTGAAAAATAATTTTGTAAGCTAGTGAGCTTTATAAAACAACGAAAAATATACTACTACAATCGGATTGATCACCGACGAATGTTGTTTGTAAATGATCAATATTTTTTTGAATAATTAAAGCAGTAGATGAAAATGAACTGATGTTGTCTACACGTTCAATTATTTAACGAAAAGTGTGTGAACATTATATATATATACAACTTGCCTGCAACATATAACCGATTTACAGGATAAAGCAACGTCCAAAAACTGTTCTCTGCATTCACATAATAATGCAAACTCCAGTGTCTGAAAGTGTTAGTAAGAAATGCATTCGATATATATATTATGCTTTAATATGTATACTTTTGGCTAAAACTGAAGTGAATTTCAACATATTGTGAACTTACTCTGGAGCTACATTCGTTTATCGATGTAATCGATCAGAAAGCTATGCAACTCTGTCTATCTTTGAACACACAACACACAATCTGACCATAATCGTCTATAAAAAAACTGTTCCGGTATAATCGACTATTTTATGGAATAAAGAAAGCGTCAACATGAACACAACGCAACAAAATACACGCGTCATCTAGACCTATCTGGACGATATACTCATTATAGGCACAGACCAAATGGACTTGGAAAAGGTGGATATGGTGTTCACACGGATAAATTCGGATTCCAGGTACGTTCTGAAGAATGAAAATTCCGAATGAAAGTACGCTATCTGGGCTTTATAATGGATAAAAACTGAAGATCAGATACTAAAAACATTTGATTTGACTGATGCACTCATATAGGGATCTTTTTTGCGAAGTCAGACACTATGGAATCTTCTTTCTTGGACTTCCATAGCCTACGTGCATCACTAAATCATCTACTGACGATAAGTAGCAGATGGAATTAGTCGATTAATTTTCAAGAAGTCTTCATGAGAATAAAAAAGATGCCTTACCAAATGTGGTTGCTTTCGATGCTTCGAACTAAGAGAACAGGATCGGTTATTTTACATGCCTCAAAGATCAGAGAAAGCTACTGCTCAAGCCACAAGATCGCTGAGTGACAGAAAGAAACCACTATCAAATAGAAAAAGAAGCTCTGTCCATTATTTCCGCCATGAAAAAAGCTACAGAAAGCTGCCCAGTGGTCAGTTCATGAGTTAAACAGACCACAAACCTCATATCTGCATCTGATCCACCGTGTTCAACAATGATGCTGCACAGATATGTAAAGGTTTAAACATCTTCCAAAGCTTCTCCGTCAAGAGTAATTTGATTGGTGCATATTGTATTGTATCGGAGAGTCTTGCTTTTCTCTTTGTTTATATTGAGACCTACTGCTGTTGAGGCTGCTGCTACACTGGTCGTTTTCTCCTGCATTTGTTGTTGCGATTGTGATAGAAGAGCCAGATCATCCGCGAAGTCTAAATCGTCAAGCTGCATCCTGACTGTCCACTGTATACCATGATTTCCTCCAGATGTTGACGTCTTTATGATCCAGTCGATGACCAGGAGAAAGAGAAAGGGTAAGAGTAAGCAACCTTGCCTAACACCGGTCTTTACCTCGAATGTGTCGGTGAGTTGTCCTCCGTGGACGATTTGACAGTTTCGTCCATCATAGGAGTTCCGTACGATATTTACTATCTTCTCAGGAACGCCGTAGTGTCGAAGAAGCCTCCATAGTGTCGTCCTGTCCACGCTATCAAATGCCTTCTCGTAGTCAATGAAATTGATGTAGAGTGATGAATTCCATTCGATTGATTGTTCCACAATGATCCGCAGAGTTGCGATTTGATCTGTACACGATCTATCCTTACGAAAGCCAGCTTGTTGATCTCGAAGTTGGGCGTTCACGGAATCCTTCATCCTGTTTAACAATACTCGGTTGAAGACTTTTCCTGGTGTTGAGAGAGGAGTGATGCCCCTAAAGTTATCGCACTTGCTCAGATCGCCTTTCTTTGGTATTTTGATCAGAATTCCTTTTTCAGTCTATTGGTGCTTGTTCTTCGTCTCAAATCTTACTGAAGAGGATGTGGAGTATCTTGGCAGTTGCTGCTACATTAGCCTTCAGTGCCTTTACCGGGATGTTGTCTCTTCATTTGTCTAATGACCATGATGATCTCTTCAATTGTTGGTGGGCCAATATCGATAGTCAGTCAGTCAGCTACAACGTAGGACCAGGCACATTTATGCATCGGTCCCAGTTGCCATACCTCGTTAGCACAACAAGATGAACAACGGGTTCATAGAAGTAATTAATGTAGTGTTGGTAGTAGTATATAAATTATAGGTTGTATATAAGGACATAGTATAGGAAGGAAGAGAGATATGAAGCAATTTCAGTCTCAAGGTTTAAAAGAAGATAAAGAGTGTATACACCTACTCCATTGTGATCGATTCTGAGCCATGTCACACAGAGTCTCCAATCATTGGTTACGATAGTCACGCGGACCCCAACTAGGTAGTCTGCATCTGCCAACATGGCTCAGACTAGAAGTTAGTGACTTCATGCTCTGATGCCACGTTTTGGTTTGGCCGCCCCCAACTCTCTTCCAACCATCCCCAATACTAGTCAGCATTGCGCGTCGTGGTAATCGGTGTTCAGGCATACGTAACACATGGCCCAAACATCTCAGTCGATGAAGATTCATGACTTCATCACCTGATTTACCATCATTCCTAATACCCTGTGTCTAACCTCACTATTACTTACCCGGTTATCCCAGCAGATGCGAGCAATATTTCTAAGGCATCTGTGGTCAAATACTAGTAACTTATGAGTATCTTCTACTCTTAATGGTCATGTTTCACAGCCGTAAAGTAGAACAGAGCGAACTGATGCGCAGTATACTCGTCCCTTAATTGATAGACGGATATCTCGTCTTCGCCATAGGTGATGTAAGTTGGCAAAAGCCAAACGAGCTTTTCGAATCCGTGCTGAGATTTCGTCAGACACCAACCCATTAGGGCTGATCAGACTTCCAAGATAAGTGAAGTTGTCCACGCGTTCGACTACTTCACTCCCTATCCTTAGTTCGGGTGTTGACGCAGGCCAGTCCTGGAGTAACAATTTACATTTGGATAGGGAGAAACGCAACGCAAACATCCTGGCATTATTACTCAGTTCTAACAAAAAACTCTGCATTTTGTCAGCGTCTTCACCAAACAGGACTATGTCATCTGCGTATTCTAAGTCGCTTAGTGGTCCCCCTGGTAGGAGATCAATTCCTGAAAATTCAGTCGACGAGAGTGTTATTTCCAGCAATAGGTCTATAATGAAGTTAAACAAAAATGGGGATAGTGGACAGTCTTGTCGGACACCACTTGAGGTTGTGAAACCAGATGACAGTTCTCCATAAGCTCTCACTCGACTAATAGTGTTCGAGTAAAGAGCCTTTACAAGGTTTATGTACTTCTGAGGTACACCTTTTAATGACAGACACTGCCACAGAACCTCTCGGTCTACGGAGTCAAATGCTGCTTTCAAGTCAAGAAAAAATATCATTGTCGGACGCCGATAAGCGTGTCTGTGCTTGACCCCTTTTTATATATTGGGACAATCAGTGATTGTGACCAGTCGGATGGGATTACATCCGTCTCCCAGATTTTAGCCAGAATATTAGTCAACCTAATCTCTAAAATTGGACCACCATATTTAAAGACCTCTGGAGCCAATCCATCTGGACCAGCTGCTCTTCCTCGTTTCAGATTACCTATAGCCTTTTGAACTTCAAGTAGGGTCGGGGGCCTACTTCAATGTTCTATTCAGACTGTCTGGGAATAGTGGGTAGTTGTGCAGTAGCTGAAGGCCAGCTAAACTGCTCCTTAAAGTGTTCCGCCCATCGTTCTAAACGTTTGGGTTGAGAGCAGATAGGGGTTACGTCTTTTTCCGAGATTGTCTCACTTACACTTGACTTCTTAATTCCGGTTTCTTTTATTAGTCTGAATAGTTGCCTGGTGTTGCCTACAGCAGCTGCCTTTTCCATCTCTTTTGCTTTCGTTGTCCACCACTGCTCACGATCATTCTTTAGACTTTTAGTTAACCTAGATCTAATTTCTTTACGCTCTTCGTCATGTTCAGAGCCTGATGGAATGAGTTTACGCAAATCCATCAGTGAAATAGACTTAGAAGAAATCCATTGGTTTTTTGGAGCCCTATGGTTTAAATGACTAATAGATGTTATTGCTGTTTCCACAGCTGTTCGTATGTCTTTCCAAGCAGCATATGGGTCAGTCTTGTTTACAGAACTGCCTAGATGTGAACTCAGTTGTTTCTGGAATTCGCATTTGGCTTTCTCAATCTCCAGTTCAATCCTAATGGGTCTTCTTAGTGTACTTTTCCTGCGTCCAGTGGGGCGCAGACAAATGCGTGCTAGGATTAAAGCGTGATAAGAGTCTGAACAAAAATTCCAATACGAGCGACAATCTTCTATCGAGCCTCTCCAACGATGACTGATGACAATATGGTCTATTTGAGTCCATCGTTGGTTTGGTGCAGGTGGTCGCCATGTTAGACGATGTCTCTCCTTATGTTTAAGATTAGTGCTTGCTAGAAATAAACGATTGTCTGAGCATAGTTGAAACAGACGATCTCCATTATCGGTTCGTTGAGCCGGAATACTAAAATACCCACCTAAATGTCTTTCTGTTTGATTCAAACTGCCTAATTGGGCATTAAAGTCACCCGCTACGAGCACTATGTCTGAGCGCTTAGCTTCTTTAAAAAGTTGAGAGAGCTTTGTGTAAAAGTCATCTTCCACATCATCCGCGCTGCAGTCAGTGGGAGCGTAGGCAGAAACGACGAGAAGGCAACGACGTGTGTCTCTATCCTTCCGAGTTCTTACGGAGCCATTAGAAGGACAGCACACAGGCGACTGTCAACGGGGATCCATTCTAGTAGTGTCTGTTCTGCCCTTGTACTTAGTGCTATGCCTACACCTGCAAGTCCACGAGAACTAGCCAACGGGTCGCCAGATACACGGAGGGTGTATTTCGTTGGCTGTCCATTTTGGCGAGGTGAGGTCAAGTGAATGACCACACTGGGATCCTGTATGCGTGTTTCGGAGACACAGCATACATCAATGGTACGAGATTCTAGGGTTTTAGGCAAGGAGGCCTGTTGACCGATTTGGCATAGGGTACGTACGTTGAAGGCTCCAATGTGTAGTTTGGAGCGAGGTTTAAGTAGACCTGGGACAGCGTTTCGCGCACTAGAATCGTTGGCCATGGTGACACTTGAGGAGGAAACCGAGAGAGGAAGTTTAGTGTTGAAAGTCAAAGTAGAAGGAATAGTAGGAATTGAAGGAGATTGATTATGAATACAGTGGTCTTGAGTGCTGTTAGAGGTATGAGGGCAGTTATCACTTCCCGGTTGCCCACACCGTGGAAGGGTTCTCCTGGGGGTACCTGAAAAGGAAATTGGGTTAGAAGTGGTCTTAATGACCTGAGAGCGTGACCGCAGTGCCCAAGGGACAACTGTTTGAGGTTGGTCACACACGACCTTTTTGTGGGTAGTTTTTGTGTTAGCTCCGTTCTTCAAAAAAAACCTTACCGCCGGAGACGGATATCCGTGAGATAAGGCGAAGTGTGCACTTTTAGGGCCGACCTTTTCTAACCCCACCCCTCCTTGTGGGAAGGCAGCATCGCTGTCATGCTGGTTGTCTGAAGGAAACACCTTACTGCCGTCACACCTCTGTACAGTCGACAGTACGACTTCGCCTTCGGACCTTGGGTTTGCTGCTTTTAGTCTCACCGCTCTTCAACCGACCTGTCTGGCATGGTAGGACATCGAGGAACGATTGTTCCAGCCAGCATAGCTCGATTGGTTCATCACGATAGGCAAGCCCGACCACCACGTCAAGGTAGCAGCAACGGTCAGGCAATATCGATTGGGAGGTCTGTGGGTGCTGCTTCGATGTTGGGTGGGTTCAGTGGAGCTGGTCGATTCAGGAGCTCTTTGAAGTGCTCTACCCACTTGTCTCATTGTTCTTCAATGTTGGTGGTTACTTTGCCTTCCTTGCTTTTCACTGGTCTTTCTGGCTTACGGTAATTCCTTCTACTCCCAGGGCAGAGTTTGAATGGTTTGAATAATTTTTTCTGATTAGCGTTTTTTTAGCGAGTTGGTTTTCTACGGGATGGGGTCGCTAACCCCATGCCTAACCCTCCTCCTTTACCCGGGCTTGGGACCGGCAGTAGCCCACGGAGGAGCTACAGGCGGAGAGGTTAACTAATAATAATTGACTGATGAGTCATGTTCGATCACTGCATCGAAGTCTCAGGAATCCTCCAACATCGATTCTCGAAACAGTTTAACAATAGATATACGAGAATAACTAAAGACATTGACACGAAGCTATGAATATTGGTTGTCAATGGACTATACGACCGAAAAAAAAGCCGCAGTTGCTGGTCCTGCCTACAAACTGCTAAGAATCTTGCAAAATGTTAATCACAACCTTGACCGATACCGGATAATCCCTGACGAAGAACGCATGCTGATTTTGCTGGCCCTACACATGATAAAAATTATTTGGTCATCATGGATGCTTTCACCAATTAGTCGGAAGTTTACGCTATGCTGAAACTGACAGTGGAAGGGACACCATCGAATGTCATCGGGCTAGTTTAGCCTTTTCAGGTTTCCGGAGATCTCATGGTACATAATTGAGATCGTTGACACTTAAGTAGTTCTATAAGAAAAGAGAATTACACACTAACGACCTCCACCGCGGCACCCACAGTCCAAAGGGCAAGCAGAAAGGCTCGTAAATACGTTAGAAATGCGTCGAATGAAGGAAAGAGGAAATACCAACGCAGGTAGTAAGTACATTTTCAGCGTCCTATCGAGCTACCCCTAATCCTTCCATGTCGGGGGGGGGGGGAGTTCTCCATCTGAATGCATGTTCGGGGGAAAAATTCGAACTATCTTCAATAGCATGCTGCCACTCAGACGAATAGACAGATCTAAAAAAAGAACCTACTCGCAGCTTTCATGTGGGAGAAAGAGTACTAATTAGATCATATCAAGGTTAAAAAAAAAATGGAAAGCTGTAAATGCTGTTAAAGTATTGTACTTGGTTCGAGGAAGTGATGACGCGTACAGAAGATATGTAAATCAGATGCTCAGGGATGAAAGGACAGTTATCATACAAGACGGACATTCATTTGACACACCGATGGACACTTTTCAAAGGAGCTCTAGCGAGTCAGAAAACGGAAAAAACACAAGATCAGAAGGATTCAACCATCACAAGAAAAGAATCTTAAATGTAATGTAGTGACAAGGTTACAGATGAAACTCAACAGGATATCAAATTCCGGAGATCCCGAAAAGTGAAAGTGTTAGGACTACTCCAAGAAAGCGCGATGTTGTCTCCAGATGCTCTAAAAGAGGCGAAGTGATTCCATCTGATCAGTCTGTTAGAATTCCTAGAATATCAAAATGGTATGCTGTGATAAGAAAACTGTAACAAAATTCTTGTTGCTGATTGGGTGGATTATAATGATGCTTACAGACTATAACAAAACCTATAAATACAACTGCTTTTCTGTACATTTTGACATTTACTTCAGTGAACGCTTCTGTTTTCGCCTGCCCTTTTGATTTGCGACTTCGAAAAGAGGTTCTACACGTTCAACTGCGGACGTTGTATACCATATTAATCGTAATCAAGCAGAAAACTTGACAGAAATAAGTCAAAATTGTATATTATCTAGAATAGCTTTAGTGTGTGAAGGGATACAGGAAGCAAGCTTTGTTCTACCTAGGATACGGCAGTTGGATGTCTGAACTAAGTTCAGATAGTCAATTGGTATAATGTTTATAATGTTAATGGAAAAGGAGTGAGTAATCCTATTGTCGAAAGTCAGTGAACCAAAGCACTGGGATGCAGATACATTCTATTTGGGATACTAGATCTCCAGAAATCACTTGGTAAATGTCTCATTTTTTAATCTTACTATAGAAACTTAATCTCGTTTTTCCGCCAAAATCGCATATTTTCACATTCAGATTGTATTTCCCACTTGGAAGGACCCTAAATGTCATTGGTTCGTTTCCTCTTTGAATACGCTATTTCACGACGCTTCTCAAGGATATTTTTATACTCTATTAATACGTTTGAGTTGTGTGCCTCTTTGTTCGTACTTTTAAATGCTTGTGGAAAATACTTCACCTTCTAGTTAACTGGGCTGGGGTGGAGTGAATAGTAGGCTTGTCTTGTCGTTGTGTCAGTGATCCTTCGTTACGTTTGCCGATTTTAGGTAATCTCGTGATATCTTCAAAAATAACACATTCACATCATGACAATTCTTAAGTAAGACTAATTGACTTATGCGACTTTCACTATTCAAATATGCAGGTACACCCTCAGGTCACTACTTCATTTGATAGATATACTATTCAGTATGATAACCGAGTGAACAACACACATACATTATTATATTTCTATGACCAAAAAATATGATGGAACACTGACTTGACCATCAACGATTAATGCAAAATCATTCTCCATTCGTAATCGATCGCCAAAATCTTCAATTAAATTCACTAATTGTTCACGCGTTTGATCCAACGACTTAGTATTCATAGTTAGTAAGCTTATAGATTGCGTTAATAACTGACACGAATAACCTATTTGGAAAAAAATAAGAATAAAGTAGGAAATGTAAACCATTGGGGGCGGCAGTGATAGCTTACAATACAGATTTATTTATTTCAACATAAATATTGGTACAAAGAAGCACCAGATACATATGTGCCGCACAAATAAAATGAGATATGTGTGAAGGCTGTGATACTGCCCAGACGCTCAAACTGAAGCAGGTGGTTTTCTTAGGGGGCCACACTCGGAGCCTTTAAGCTAAAGGTCTGATCCACAAGGCAGTGGAGCATCGCAAGGAGATGCAGTTCCATGGTAGCCGATGACCAACGATTGATTAATACGCTATATGTTCCTTCAGGATACTGGAGCCCATGTGCACCATTGGCTTGGAATCAGGGTTTTCCAACTCCCCTAGGTGGACTCGCCGTGTTCATCTGCCCAGTTGAAGCGCCAAGCATTCGCTTTTCGTCATCTCAATTTCGTGTATAACACCCCCGCCACGAGAAGGCAGTGAGTAGGACTTCCGTGGCAGAGGCTATATACGCGTGGCCATGTGAGAGCATTTGGAGAAGGAGAGCGGACTCTCCTCACTCTCGGCCGTACCAGGGCATTTGGGGGCTTACATGGGTCGCCTAAATGGATTATTATTACTACCAAGATTAATGCTACTGTTGATATAAGTAACTACTGTTCGTGATATTAATAAGACAAGCCATTCAATTGGTTAATTGACTGACAATTTGCTTTCAGTGCTAGTAATTTGAAACGGACTATGACGAAGTGATTTTGCACTCAAATGCCCTGGAACGGCCGAGAAAGTGGAGAGTCCGCTCTCCCTCTCGAAATGCTCTCACATAACCACGTGCATACAAACACTAACAGGAAAGTCCTACTCACTACCTTTTTGCGGAGTGGGTGTTGTCTACAACTTGAGAGGACGAAAAGTGAATGTCCGAAGCTTTAACCGGGTTCGTGGATATGGAGGGTTTAGCTAGGGGAATTGGAAAACCCTGATTCCGAACCAATGGTGAATATGGGCTCCAGGATCCTGAGGGAACAAACGGTGTATGAAACAATTGGTCACTGGCTACCATGGGACTGCATCTATTAACGTTGCTCCACTGCCTTGTGGGATAGACCTCTAGGCCGAAGGCTCCAGCTGCTTCGATCTGGACACCCGTGTAGTATCACAGCCCTCGCGCAAACAAATGAAATAAAGCTTTCCGCCCACAATGCTATTTTCCCTCATACTAAAAGTCAGACAATTTACATTATTATTATTATTATTATTATTATTATTATTATTATTTACCACGCTCATTCACTCCATTATATTCTTAATTTGTGTATCCTTACTTTCCAACTTATGCAGCAGCTCGCTCATGGTCGAAACTCTGTTCTATCGAAACGATCTCCAGTCACTGTCTGGTCGAACGTGAATGCTTCTACCAAATACGAATACTGAACCAGTTTTTCTGAAACCACGTACGCCGTTCAAGCTAGCTTTCTTCAACGTTCGCACACTAATGCAGTTCGGACAACAGATAGGGCTGGCTATGTCTTTGGAAAGTCTTAATGTTGACGTCTGATGTCTATCCGAGACCCGTATTCAAGACTCTGGTGAACCACTTAAAATTCGCTCTCCAGCTGTCGCTTCAAAATGTTTGTTTTACGTGAATTTATCCGGAGACCTTTTAGCATCATAGTCTGGTCTTGCTAGCGTCACAATAAGCGCGAGAGCTGAGGCAGCAATAGTCCATTGGATCCCCATTAACAATCGTTCATGTGCTGTGAGATTAGAAAGCTCCATTACAATAACAAGAAATCGGCTTGAGATACGATGTCTTTTCGTCATCTCCGCCTATGCTCCGACAGCCCGGGTGCAATAAAGGATGAATTTGACCATCAGTTAACAGTTCTTCTACATAAAGTGTGTTTGATAAACATTGTAGTACTATCCGGAGACCTGAATGTTTAGATCGGGCGTCAAGGCATAGAAGAGAGTCGTTTAGGTGGTCGATGAGAACTTGTTGGTCGCAGATCAGATAACGGTGACCGTCCACTGCAACTGTGCTCAGACCACAACCTGTTTCTCGCTAGCACTAACTACCGGCACAGTCACCGCCGATGGACCACCTAGCGTCCTACCTCTGCACCTCAAACCCGGACTCAGGTTGATCACGTTGACCAGCTACCGCTGGCGTTGTTGTGTACAAGACTGCCGTTCCTTTTGGAGTACCTATTTGAACTCTGATCATGCCAAGCGGGACATCCCGCTTAGAAGCACTGGGCTTCTTCGGGCTCCTTAGAACTCATTGAGACCCGTCGGTCTACTCCGGATGACCGTGAGTTTGACCACAAACGAGGGCTGTTACGCAACGAAATTGGGCAAAGCTTGCGCGAGAACCGAGAAGCCTAGTAGTTAGGACGTGCCAAAGAGTTAGAAGCAGCAGCTGAATCTGGCAACTGCAGGAAGCTCTTCCAACTCATACGAGCCACTGGCAGCAAGAAGTCTGGTGTGAGTGAAACAATCTGTGAGGATGACGGGATGCTAATCACTAACACCTATCGACGTCTTGGACGATGGGTGGAATTCTTCGAAGGGAAGTTCAACCGGCCTGCTGCTCCCAGAACATCGATCAGATTGACTTGCCCTCCATGGCCAGTGACGACTAATCCATCGAATGATGCGGAAGTCCGCAAGGAACTCCAACTCTTGAAACGCTACAAATCGCCGGGCCCAGATGACTTACCCCCGGCTCTTTCTAGAGATGATGGTGACTTTCTAATTGAGGAATTGACTGTGTTGTTTACAAAGGTTTGGGAGCTAGAGATTTTTCGCATTTAGGACGTTAGCTGGTGGTTCTACATTATAAAGCTATTAAGTAAGTACTCGTTCAATCATACCTGTTACTTTGACGTGGTGATTAGGTATGCGTATCGTGATAACTTAATTGAACTATATTAGCTAAAACGTTAGTTTTCCTAAGTTTTAAATCACTAGGTAGGTCAGTAGGGGTTGGAAAACGTCAAGCTCAAAAACGGTATATTCCACCTTGCCCCCTGGATTGCATCTACAGTCGTAAGAAGTTAAGGGTACATTAGAACACAAAAAACTACTAGCTAAAAGACCGTATGTGACCGGCTTCAAGAGGTTGTCCCTTTTGAAGTTAGTATATACTGTTTCGGCCTCATGAGGGAAACTATCGACTAAGGTGAAATCAAGCATTTCAGTTTTCATCACTAAAACAACTCACTTGTCCATCACATCAGTATTTAACAATGACAACAATTTTTTTTTAAAACTATCTACTAAGAAGTTAGTGTTACATGGCGAACTAACTGATCGACAAACAAGACACGAGATGAAAACTCACAGACACATATAGAAAAAAGTTCTCACCAATATTGATAGCTGTTTCTTGTTTATCTCCAGTCAGAACCCAAATAGAAATACCAGCTCTCATTAAATTAGATATAGTATGTGGTACGCCTGTTTGTAATTTATCTTCAATGGCAGTTGCTCCAAGAAGTTGAAGATTCTGTTGAATGAAAGATGAGTTCTCTTAAAAATTGAAATCTGATTAAAATGTAAAAGCGATAAATATCACGATCAAATATGTATAACAAACGACTAAGTACCAAAATAAAGAAAGAGAGGGTGGGTATTATGCCCTCTTCATTGACTTCGATCAAAGACAATCGAGTAGTATCACGAGGAATCACATGAAGCGTGGATTTAAATCCATTATACAAACATATACATGATAAATCATTTACCAGGCACATATTTATGAAGTTGACTTGAAAAACGTTATAATGTCCTATGATTGACTGAACAGAAGTTTGTACCTGTGATGTAATGATTGAAAAATGACAGTTTTAAGTACTTACCCAACACTCGCCACATTATGGCTGACAATATATATATATATATATATATATATATATATATATATATATATTTCAGAGCGTAAAATAAGGCAAATGGGAGATAAACAAACATGGAGAGCAGAAGATTAACTAACTAACTTGTTCAATTTCATTAGCAACCAATTCTAGCTTAGCTTCACGATCGTTTAATGCTGTGCTAGCTTTGTAAAAATCTACTACCCATTTATTATAAAATGCTGGATCAACTTCAGTCCATGCGATGCATAACGTTCGTAGACCTGAAATATAAAAATCAAAATACTTGATTTCATAGTAAAAATTATGATTATTATACGTTGAAATCATTCCAAGGATCAATATATCAATCGTTACACAATTTTACTGATCTTAGTAGAAGGGGTGAAAATAGGATGGCAAATAGAGACAATGTGTTGACCAGAAGCAGTACAGGAATCAGATGAGACACGGACATACAAACCGGTGATTCACATGACAAAAACAAGTCACAGGACATTGACAATTGTGTCAGAATACAACAGCTCTAATAAATAAAAGTATTTTATGAATATGAATTGCGTATGTCCAACCACTACATATCATGACACGTTTGCCGATGTATGAGTAGGTTGGAAGAAAGTTAGAAAAAGACAAACCAGAAATATGGTGCTAGTCTATGAACCCATCGACAATTAAGCTGATTTCTGCTGTTAGATGTAAACTAGCGTGTTGAACTGTGTCATTATTGTAAACAATGATTGGTGATGTCGTGCAGGTGAATTCATTCTTTGTTTTCCGTAGATCTTGAGTATCAAAATTAGCTCGCAAGTTTTATTTCACAATTTAATTTTATTTTCGCGAATATGATAGTACTAATAATAATAATTTCAAAACGGAGGTTTCAGTGCCTAAAGCACTAGACTGTTTATCGACAGAACTAACAATTGGCAGATACTGGCGATACTCCTCAACTTACTTAATATTGAATGGTCTGGTATGATTAGGCCTCCCGTCTCGGACATGGCTAAAGCATATAAATCTGTGTAATTGGTGAGTCGAAATAAAATTAGACAATAGATTTGGTGGATAATTGGATACCTTATCAGAAAATGTACATTCATTGATACGTAAAACAAGAAGAAAACAATTTACCAGTTTTAGCGAAATTTTCCAGATGATCCATAGTTGACTGAGCGAATAGACTAGTGCTGGCCAACCGTTCAAATATAACAGTATCCTGTAATGTAAAAGCAACAATAACAATTTCAAACGGTTTGAAATGTAAAATGATAGTGAAAGTCAAGCTGCTTTCAACGTTTATATCGCTTATTTAGCAAATGTTTGAAATACTCTGTTGTTGATATTTAGAACTAAATTATGACCATTCCTTGCCGGCATTATATCTGCCAAAAAAAGGTAGCGTTCAATGCCTGACTATCGTTACATACTACTTATGTGGATATAAGTATACGCACCACGATACCTCTGTATTTCTCACAGTTTCTGAGATCTTTTTTTAGTATCTTGATGAGGTATCCTACTTCCCAGTTCGTTGGCACTTGTTCTTCCTCCCAAATCTTCCTGAATAGAATGTGGAGCATGTTTTCAGTTACTTCTATGCCTGACTTCAGTGGGTATATTGTCGGGTTGTGCTCCTTTCTCACTCTTGATTTGTCTGATGGCCATGCTGATTTCTTCGATCTTTGGTGGAGTGACATATACAGGAAGGTATGAGTGTGTTGCTTCGATGTCCAGTGAGTTCTTCGAAAAGTTCTACCTATCCTTTCCTCTGCTCTTGAATCTCAGTGATCGCCTTGCCTTCTTTGTCTTTAACTGGTCCCTCTAACTTACCTTATTTTCCTGTCAGTTTTTCCGTTGTATCACATGGTTGTCTCATATTTCTTAATCTTGTAGCTTTTTCTGTTGTTATTGGTAGATCTTGCACGTATTTCCGCTTGTCGGCTTTAATGTTCTTCTTCACCTACTTGTTTACTTCTGTGTATTCGGTCTGTGTCTTGGCTTTCTCTGCTCTCGTTCGACCGCTGTCTTCTTGTTTTTCCTAGCTTGAATCCTGCCCAGGATTTCAATGGAGATCCATTCCTTATGATGATACCTCTTGAGATCGAGAACCTTCCGACACGTTTAAGTTAGTTATTATCTAATCACTTTCCAGTTTTCTCTATAGTAGTTTCATCTTTGAGTAGATTGCGTAAGGCTTTGAACCTGCTACTGAGGGCTATCTTGAATTCGTCGTGTTTGTTAGCATCTCGAAAGAAGACTCTATCAAACCTTTGTAATGCTGTTTCCCCAGTTGTCCAGTGCTTCTTTGGATTCAGTTTCATCTTGGCAGCCACAATTTCTGGGACTTCGAAAAATCTTAACAATGTACAATTGAATTGTTTTTTGATTATTTTGAATACGTTCATTGCATCTACTTTAAGTATCGGCCTCCATTAGATGTAGTGGTGTGTAATTAATTAAGCAGAACTCAGTCCTCGGAGGCATAGGCTCTTCTGAATAAATGTTCATCAAAACTTGTAAATACCCGTTCTAGAATAGAGCTCCTCACTGGTGCAAATCCACGACCAAAGTCGTCTGGGAATCGAACTCAGAATCGTCTCATACAGGAATCCTTCAACTCTAGTCCTCTGAGTCGGGATCAAATAGTGTATAAGTTAGACAAGAGGTCGTGGGTTCAATTCTCGGCCACGGAGTGGTCAATGATTACCGTTGAAGTGTCTCATGCTACGACGAAACGGCTACCCAATGCTTTCAGGTCTTTACGGGTTGTCTGACTTTGGTATTTTTGCGGTTTTAATGAAATTCAACAATCTACACAACCCCATGTTGATAACTAACCATTTATCTGGTAATCCAAATGTGTTATATGATTAAAAGAATATTCTTCTAAACGAAGTGGGCTCATTTCAGGGAGTTATTAAAAAATCCTTGATGAAATGGACAGATTTTTCGTTGTTGATTGAAACTTCCCCACTAAATGCGCATTAATGATCAGACATGGTATAGAACTATCAAATCTCGCAATGTACCTTCGGTATTGTTCGAGTAGCATGTCCATAGCCAGTGACCTATATTTTTAACACCGATTAATTTGCGGTGAATTATGAGGTCTTCATTCGTTTTAGTCCAGTAAGTTAATGTCCCTCAAACTTGACTTGATTAACGACAACGTTAATCGCGGTTTCTTATTAAAGTATCATGTTCGATTCCGTTATGAGTTTTAGATGAAAATGGCTGGTGAGTTATCGTATCTGTTTGTTTCAACGATGTACGTATTGAACAGAACTGAAGTTTCAGAAATGCTCTTCCCTCCTCAGGTTATTGGTTATTAACTACAGACCGATCACGTAGTTCTTTTCCACTTATGGCTTTGTAATTATGTCGATGTGTGGTCAAAGTTTTAGGACCAGAGATAAGCTCCACTTTCATTTGCCTTACACCTGACAGCTAATTAAAATGAAGTAGAAATTATTAATCACGACATCGCAATCCCCACACTTCCAATGAACTCTATAATAGAAATTAATCCAAAATATCTAAAATTAAGTGACTACATAAACGAGAACACGACCGTAATTACTGACTACGATACACTTAGATGACTTGACAACTGGAGTTTATCCCCACTCGATTTTACTCCATACAGGTGTCTGAGTTGGGTCATAAAACTGCAGCTCGACAAATAAGTGTTAAGATTATCTCGACCTCAACTCAAGGTGAATCTTCCCAGTCGCGAAGCATATCATCGGTTAAGTTTTCAGACGCTGGACTATCATCAAGATAGTCCACTTTTGGTAGAGGAATATTACAGGACTCTTGTTGGTGAATCTCATCAAGTTGTATTGAACAATCCCTTCTTAGTTTAGTTGTCGACAATTTATAGCAAAACAATAAATCTTCACGAAATATACTATTTTTTCGAAGACTACATAAAATCTCATGGCATTTCATTTCTAATCTTTATCTCCGTCTTTATTTTTTGTAGGCAGCTCATGTTGGTGTTGGGATAAGCGGCATGGAAGGCAGACAAGCAGCATGTGCATCGGACTATGCAATAGCCCAATTCCGTTTCTTAAATAAATTACTTTTGGTACATGGTGCATGGAACTATAATCGATTGACTAAATTAATACTTTATTCGTTCTATAAAAATGTTTGTCTTTATTTAATACAATTTTGGTTTGCCATATTAAGTGGATTTTCTGGTCAAATTGTGTTTGAACGATGGAGTATTGGTTTATATAATGTGGTAAGTGGTTGATAAGCTGTACTGATAATACATTGTTTTTATCATCTTGATGAGATTTTTCAATTCAAATAACAGTTTCCATGCACCCAGTAAACTTGACTTGAAGCAACCAGAGAGTACTGGATAATTGTTTAGTATGACGACAGTCTCTTTAACAGTGTTAGTCAGGCATAAGTAACATAGAACCTGGTAAATATGTTTATCCGTTATATAACACACAAATTGAACTAATCTCCATAAAACGCCTTTAACGCGAAAAGTAGAGTGTACAACACTTAAAATGCCTTTTATAAGCATGTATTGAAAAATATCAATGGTCATTGTGAATTGATGATGATTCGTATGTATCATACAAATTTCTGAGTTTTCATAATGATCAATAATATGTGCAAATTGTTTTTTTTAAATATTTTTTTATGGGACGCCAATATCGTTTGCACCAGTCGACAGCTGTTTTTAGTTTCTTATTAAATGAAATTCATTTGTTCATTTGAGATGAGCTTATTGATCAATCCGATAATTTCAACTCTCTTATATTGTATATTATTGTCTTAAGATAAAGCATAAAGTCAATTATTGTAGTTTAATTTGTTGGTAAATTAATTAATACTCGGGTTATTTAGTACCATTAGCAGTTCAAGTGATGTGGTTTTAGTAGTGTTGTGAAGTGAAGTTCTCCGAGCTTCATTTTTCAATTGAAGGGAGTCACCATTGTCATTCTGGAGAACAACATCTTCAATGCCTAATTCCTGTAGAAGTGCGCTTTCCAATAATTCCATAAGTACCATATCAGTGCGTTTCGTTGCCTTTGGTTCAGATTGGTTGTCTTCTTTTGTTGCCCTTGCATTTTCGTTGATTGTTTTCTTCGATCAACCTCTAGTCTTGTGATTGATTAATCCGTTCTTCATAGCTTTATAGATTGAACTTATGTTATTGTGTTTTTTCAAGATGAGATGTTGTCTAGAATGCTGATGAAAGCTACGTTAATTGAATCATCTTGTTCAGTGGACACATCACTTCAAAAGAGCTATCAGCCCAAAATATTTAATTTCACAATAAAATTCCTCTTCTATAGGCATATAACTTGTAAATAATTAAAATATGTATATTTATCGAAATTCTTCGTTCTGATGACATTTATATTCATCCCTGCATGTTAGCGATTAGTTTTCTTCCTTAAAATATTTTTCCGTCATCTAATATATTTGATGTGTGAATTTAATAGTAGTCGCTTTTCGTGGAGTGGTTCTTTTGGATGTATATGAATAGTAAAGTGGTTAACATCTATTCTTAGTGACCTGAGAGTGCGACCATGAGACATGAGACAACTGCTTGGGGCCCGTCACAAACAAACTTTTCGTGGGTAATTTTTGTGTTAGCTACGTACTTGTTGAGACCTTGAGGCAGATCGGTGGGATAAAGCGAGGTGTTCATTTTATTGGTCGACCATTCTTGAACTGTCCTGTCTCCCATACGTTTTATGGTAATATCAAGAAAGCAGAACACGTCATTCTCTTTGTGATGCATAGTAAATTGTATGTTAGGATGAACATTGTTGAAGAGTTCTAACAGGTAGATTGCATGCTGTTTACTGTTACAGACAATAGACGTATCATCAAAATATTTAAAGTATTCCGTCCCTTTGCTAATCGCTTGTTTAGGCCCGACCGTTGCTGCTACCTTGACGTGGTGGTCGGGCTTGCCTATCGTGATGAAGCAATCGAGCTATGCTGGCTGGAACAATCGTTCCTCGAGGTCCTACCATGCCAGACAGGTCGATTGAAGAGCGGTGAGACTAAAAGCAGCAAACCCAAGGTCCGAAGGCGAAGTCGTACTGCTGACTGTACAGAGGTGTGAAAGCAGTAAGGTGTTTCCTTCAGACAACCAGCATGACAGCGATGCTGCCTTCCCACAAGGAGGGGTGGGGTTAGAAAAGGTCGACCCTAAAAATGCACACCTCGCCTTATCCCACGGATATCCGTCTCCGGCGGTAAGGTTTTTTTTGAAGAACGGAGCTAACACAAAAACTACCCACAAAAAGGTCGTGTGTGACCGACCTCAAGCAGTTGTCCCTTGGGCACTGCGGTCACGCTCTCCGGTCATTAAGACCACTTCTAACCCAATTTCCTTTTCAGGTACCTCTAGAAGAATTTTTCCACGGTGTGGGCAACCGGGAAGTGATAACTGCCCTCATACCTCTAACAACACTCAAGACCACTGTATTCATAATCAATCTCCTTCTTCAATTCCTACTACCTTGACTTTCAACACTAAACTTCCTCTCTCGGTTTCCTCCTCAAGTGTCACCATGGCCAACGATTCTAGTGCGCGAAACGCTGTCCCAGGTCTACTAAAACCTCGCTCCAAACTACACATTGGAGCCTTCAACGTACGTACTTTAAGTCAAATCGGTCAACAGGCCTCCTTAGCTAAAACCTTAGAGTCGCGTACCATTGATGTATGCTGTGTCTCCGAAACACGCATACAGGATCCTAGTGTGGTCATTCACTTGACCTCACCTCACCAAAATGGACAGCCAACGAAATACACCCTCCGTGTATCTGGCGACCCGTTGGCTAGTTCTCGTGGACTTGCAGGTGTAGGTATAGCACTAAGTACAAGGGCAGAACAGGCACTACTAGAATGGATCCCCGTTGACAGTCGCCTGTGTGCTGTCCGGCTAAATGGCTCCGTAAGAACTCGGAAGGATAGGGACACACGTCGTTGCCTTTTCGTCGTTTCTGCCTACGCTCCCACTGACTGCAGCCATGATGAGGTGAAAGATGACTTTTACAGAAAGCTCTCTGAGCTTCTTCAGAAAGCTAAGCGCTCAGACATAGTAGTCGTAGCGGGTGACTTTAATGCCCAGGTAGGCAGCTTGAATCAAACAGAAAGACATCTAGGTGGGTGTTTTAGTATTCCGGCTCAACGAACCGATAATGGTGATCGTCTGTTGCAACTATGCTCAGACAATCGTTTATTTTTGGCAAGCACTAATTTTAAACATAAGGAGAGACATCGTCTAACATGGCGACCACCTGCACCAAACCAACGATGGACTCAAATAGACCATATTGTCATCAGTCATCGTTGGAGAGGCTCAATAGAAGATTGTCGCTCGTATTGGAATACTTGTTTAGACTCTGATCACGCTTTAATACGAGCACGCATTTGTCTGCGCCTCAATGGACGCAGGAAAAGTAAACTAAGAAGACCCGTTAGGATTGAACTGGAGGACGAGAAAGCCAAATGTGAATTCCAGAGACAACTGAGTTCACATCTAGGCAGTTCTGTAAACGAGACTGACCCAGATGCTGCTTGGAAAGACATACGAACAGCTGTGGAGACAGCAGTAACATCTATTAGTCATTTAAACCATAGGGCTCCAAAAAACCAGTGGATTTCTTCTAGGTCTATTTCACTGATGGATTCGCGTAAACTCATACCATCAGACTCTGAACATGACGAAGAGCGTAAAGAAATTAGATCTAGGTTAACTAAAAGTCTAAGGAACGATCGTGAGCAGTGGTGGGCAACGAAAGCAAAAGAGATGGAAAAGGCAGCGGCTGTAGGCAACACCAGGCAACTATTCAGACTAATAAAAGAAACTGGAATTAAGAAGTCAAGTGTAAGTGAGACGATCTCGGAAAAAGATGGAACCCTTATCTGCTCTCAACCCAAACGTTTAGAACGATGGGCGGAACACTTTAAGGAGCAGTTTAGCTGGCCTTCAGCTACTGCACAACTACCCACTATTCCTAGAAAACCTGAATGGAACATTGAAGTAGGCCCCCCGACCCTACTTGAAGTTCAAAAGGCTATAGGTAATCTGAAACGAGAAAGAGCAGCTGGTCCAGATGGATTGGCTCCAGAGGTCTTTAAATATGGTGGTTCAATTTTAGCGATTAGGTTGACTAATATTCTGGCTAAAATCTGGGAGACGGATGTAATCCCATCCGACTGGTCACAATCACTGATTGTCCCAATATATAAAAAGGGGTCAAAATCATCCTGCGATAACCATAGAGGGATTAGTCTGACTAACATAGTATCTAAAATACTAGCCTCAATAATTATCAGGCGCCTAACTAAAACTCGTGAACTGCAAACACGAGAAAATCAGGCTGGCTTCAGACCTGGTCGTGGCTGTATCGACCACATATTCACCATTCGTCAAGTTTTAGAGCACAGACACGTTTATCGGCGTCCGACAATGATAGTTTTTCTTGACTTGAAAGCAGCATTTGACTCCGTAGACCGAGAGGTTCTGTGGCAGTGTCTGTCATTGAAAGGTGTACCTGAGAAGTACATAAACCTTGTGAAGGCTCTTTACTCGAACACTATCAGTCGAGTGAGAGCTTATGGCGAACTGTCATATGATTTTACAACCTCAAGTGGTGTCCGTCAAGGCTGTCCACTATCCCCATTTTTGTTTAACTTCATTATAGACCTGTTGCTGGAAATAACACTCTCTTCGACTGAGTTTACAGGAATTGATCTCCTACCAGGGGGACCACTAAGCGACTTAGAATACGCAGATGACATAGTCCTGTTTGGTGAAGACGCTGACAAAATGCAGAGTCTTCTGTTGGAACTGAGTAATAATGCCAGGATGTTTGGGATGCGTTTCTCCCTATCTAAATGTAAATTGTTACTCCAGGACTGGCCTGCGTCAACACTCGAACTAAGGATAGGGAGTGAAGTAGTCGAACGCGTTGACAACTTCACTTATCTTGGAAGTCTGATCAGCCCTAATGGGTTGGTGTCTGACGAAATCTCAGCACGGATTCGAAAAGCTCGTTTGGCTTTTGCCAACTTACGTCACCTATGGCGAAGACGAGATATCCGTCTATCAATTAAGGGACGAGTATACTGCGCAGCAGTTCGCTCTGTTCTACTTTACGGCTGCGAAACATGGCCATTAAGAGTAGAAGATACTCGTAGGTTACTAGTATTTGACCACAGATGCCTTAGAAATATTGCTCGCATCTGCTGGGATCACCGAGTAAGTAATAGTGAGGTTAGACGCAGGGTATTAGGTAACGATGGTAAATCAGTTGATGAGGTGATAAATCTTCATCGACTGAGATGGTTGGGCCATGTGTTACGTATGCCTGAACACCGATTACCACGACGCGCTATGATGACTAGTATTGGGGACGGTTGGAAGAGAGTTAGGGGCGGCCAAACCAAAACGTGGCATCAGAGCATGAAGTCACTAACTTCTAGCCTGAGCCATGTTGGCAGATGCAGACTACCTGGTTGGGGTCCGCGTGACTATCGTAATAAATGGTTGGAGACTCTAGGTGACATGGCTCAGAATCGATCACAATGGCGTAGGTGTATACACTCTTTATCTTCCCTTAAACCTTGAGATTAAAATTGCTTCATATCTCTCTTCCTTCCTGTACTATATCCTTCTATACAATCTTTCTTTATATACTACCATCACTAAATTAATTACTTCTATGAATCCGGTGTTCATCTTGTTGTGCTAAAGAGGTATGGCAACTTGGACCGATGCATATATGTGCCTGGTCCTACGTTGTAGCTGACTGACTGACTGCTTGTTTAGGCACCGTAATTTCAAGATACCTCATGAAAAATCCGTCATAATTAGACCTAATAGACATACTATTGATATTTGTTTCCCTGCTGAATTATTTAAATCTAGTTTGGGTTTATGTATCTTGAATCTCAGTTGGTCGTCCAAAATCGACATCGTCTCAGTGATATAATCAGCTGTACTCATAAGGACAACACCTCGACCTTTATCTGGTTACCTTCAATGTTTCTAAAGGCTGTCAGATGTTCTTTGGAAACAATATTCGTTGAATATTGTTATCGAGTGTCGAAAACCCGATTTATGTGTCCAAAAAGTGATGGTTACTAATCTTTCTTTGACTTAGTGACAAATATTGCTTCGTTGCATCTTAGATCAATTTTTCGACTTTTTCTTGTACTTGAGGTTTTTTTTCTTTATTTCGACTGTCTTCCAAATTAGTAATCTTATTTCATCAACTGAGCTTTACTTATTTTATTACTATCAGCTTTAACTCATGGTGTAATCACGTGTATTCTGGCCGTTTGAACTCTTGACACAATCAACGGTGTGGAATGTTCTTTTACATAAGATATAATATTAACGATATAATATTCCGTCTATTGAATTTATTTACACACTTGCTATATAATACTAATGTACTTTCAACGTAACTTCCAACTAAACTCTTTCATGTAATTAATTTGAACCCATGTCTCGATTATGTTTTAGATATCCGAGGTTGTAAGCACCTGACCAGAATCAAACGATATAAAATGAATTCATGCTATTCTGCTAGAGTTCTTGTCCTTGCTCTTCTCAAAAAGAACTATTTGAATAATATTAAGCTATTAATTTTCATTAAAAACCTTTTGTTTGCATGTTGAAACACGTTACAATCACATACAGTTACCAATTTGTTGAATTAACAATTTTAGTAAAGTGGAGGCCGGAACATACTGATTTCGACCCTTGAACAGATCGTAAACGTACACTAATAATGAGGAGCTCCATACTAAAATAAAAACAACTGTAATATTCTCCCCGGTCATTAGTGGTACATCATAACTGTAATGAGAACGATCAACAATTTGTGAACCGATACCAATATCAAAACGTGTAAATCAGTTTTTTTTAAGAAAAGACTGAACCTGAGAAAAATACATTGGACCGTTCTATTTTAATAATGTTCACCGTACGAAACAGTAAACATTTCAGTACTAAAAATGGTATATTTAATGAAAAAATTTTTTTAGAAATGACTACTACTATTTACAATTGACTGATCACTGACCAGCATCTACTGCATGAAAACCGGTTGATTGAATTGCGATGTGGCCACAAGTCTAAGTGATGGGTGGTTAGAAGAAGTCGACAGGAAACCCTTCTTGGCCTAGGTTTTGTGCTTTTTGACAAACGTCGGCAACATTTACATTTCATCCTGATGGAACTGTTGGTTCCACCAACCTTAATTATCGACATGTTTCATGTGATGTAGAGTCACTTAGACTAGAGATCTGATTGCAACTTGATTGACAAGATTCAACTAGCACCAAGGACTTGACATATATGACATCGGTATCTATTCAGTGATCAGTCAATCGCAAATAAATATCAGTCCTACGGGAGGTCAATCAAGGCCTGAATAAGTCAGTGGTAACATCTCCGATTGTAAAGCTGGGTGATACGGCAACATTAGTTAACTCATGATTATAGGTACATTACACTGACGAGTATCAAATAGTACGAAACCTACGTCAAGTGGGGTTTTCTGTCGACTACCTTGAACCACTACCTTACAATGAATGTTGCTATCATTATTATTGCACTTTCAGGCGTGTACTAGGAATCATTCTAGCTTCAAATACAGATTATATATTTCTGTCAAATTTTATTATTAATCCATAAGACTGAAACAAGAGAATCTATTTAGCACAGAGAGTTTATGGAAATTACTGAACTTCATGGTTTACATCACGAACTGATCATAATTGGACATCCACTAAAATTTCATGCAGTTAGTTCCCTTTATGAATTTAAATAAAGACAGAAGTCAGGAAGCACAAGAAGGCCGGTTCGTCGTAAAATAGAAGTCCACAACAAACCCGAATCACGACCTTATTTGTTTTCTTTCTACTGTTTTTCAATTACCTTGCCTGTTATTATCACAGGACCTAAGGCAAAAAGAATTTCAGCCAATAAAGCTCAATTGTGTTATTACGGTGTTCAACTCCGATCTCTACACCCAGGTAGCAGAACACAATTGGGACAATAGAGTGAGCTATGTAAAAGCGAAGTATTTCAAATTTCATGTAGGCATAGGCTGACGATACTGAATCGATTTGAAGATACTCATTAACATTATAGACCAGAATGTTTTAATCATTTCGATACAGCATAGGTCGAAAATTCATGATTATATGAACTTATTCAACTTGTTGACTGAGTCAACCTCTTACTATACCACTATTAAGTGCTACTTCATATTAAATTACAAAGTGTCCAGGCATATACATATGCAATGCATGTTCGAGCATAGTCAGTTGATTACAGTTTTAGGATGTCACATGTCTGTGATTGAGAATAAATACATTGGCAGAAAAGCTAAATAAGTCATGGTATAATTATTTTTCTTAATTAGAAAAGAAGACATGTAAATTCACCCTTACCGCTCCTTTGACCATTACAGAAATACGTCCATTAGGTTCACGAACTACAACACCCATACGCTTACGAAAACTGGTAAAATCAAGTACGTGCAATATTCCATAATGTTTCTCAACACCGCGCTATATTATTTTATTTTTTAAAAAAAGAGGAAATACAAAGTATATAAATAGATCTATCAAACGAGGGGAAAAAATTATGGCTTTAAATATGTTCAACCAGATGGAGTTTACACCTTAAAAATGCTTCAGATCAAAACAACTGTTAATGCCTTCATAGACTGATGTTATGCTTGAGCTTAGCTTCTTTTAACCTACTACCTACAAGTCAACCAACCCAAAAGTAAAGACAAACAAAGAAACAACAAAAAGACAAAAATTAGTGAAATTTTAGCACACACATATAAACAAATTAGATCGTCATATGGCGTTCTCAATGTGATTAACTAAACCTTTATTTTAATTCCATATTTTGTACGTTATTAGATTTTTCTTTTATATCATATATATATATATATATATATATATATATATATATATATATATATATATATATATATATATATATATATATATATATGCAATCGACAGTAAACATATTTTTTGTATGCTGCTCCTTCAATCTACATAAATTTATGTCTATTTAATTAATTAATTACGTGGTTACGGAATTTTTATAAGCTTTAGGACATCGCACCATTTAGTATTTAAAAGAAATGTTTACAGAAGTATGAAAAATAGTAGGAAAGAAAACATCCGACAGTGTGTCACGGACTAAAAGTCTAATTAGTTTAGCGTGAGTATTAAGACAAATAACTAAGATAACAGAATAATGATCTTTTTTTATTTATTGTTATTAGCTTTATTTAATATTATATTTTTGGTACAATATAGAATTCTCGACTAGACTGCACACAAAAGAATAATAATAGAATTGTGAAGAATAAAGATAATTTCCTTAATATATACGTGAATAAAAGGTTTTGAAAACATCTTGAACACTAATGAAATCTACTTTGGATAATTTGCAGCTTTATCAGACACTAGTTAGTAAAAGAAAAAGAAAACTGCTTAGACTTCAGAAGGATTGATTAAGTAATATGTGACCATTTTAGTGAATGTTGTCGTTGAACTAACACACATAATTAGATTTTGAAAAGATGATGGAAAATCGATAATAAAAACACCAGTGAACATGCAATACCTTCATAGATATCGTTGGATATCACAAGTGCATTCACTATTCGTCCTTCCTTTTTTCCCAAAAAAAGAGATCTACTTTTCGTATATTCTACACCTTTACTACTTAATTACATACGCCTGTTACTCCTAATGGAGCATAGACCGCCGACCAGCTTTCTCCAACCCACTCTGTCCTGGGCTTCCTTTTCTAGTTCTATCCAGTTCTTGTTCATTCTTCTCATGTCTGTCTCTATTTCTCGGCGTAATGTGTTCTTTGGTCTTCCTCTTCTCCCTTAACCTTCAGGATTCCATGTGAGGGCTTGTCTTGTGACGCAATTAGCTGATTTCCTCAAGGTGTGCCCAACCCACTTCCAGCGCATCCTCCTGATTTCTTCCTCTGCTGGAATCTGGTTTGTTATCTCCCACAGTAACTTGTTGCTGATAGTGTCTGGCCATCTGATCCGAAGTATCTTGCGTAGACAGCTGTTAATAAACACTTGTATCTTCTGGATAATGGCTTTCGTAGTTCTCCACGTCTCCGCCCCATACAGTAGAACTGTCTTGACATTTGTATTGAAAATTCTAACCTTGGTGTTGGTTGACAATTGTTTTGAGCTCCAGATGTTTTTCAGCTGTAGGTATGCTGCTCTTGCTTTGCCGATCCGCGCCCTCACATCTGCATCTGATCCACCGTGTTCATCAATGATGCTGCACAGATATGTAAAGGTTTAAACATCTTCCAAAGCTTCTCCGTCAAGAGTAATTTGATTGGTGCATATTGTATTGTATCGAAGAGTCTTGCTTTTCTCTTTGTTTATATTGAGACCTACTACTGCTGAGGCTGCTGCTACACTGGTCGTTTTCTCCTGCATTTGTTGTTGCGTTTGTGATAGAAGAGCCAGATCATCCGCAAAGTCTAAATCGTCAAGCTGCATCCTGCCTGTCCACTGTATTCCGTGATTTCCTTCAGATGTTGACGTCTTCATAATCCAGTCGATCACGAGGAGAAAGAGAAAGGGTGAGAGTAGGCAACCTTGCCTAACACCGGTCTTTACTTCAAACGAGTCGGTGAGTTGTCCTCCGTGGACGATTTGGCAGTTTAGTCCATCATAGGAGTTCCGTATGATATTTGCTATCTTCTCAGGCACGCCGTAGTGTCGAAGAAGCTTCCATAGTGTCGTCCTGTCCACGCTATCAAATGCCTTCTCGTAGTCGATGAAATTGATGTAGAGTGATGAATTCCATTCGATTGATTGTTCCACAATGATCCGCAGAGTTGCGATTTGATCTGTACACGATCTATCCTTACGAAAGCCAGCTTGTTGATCTCGAAGTTGGTACTTGTTCTTCGTCCCAAATCTTACTGAAGAGGATGTGGAGTATCTTGGCAGTTGCTGATACATTTGCTTTCAGTGCCTCTGCCGGGATGTTGTCTGGTTCCGCTGCTTTGCCACTCTTGACTTGTCTAATGGCCATGCTGATCTCTTCAAATGTTGGTGGGCCAATATCGATTGGGAGGTCCGTGGGTTCACTGGTCTTTCTGGCTTACGGTAATTTCCAGCAAGTTTCCTTGTTGTATCATACAATTGTTTCATGTTTCCTTCTCTTGCAGCCTTTTCCGCTGTCATCGCTAAATCTTCCACATATTTACGTTTGTCGGTTCTGATGCTCCTCTTCACTTGCTTGTTTGCCTCTGTGTATTCGGCTTGTGCCTTGGCTTTTTCCGCTCTGGTTCGGCTGATATTGATTGCTGCCTTCTTGTTCCTTCTTTCTTCAATTTTATCCAGTGTACCAACAGTGATCCATTCCTTGTGATGGTGCTTCTTTTGGCCCAGAACCTCTTGACATGTTGATACCTCTTTGATACCTTTCCAGTTGCTTTCCATGATAGTCCCCTCTCCATTGAGTAGGTCATAAAAGGCCTCGAACCTGTTGCTGAGTGCTATGTTGAATTTGTTGAGTTTGTCAGCATCTCGAAGAAAGGCCGTATTAAACTTTTGTGATGTTGTCCGCGCCGTTTTCCACTGCTTCTTGAGTTTTAGTTTCATCTTGGCGACCAGCAAATGATGATCGGATGCTATATCAGCTCCTCTTCTGGTTCTCACATCCTCCATCGTCCTCCTGAACTTTTTGTTGATGCAGATATGGTCGATTTGATTCTGTGTAGTGTGATCCGGTGAAATCCAAGTGGCTTTGTGTATGTTTTTATGTGGAAATATGGTGCCACCTATGACCAGTTTATTGAAGGCACATAGGTTTGCAAATCTCTCACCATTTTCGTTCCTTCCTCCCAGTCCATGTTGTCCCATGACGTCTTCGTATCCAGTGTTGTCCATTTCAACCTTAGCATTGAGATCTCCCATCAGAATTGTCAGGTCCTTGGTTGGGCACTTCTCGACGATCGACTGCAGCCTATCGTAGAATTGGTCTTTAGCGTCTTCATCGTAGTCATTGGTAGGCGCATAGCATTGGATGACGTTCATTGTAATGCCCTCTCTCTTTGTTCTGAAGGAGGCTTTGATGATCCTTGGTTCATGAGATTCCCATCCAACAAGTGCATTTTGTGCTTTTCTGGACAGCATCAATGCAACTCCTTGTGTATGTGGGGCATTTTCTTCTTCATGACCGGAGTATAACAGAAGTTCTCCTGAAGACAGTCGTTGTTGTCCAACCTGCGTCCAATGTGTTTCGCTGATTCCAAGAACCTCCAGGTTGTATTTTCTCATTTCTGCAGCAATTTGGAAAACTCTTCCGGTCTCCCACATTGTTCGGACATTCAATGTACCTATAAAAATTGTTGCTCTGGTTGTAAGAAGGTGCATCGGCCTCATGACTTCCGAAGGAACTCGGCTTTCATCATGAGACGTCATAATTATTCCTTCTACTCCCAGGGCAGAGTTTGTAAGGTTTGAATGATTTTTTCTGGTTAGCGTTTTTTTAGCGTGTTGATTTTCTACGGGATGGGGTCGCTAACCCCATGCCCAACCCTCCTCCTTTACCCGGGCTTGGGATCGGCAGTAACCCCCAGAGGAGCTACACCTAATGTTCCATTATTATTATTGACAGTGTTACGACGTCCGTTACTTTGGAACTTATCTTCTCACTGTGCTAATGTGACGTGGTAACTAGAGCCAATACATTTATCAGTTAAGTTCTATGTGGTATATAACTGATTATTACTGATACAAAGTAGGTTGGTGGATTACCTGCTTTATGCAACGTTTCAATATCATCTAACCAGAGATCAATGAAAGACAATTCCTATGTGTGAGCCCAACCAGCAGCGTGAGTGTGAAAATATTAAGAGTAGGAAGGTACAATTAACAATTAAATCTAGAAGAACATAACACATTGAGAATATGTCGCTTGGAATCGTTAATCCATGCCACGCACTATACTGGCTAATCAAGATTCCGATTATCGATTAGTTTATTTACATATGGGCAGTTAGACCGGTGACCTTCTATTAACCAACTGACCAATGAACAGTAAACGATACATCGATGCTTATTGGTCATCAAGCTCCTTCAAACCCAGCCGCCAATCGGAAGCCAAAGACGAAATGTAGATCAGTACTCTAATATACTCAATTCAATCATGACTGAAAAGTATGCATGAAATGACTACCAAATTAGTACACCAAATGGGATATCACAATCAAGGTATAAGTGGCAAAGGGCGGAGCAAATAGTAGATAAATAATTAACAGTACCTCAGGAATAGTAAAATGTATAACAATGATTAATAGATCCACTTGAAACTTACAATGAGGAGAATATAGGAGTACCACAAAACAGTTATATAATGGAAATATATATAATGATAATCCGAAAAAAATAATCTCAAAAGTTTGGACATTTCAAATATTCATCCTGTCACAACACCATACAAATATATAGTTTTGCAGTCAAACTATGGCCAACTGAATAAATAGTTTAAATGATAGCGTATATCCTTTCACTGACAATTCTGCCTTGAGCTAGCAGGCATATGATACGTCTGGATTCACTAACTTATCGTTGTGAGCGTTTTTTGACTAACAGCTATTCCTCCTTCAGTGATCTCGTCATTGTTCTGTTATGATTGTAGAGCGTGAAAGGTTGAATTGATAAGCAACTACTCCAAGCCTTGACGTTGTTCGCAAATATATTAGTTTTTTTCTCATACAACTATTTAGTCTCAATATATTAAGAAACCACACCTTTAGTAAACAAAGCCTATGAATAACGTTAAAATGACTTAAATCTTCATTGACTGAGTAAGTTGGAACATACATTATGCATACAATCACCACCTACCTCAACATACAGTGTTTTGTGGTATACGAGTAGTTTGAAAAAATCTAGTGGCGGTTAAAACAATAAGTACAACCAGTCTGTGAAGTCCAATATGACCTGAACTGTATGCGTAGGTGAAGAATACCTGGTTGAGATATGTGAAGTTAACGAACCTAACGATTCGAGACGTCGAATGAAATAAATTAGAATCAATTATAATGTCGCTGATACTCCACCTCTTCGTTCTCTTTCAGATCTCAAGTTTAATGTTTGTGTTCGATATTTTACTTACTGAACTGTTTTTCTTCTCGAATTTGATGTTGTTACTACATGTACCACTACTCTGCCATTGGTTGTTATGTGATCTCTCTGCGCTGATATAGTGTGACGATTTGGACTGATGCACACATGTATGAAGTTTTATATTGTGCTAGGACTGACTGATATGACTTGAATAGAAAAATCAGTAAAAAAAGACCACCACAAACTGTACTCACATAAAAAAACTTACAATTTTAACAACAACTTCTGTCGGTGTTCGAGTAGTGAACACATAACCCATTGTACGTGCAGCTTTCACAAGAGCTGCTTCATCTGAAAAGTAAACAAACTTCAAACAACATAATTTACAATAAAAGACATCTGAAAAAGTTTCATCCGGCTGCTATATTTAGCATTCTTATTTAGTTTATTGGTTTGAATAAATTATCGGTTATGGTATCTAAAATAGTATAGCTTCCATCATAGACTAATTAAAGTTTGACAACCGATAGGAAGTTGTGATTATTGAAGTTCCACCCGATCAATTGTAAGAAAAGTTACCTAGTAATAACATTGTGGAACAGTTGCACAATAGTACAAAATAATGCCAAGCTCTCGCAGTGAAAACTGAGTATTTATGAGTCCGATCTTCAGTAGAGTCATTAACGACCTATATTGAAGAATCTCTCACTACAACGAAAAAACTGCCAGTGCTTCTTGTTTTCAATAATTGTCAGTCGATGATGTAAACTAAAAAAATTCAACGATCTCCACAAACTACTACTTATTCTAGCTAGAATGGTCAAAAGTAACAGTACATGAAGAGATGGTTGACAGTTGATTCAAGTGTTCGGCATTCAACCAATAGTATTAATCGCCCTCACACTAACACAAAAAGGTGTAATTCAAACTCGAATATATATATATATATATATATATATATATATATATATATATATATATATATATATATATATATATATATATTAATTATAATGATGAACTAGAAATAAAGCAGAGATTAAGAGTTAGATTTACTCGACTTAACAATTCAATATCGAAGAATCTTTGCCCCCCTCTTTTCACCATAGCTAATTTACATGGTTCTATTGTTAAATAGATTTATACATAACAACAAGATAGTTGATCAATTGTTAAAGGGTTCGACTTTCAGCCACTAAGCTGTAGCTGGATTAGAACCACACTACTTCATCTGCTACAGTTTAGACAAACCAAATGACGCCTTCAAAGTGTAGCTTGAAGTCAAGCGCGCGAAAATGTGCTTGGGAAATAAGTTAGGTAAATAATACACGAGTATAATGTTTCAATTATTGAGCGTAAAAAATATTGCCAATCAATCTGATAAGTGAAGGTATTTTAGACGACATGAAAGAGCCATGATTTGATATTTCTATATATTTTCAATTTCCTAACTAAATTGGTCATACGTTCCAAAGATCTTAATCAGTAAACAGTAACTAGTTATTAGGGTCGTGGAAAAGACAGACTTTACGTAAATCACTATACTGAGTCAGAACAGAATTTAATAGGAGATCCCTGATCGGTGGCATATGCTTCAAGAAGGGTAACAGGTTTGAAGAATTAAATTAGTAAGACATAAGTTCATTGCCTCTCGCAACTACAGATGTGTTTTCTTAACCTAGATCATAAGTACCAAATGAAAAGGTTAAGAGATAAGTTGAATTCTTTTAAATACGACTGATTCACCAAGTCCCAGACCTTAAGATACACATTTGTATTGGGCCAAACGGTAGTACCCAGTTGTCCAAAAGGAAAACTAATTTACCAAGTAATGATTTGTGTACTAGGCTTGAACTACATTCGAAATGTGAGGGCGAGTGTTACTACACGATTGTTCGAACCAAAGTAGGTGAAGAGGGGTTGGGACCCGCTATTTAGTTGCTCAAATGCGCACATTATAAGCATTAAGATATAACGCTGGATTAAGAACCTGATTTATAACTTCTACTGAGCTGCACTACACATAACTAGCATACAGAATAGTAAAATGAGAAGCATAATCGTTATACATTTATTAATAAGCTTCAGTCAAGAAAAAAACCAGGTGTGTAATTTGTCGATAGTTAGGATTGCATATTTCATATACCAACGAAAATAGAAAATAAATAAACAATATCAACAAAACAAGAAAAGAAATATATTCAATGCTGCGACAGTAAAAAGCCTAATAGTGTCGCCGTGTGATCCTATAAATCAAATTTGGAGTTCAACACTTCTAATAAGAACGGATTTGTTTTAGTGAAACATTTCTTAATTTTGACCTTACAGGAAACCATAAAGTGTTATCTAAGTTTAATACAGTATTAGATTTGAGACTCAGCTATTCCCATACTTTGTCATTACCAAAACAAATTTCAACATAGACGTCCGAAACACAAAAGCCTGTAGCTCTTCTAGAGTTACTGCCGGTCGCAAGTCTGGGTTAAAGAGGAGGGTTGGGTATGGGATTAGCGACCACATCCTGTAGAAAACTAACTCGCTAAAAATAAGCTAACCATTCTGGGTTGCATACTAAGCATATTTTAATGTATAAAGTATTTATCCGACCACTAATAGAATACTAGACTTTGATTTTCAGTAGTGTAGTTGTGTTTGCATAGACGGTAGACTTAGCTTGAGACCAGTTCAACGGCGATCTACATTCCGCATTCTTGAGAATAACTATAACTTAAACTACAAATTCAGATGCACTAAGCTTAGACTAAACCCTTTGTAAAGGTGAAGACTTGATCTTTTTCTTCAGAATACTAAATAAGCTATTTTTTACATCCTCTGAAGTAACCCATTTAGCCCCCGAATGCCCTGGTGTGGCTGAAAGTGGGGAGAGTCCGCTCTCCCTCTCCAAATGCTCTCACATGGCCACACGTAAAATAACCTCTGCCACTGAAGTCCTACTCACTGCCTTCTCACAGAGGCGGGGGTGTTTTTTACGAAATCGAGAGGACGAAAAGCGAATGTCCGACACTTTAACCGGGTTGGTGGACACGGATAGTCCACATAGGGGAGTTGGAAAACCCTGATTCCAAACCAATGGTGCACATGGGCTCCAATATCCTGATGGAACGAATGGCGTATAAACCTATTGTTGGTCACCGGCTAACATGGGTCTGCATCTCCTCACGATGCTCCACTGCCTTATGGATTAGACATTCAGGTCGAAGGCTCCGGGTGTAGGGCCCCCTAAGAAAACAACCTGTTTCAGTTTGGGCACCTGAATAGTATCACAACCCTCACACAAATCGAATGAGATTTGTGAGGCGAATATTTATTTAGTGCTTTTTTGTACCAATATTTATGTGTTTAAATAAAATAATAAATAAATTAGAAAAGATTAAGTATCAGAAATACGACCATTTAGCGGAAACACCTGATGGTAATATTTGTAATTCTATATAGAAAGTGGAAATGCCTCCTTCCAAATCTTCTTTCCAAGTAGATTATTTTGCGAGCAGATTCTAGAGAATCTGAAAACGTTTTCTACACCCTTTCTACGAAATAAAACCCCTGCCATCATTTGATGGCTACACTAACAGTTACATGTCCTCTAAAAATGCCCCAAAACTCCTCTAACCTATGCGAATGCATCTAATCCCACTCGTAAAATTATGAGCACATTAAGTGTTTAGTCTTTTATTGTACTAAGGATACTTACTAGTCTTACCTTCTAGTGAATATTTTACACCCGAATTATCCCTCGTTAATTTAACTGATCTAAATAGAATCTACATAAATCAGTAGATCATAACACAACTTAGCACGTTTTCAATGGCAAATCATTCACAGTAGTTTTTGCTGACATTGTTCGGTGCTTTATGTGTTCCTTTTCTTTCTCTAATCGTCGATGACTATAATTAATAGGTCTCAACCGCTGTATTACATTGTTGTAATCCTTGTGAAAATGTCCACTGGAGATTATCTATGAACTGTATTACTTCAAACAAGTCTGTCTTTCACTCGCAACATTTCTTTTTAAATCAAATCCCGCTGTAAACATCAACAGTGATGACGATACATCAGCTAAATGTCCAGCTGATAGGTACTGGGGTATTACAACGTAGACCACAATTCGTCCATTCAATATAAATTGAAAATCATATTGCACAGCATAACACATTACACACACTAACCTGGAGACGAAGCTTGATAATTAATCAATTGTTCATTATTGAGGTTGTCATTACAAAAAACAGCAACATTATTATTAATATTGTCATTATTATTATTGGTATTATTTTCATTGACACTACGTTCTGGCACAACAGTATGACAAACAGCTAATATTGTGAAGAATTGATCAACTAATAAATCTCCAGCATTTAATTTATTAATTAGATTTTGATCTTCTAAAGCATTGGAATCTTCAGTACCATTACTAAACATGCAGAAATAAAAGAAAGAACAGATAAGAAACGTAAACATTGTGTGTAAGATAGTTTTTATTCCATTATAACATAATGTATATCGAATTTCGTCAATCAGTCAGTCAATTATTTATAGTCTGAAATATATTTGCTTTGATGATTTAAGTTACCACACTACATTAGTAAGACCAAATGAACATAACAAGCTGAACAGCAAGTGATAGAAATAATGTGCTGACAATGATAATGAGAAGAGCTGAACGCCGAAAATATGGATGAAAAAGACAAAGTGAAAAGTTATGGATGAATGAATAATGGAATTTACGACCTTGAGTGTGATATAGAGTAAATGTATCTATATCAAGTTACCCAAAGTTTTGAATCACTGATATCAATAATCACGAGAACCCTAATCAGGTAGTTTACTTCGCAGAATAATAATCCTTGACTTCACAGACTAATACCAATTTTCGGTATGGCCATTTCTACCTTTCTTCCAACGTACTTCTGCACAAATAAGCATCCCTTAAAAAGAGGTAAAGTACGGCTAGGCATATGCGCTACATATCCTATTCACCTCAGCAAATCGAAGTTCACAACCGTTCGATGCTATTTGATACCTCACCCTCATGCTTGATGCCTAACCTTAACATTTTTCACTCGATAGTTTACACAATACAAAAGCAACCTGGTACAACTGGGCACCAAAAGTAGTATGATGCATATAAAATAGACAGATAATATTGTGAAGAAATAGGGAGAAAGGAAGTACAATCAAAGAACAAATGAACAAGAACAGTATACAATAGCACATATACTTTAAATAAAAAGAAAACTAAAAAAGTTTTTTTATAGTTAGGGGAGTTCACGCTTTTATGAAGCATGTAACAAAAAAGCCACAGTGAGATATCCAGCAATCACAACTGATTAGGTCTGAGTAGTACCATTTATAGGATCTCAACTAAAGATTCATTATGAAATGAATGATACCAGTCCTCTGTAGTTGTCGTTTACACCAAGACTTCATGTAATTAAACTGACCATCTCCCAACTTTTCTACCCAGTCCCAGAGTCAAGAACAAATGCTTGATGCGGAAGCTGGTGGTATGACATTAGTAGATGTGAGAAAGATAATGGAGCAATTAAAACACACAGGAACGAAACAATTATGAGTAAGTTAATCAGAGCACTGAAAACTATGATTTTTTATGAAATTTCAAACAGTGATGAGATAAAATAAAATTCTCTCTTCAAATCTCCCATTTAAATAATAAGATACACAACTACTGACAATTTAAAGCCTGTTATCAATTAGATAAAAGTATAGGGGGGAAGGAGCGTTTAACTGATATTTTATTCTAGTACTTTGAATCCTCGGAAATGAAAAATCAAGACACATGTTTTTCGCGTTTGTTACTAAATTTTTCGGAATTCATCGCAAAACCTGACTTCGATCCTTGGTCAAATTGTATGACTGAGCGCCGAAATATAATAAGAGGAAACACAGATCTAGTGTTGTCTGATTCTCAACGACACGGTTACACTTATGAATACCATCTAAAAATAATTATTTTGTCAAAAGTAACATGTAATTATATATTTTCATAGTTTAAATGACGAACTGATACTAGCTAGACCACCATCATTGAAAAACCTGGAAGCGCTGGACAGCTATTGCGTCCTAGTATGAGACTCAGTAGTGTGCATCCATTATCCTGCATCCAAGAAACGAACTCAGGAACAAGAACAATAAAGATACTTACCCATACATAATACCACCAATTGAGCATCTTTTAAACTCCATTACATTACGAGTTAACGTTCCAGTCTTATCAGAGAATATATAACGAACCTAATGAAATGAAAAATGCAAAATGTGAATTATGAGTGAGCACATCGAGTGTTTGTCCACAATAATAATATATAATTATCTGATACAGATGATACGCACACAAGGCAACCAGTTTGGTGTGTGCCACTTATATCGACATCAGTAGTATATTAACCAACCAGAAATGGAATGTCTGGCAGCAGAAGGTTTGGAAGATCGGATCGAACAGAACGGAAACAGAGAGCAATTGTTATGATAGTGAAGGAAACAACAAAGCTTGAGATACTTGATGGAGGATTTGCAAATGAAGTATGGAACGTAAGGTTTCCATATTATACCAAAGAACTCTGTAATTTTGTATTAAGATATAACTAGTCCCCACCTATGTTCTCGTTTATTACTCTTGATTTGCTAAATATTCTTCAGTTGAAATACATGTACATTTACGAGAGTTGATGGAGATCATTCATCTGTATTTGATGTGAAATATTTTGAAGGTATTTTGTTGCATGGCAATTCGATTATCAAAATATGTTTGCGGTACATGAAACTGTCACCTTCTATACGAGTTAATAATGAATCATAAGCAACATAATAACCGGATATAAACATTCATCAGTTTAAATTGTCACAAAACATAATAACAATGACAATAAATTGACAGAGAATATACGTTGAGAAGTACTAATGATACTTAGAAATACGAAAGTATGAATGTCAAACTTGAAGATGATGAGGAAGAACAAAAAGCGGATATAAATTTTTGACACTGAAAAGTCGAGTCACATCATCTAAATATCATTACTAACAACGAATCCAACACGAGCTTCAGCTTGGAGCTTAGTCTACCCGATCAATAACTCTGTAGACTACTATCAACGTGCTTTCATTTGACCATCTTCAGCTCTTCACTCATGTGTATTTAATGTAAGCGTGCAACTAAACGCTAATATAAACTATATTAAATATATTGATAATCTTGTTTATACTAACATTCACGGAATTACAAATAAACACAAGAGGCAAAGTGATAAAAAATTCATAAAACTTTTCTTACTATCTACTTAGCATTGTTTTAACTAAAACAAAAACTTGGAAGATATACACTTCGTCATACGATAAACATATTCAATTCAACATATCCAATTTATCTGGGAAAGATGATGGACAAAGTTATCAGTGGGTGATGATATTCATTATGGATTAATATCATTTCAGGTACTGTTGGAGACTGAACGACTATTTTGTCCTAGTGGGGAGCTCCTCAGCAGTACACAACCCCATCAACAATCGAACCCGAAATCAGGTCTAGTAAAAAATGCTTGCCATTAAGACGTCTATATAAACATTAAATGATAAACAATTTACAATACAGTCTGAAGATTATCACACAATATCATTGGTGATGACTGTTTTAACCTAGACGATATTTTTTAAATCCATATATGTTACGATTTTCGACCAGATAAATTCTTAAAGTTCTGGCAAATTAGTAGTGATAAGACAGGATGGAAAAGCAAAATCACGTTATTTACTCATTTTTATTTTTGTTCTCCGAAAACAAAACTCCATCAAACACATCAATAAATAATTTTGTCTTTAGTAGATTATAAAGTGATGCTATCCACTAATTCTATGGAAAAAAAACTTGAAGTTCACTTATACAACTAAATTTACAGGATTCGATCAGTACTATGCAAGCACGGTATTCATCAGTACTCAGTGAGCAATCACTATAAACATTTGTTACACAGCGATTCAGTAGAAACGCGAATAGCTCAGTAGTAGCGCCCCAGACTGTGAAGTTAAATGAGATAGGCTCGAAACTTACAAAGAATATTAGCTCGCACATGGGTTGTTAGTACGACTTTTTGATGAGTGCCTATTACAAATCGAATGTGAAATGCCTGGATGCAGAAGGTTAGGAAGACCGAAGAGAAGAGAACGAGAACAAAGAGTGATTGGTGTGGAAACGAAGGAACAATCAAGTCTGAGACAATTGATTGACATTTTGCAAATGAAGTATTTACTGTATGGTTCTCAGGTTTTACCAAGATATTCTGTAATGTTGCTTTGAAGTACATTTGGTTCTTCTACCGGTGTACTCGTTCACAGCACTAACACTAGTCAGTCAGTCAGTCAGCTACAACGTAGGACCAGGCACATTTATGCATCGGTCCCAGTTGCCATACCTCGTTAGCACAACAAGATGAACACCGGATTCATAGAAGTAATTAATTTAGTGGTGGTAGTAGTATATAAATTATAGGTTGTATATAAGGATATAGTACAGGAAGGAAGAGAGATATGAAGCAATTTCAGTCTCAAGGTTTAAAGGAAGATAAAGGGTGTATACACCTACTCCATTGTGATCGATTCTGAGCCATGTCACACAGAGTCTCCAATCATTGGTTACGATAGTCACGCGGACCCCAACTAGGTAGTCTGCATCTGCCAACATGGCTCAGACTAGAAGTTAGTGACTTCATGCTCTGATGCCACGTTTTGGTTTGGCCGCCCCCAACTCTCTTCCAACCATCCCCAATACTAGTCAGCATTGCGCGTCGTGGTAATCGGTGTTCAGGCATACGTAACACATGGCCCAACCATCTCAATCGATGAAGATTCATGACTTCATCACCTGATTTACCATCATTCCTAATACCCTGTGTCTAACCTCACTATTACTTACCCGGTTATCCCAGCAGATGCGAGCAATATTTCTAAGGCATCTGTGGTCAAATACTAGTAACTTATGAGTATCTTCTACTCTTAATGGTCATGTTTCACAGCCGTAAAGTAGAACAGAGCGAACTGATGCGCAGTATACTCGTCCCTTAATTGATAGACGGATATCTCGTCTTCGCCATAGGTGATGTAAGTTGGCAAAAGCCAAACGAGCTTTTCGAATCCGTGCTGAGATTTCGTCAGACACCAACCCATTAGGGCTGATCAGACTTCCAAGATAAGTGAAGTTGTCCACGCGTTCGACTACTTCACTCCCTATCCTTAGTTCAGGTGTTGATGCAGGCCAGTCCTGGAGTAACAATTTACATTTGGATGGGGAGAATCGCACTAACACTAACTTCACTGCACATGCACACAAAGTATAAAATATATCTGAATGAAGATATGCGTAATACTGTGAAAAAGCAGGGGTAGAAGGAATAGGGACACACATACGTACTTGACCTAATTCTTCATTTAAATTAGAAGTACGTGCCATAGCTGGTGTATCCGAATCCGAATCATACATATCCAAATCCTAAGAAAAAATGAAATCAAACCAGAAGTAATAAGTGAGAACTTGAAAAATACAAATAAATCTACGGGATAAATGTAACCAGAAATGGAAATAAGGACATGTTAATGACAAGTCAGACCTAATATATAATAATTTTAATAGTTGAAATCATGAGTCAATTGAAGCTTCCAAGTTTTTCATGGAGGTCTAGCTTCAACTGACTCTGATCTCAACTAACAAAATTACTATAATATGCACATAAAACCCCTTCTGATATTATAATATAATAGTTTGATGAACATTTATTATGATTTAGTTGAGTGTATAAAACATAAGGTTTGTCCACCACTACATTGAATTAAACTGGGGATGAGGCTATTTCCATAACACTTCCAATGCTTAATAAATGTTATCTATCCAGAATTTCCAACTATCCCTTCAGTTTATTTATCGAATGATCGTCGTTTATAGGAGTGTAATATTTTAACATGAAATTTTATTTCAAACGACTTGTTTTCAACTATTTACTGTAACAAATATCATGAATTTTAGCACAACCCAACACCGCAGATCAAATACATAAATATATGAAGCTTGGAATGTAATTCCTTGTGAAAATTAGTTAACAGAATAAGCACCTATGATTTAAAGAATATGAAATGAGCGAAGTTCCTATAAGCGACACATTTATCGAACATTGTAAGCGTTGTGGACAACTTTAATTTAAAAACTGAACAACTTGTTATTTTAATGATCAAGCGCTATTTCTAGGGACAAAATAACTTAGACATTAATCGATTAAATTACGAACTGACCATAGTTAAACAACTGTCGAAAGTTCAGGACGTAAGAAACAACTGTTCTAGCTTCTAATAATTGGCTTAGCAGCCTTCACCACGAGACTAAAAGGTCCAAATTCTAATCCCCATGAGACTGTAGATTTACAATGGTGAAAGACCCATACGAAGATAAAACAACTGAACAATGCTTCATGGAGTTAAGTGGTTCTCTAATTAAAACAAAATTATGATTCAATAATTTCAACAAATTCCTTATACACTAATAACTCCGACTTTTACAAATTTCTTTCAATAGAATGGCGCGATTTATAAATGAAACTGATTCTTTATATAAGAATTAGAGCGAATAGTTTCACAGTATTTGAGCGCCAAGTTGATGTGAGACATTAAATAAGAATATTATATTTGGGAAATCTCAGCGAATGAATCTGAAATTTTACAAATATATTATTGCTTTTTAATGAAACTGATCCTTTTCTTAATATATGACTTCCGATGAATTTCATTTTCTTTCGTCTTTGCATTACTATTTTAAATAGCTCTGACTACTCACTAGCTAAGCTCTTCTACTTCAATGCTATAAATTCCTATAGACACACAACTTGGTGACAACCGTTATTACACAAAAAACCTTTGACATTGGTTTGTTTGTTGCTTGACTCGTCAGTCTCCAAGTAAAAAAAGTACTATTAGTATGAAGATGTTTGTGGAAATTGTAAAATTTTCTGCATTTTAAATCACGAACTGATCTTAGCTAAACCACTAACATTGAGAGCCCTGAAGCCCTAGTTGGTCGTTTCGAACTAATATGGGATTCCCCATCAGGGCAGACCTACGATTTGGGCGCAGTAACCTAGATTCGGTTACCGGATGTGGGGACGTGCTAAGGCGTCCCACACTATGACGGGAGAGTCGTCTAGTGCTTTAAGGTTTTCAATGGTGGTTTAGTTCAGTTAATATATAAAAAATGAATTAATCTAACCATCACTGCATGAAAGCAAAAAGATTGTAGAACATCAATATGTAGGTAGAACTATATGCATGTTATTAACAAAGCCATAAAATTCAATGTTTTAGAGGTTGTTCATTTTTTTAGAAATCATTCACTGAAATAATATTGTACACTACAGTATGTCATGTGATATTATGGAATACTTGAGAAGTAAGTAGGTAGACTATGACTCATAGGAATTGATTATTTGAGTCGCTTAATCATGGTCAAAACGTGGAAAAAGTTAACATTAGATGAAGTAAGTATTGATATTCTATGTAATTGATGAACGGTCTAAGTTAGGCCACTAATGAAAATATGAAACACCGTGATGGACAACGACGAGCCAAAATCCAAGAATCGGGCTGAGGACCTCAGGGCCCGCAGGCAGATCGTGAATGAGCACTGATAGGGAGTTCCAGACCTAAGGCTTATACGCACACATGTTTTAAATCGAATCTCTGGGTATTTTTTAACCAATGATGGCATAAACATGTCAGCTAGCAGTAGTTCTAAAGAACTACATCAATAGCTGTACACCATCGACCTGTCGACAGTACTTGACCATGAAAGTGAATTGCATAGTGTGTTGATGTACATTTAATAAATAGTAATAATAGTAATAATAAGAATAAGAATAATGATAATAATAATAATAAATCTCTAAGAATTATTGGAAGATAAGTCAGTGGATGGTTACTTAACGAAACAGTTAGAGATATGTGTGCAAACGAAGAATTTTTATATTAGGTTTACATTGTCTTAACCTTGATGCAAATATCAGCTAAATAGTCAATTGATTCGACAGAATATTCCACAGAATACTCAAATAAACGACTTTAAATATGTTTATGTGGTATGACAGATACAAGAATGAACTAAGGAGGATGTCTCCAACAACAAAAATTCTACAAACTAACACTAGGAGAACAACACCAGAAAACACATGCGTATAATCTTTAGTAAAAAAAAACATTGACATTTATTTGCGATAAAACGGCGTAGTGCAATTAAAGAACAAGGTGTGGGTAGAAGTTGTAAGTAAACTATATATCTAGAGTTTTTAGTCAGTTGGAGAAACGCAGGATTGCCAACGACTGAAACGGGAATGGTATAAATTATGTAGATCACGAACTAATAATTACATTTAAGCATGATTTCTATGTGATATGACAAACAAATGTAATGCGTTTATGAGGTTATGAAATCTTGATTTGTTGTTTAATGCAATCAGTCTATGAATAAGTCCACTCTGTTGGTGGTTGCCGATAGTCAACTAACCGAATATGGAATCCTTTACAACCACTAACAGACTGAACTGATAACAGTTCTGCCATGGATTTACCGATCAAAAAAGCAGGATAAGACTACTCAATTCATCGACTAAATGAGAATGTTCATCTCATTTAAATTCTACATTGTTCAGAATACATGGGATGGTAAAAGTATAACCAAATGATTGATAAAATTAAACACACATATACACAGTTCAGGTGAATAACAACATTTAGCAAAGTTCATGTAACTAATGTCTTATTACTTTTTTTATATTCCAAAGTAAGTTCACATCAACGAACGAGTGTAATACCTAGGAATCGCTAGTCGATCGATTGGTTGATCGAGGTTCACATTTCCATCATTTAGTGATTTTATTCCGTTATTTAATGAAGATAAACCGACAGTGAATTAGCACCATTAGCACCTACAAATCCCATACTAATATGAAACAGCTCTGTCTAACACTTTCTGGGTTTTTAATGATGCTCTAACTGAGATTTGATCTCTGTAACGAGTACAACTTACAGATTTAAATCAATTTTCACAAACATTTCTTCCATCAAATTAAACTGTAATCTAAAGTAAACTCTACATTATTAGTCAACCCAAGGCCTTGAGATGAATGCACGAAGTGTTCTAGTGCATATTCATCACTGATGGATTTATGTCAACGATGTTATATGTGAGTGAGCTGCTAATCACCGATAACAGCATGAAATACTGTCATGCTTATTGATCGAAGTTGGAAATGTAAGCAAATTTATCCCAACTCACTAAATTGAAGGTAATGCACTTGTCGCTGGAACTGAAATTCATAATTTCCCATTCATGGAATCCCATACTACTGAAATGAAACAGGTATACAATGACCCTTTATCTTGTCTAATGGTATCCTTTCCTCAACCTCAATCCCCTGCTGATATCGTATCCGTAAACAAAAACAAATCGAACCGCATTTATGGATAAAATCAGGATTCGAAAAAACAATCACAATATAATGAGAATAACAAAGAATTACTTCAATTATATGACATACACAACTTAATAATAATGCTTGAACTAAGCGCACAACTTCAAGACAAACTTGTAAACTGATCGGTACCATTGTATGGTACATGATAAATGATGTTATTAGCATATTAATTGCATAACGTAGAGTTGTTTCATCTAGTTTTGTTTAATTGTAGAAAATAAAATAATAGTAATTCCATTGGAATTTGTCATTAGTACACCAAAAGTAGACAGCCAATAAATTGATACATATACGAACAACAGATATAAACGTTTATGTTATGCAGGTAAATTTTATACAATTACAATCAAATATTAGTGTAATGGTTAATTCAATACACACATACGAATACACAAGGAGTGCGATAGGGATTCGAGAGGAAACAATGTGTGAGATCAGAGACGAAAACCACACGTCAATAGGTGAAATATTCATATCACAAAGAGAGCGAGGAAGAGCGAATGGCCAGGGTATGTAAAAGACCATATGCAGCATAGATAAGTGAATAAATAGATACATGGGACGTTCCGGGTCAGAATCACACCACACATACATACAGACATATATATGACAGATGTAATGGACATAAGTTTAAATATAGGAACGAAACAACAAAACATGGATAAAGTAGGATAGGGAATGAGCAGCAGACAACAACAGAAGCCAGATATATGACAGCCACAGCGACAATAGCAGCGAGAACAAACACGGTGTGTAGTATATGTGTATGTACGCAACATAAAACGAAGAAAGCAAAAGATGAAGGAGTATCGTATAAATGTAAATATATACGGAGGGAAATACATTAGAAACAAAACACAGATGACAACAATAAAAACAGCAGTAAAATCAATCGTGATCCAGGACACAGCAAAGTATGCATGTAACGCGTTTAAGCACACACACGGGGTATGTTTTTTGTTATTTACACATACAATTGTAGACGAGCAGAGAAGATTGGCATTTTTTACATAGAGGCAGGAAGAAAGAAACAAAATAAAGAGAAAAGGTAGAGGCGAGAAACACAATTACGAGAGAAAAACAATTAAAAAAAGACTCTGCATACAATGGAGCGACAGTACGTATTTTCTTTACTTAGTACAAAAAGTGGAACCTGAACCAAAATATTGTACGAATCAGGCAAATAAGAAAACTACTCACCCAATTAATATACAATGCTTGGATAAATCGTACAACTTCAAGCATCACTGGCAGACTGATTGGTATGATGGTGTTATACAAAATCAGACAGGTGATAAAATCCAGTAAACGTCGAAGATCGCTTCTAGTATCAACTATAAATAAATATATAATATAAACACAGACAAACGGACTTGGGGCAAAAAGGTGTGGATAGGCGAGGATCGTAGTGGGAAAATGTGGCTAGCTATAGGATGTACCTCAGTTATCAGTTTCTCGTAAGGATATTACATATATATTATATATAGAAGTTGAGCAACCCCTCACTGGCTGTTGTGATCTAACTTATATAACAACGCTTGGCTTTACAAGATACCATCAAAAAACACCCTACATTACTATCATTATTTTTTCAACACTCATCATGAATCAATGATCCACTCAAGTGTCAACACAGTTGGGTGATTCCTTCTAGCAAAGTCGAATTTCTGATACTTAATCTTTTCTAATTTATTTATTATTTTATTTAAACACATAAATATTGGTACAAGGAAGCACCAGATACATATGCGCCGCGCAAATCAAATGAGATTTGTGTGAGGGCTGTGATACTATTCAGGTGCCCAAACTGAAACAGGTTGTTTTCTTAGGGGGGCACACCCGGAGCCTTCGACCTAAAGGTCTGATCCACAGGGCAGTGGAGCATCGTGAGGAGATGCTGACCCATGGTAGCCGGTGACAAACAATTGGTTCATACGCCATTCGTTCCATCAGGATATTGGAGCCCATGTGCACCATTGGTTTGGAATCAGGGTTTTCCAACTCCCCTAGGTAAACCCTCCGTGTCCACCAACCCGGTTAAAGTGTCGGACATTCGCTTTTCGTCCTCTCGATTTCGTATACAACACCCCCGCGCACGAGAAGGCAGTGAGAAGGAATTCCCTAGCAGAGGCTATTTTACGCATGGCCATGTGAGAGTATTTTGAGAGGGAGAACGGACTCTCCCCACTTTCGTCCATACCAGGGCATTTGGGGCTCTTTTCTATTACCAATAATACTGTTGTTAAATCTGCTCCTCTGAGATTTGCCTTGAAAATTTTATCGCGCTGTGCTAAAGAGGTATGGCAACTTGAACCGATGTACACATTTACTGGGTTCTACCTGGGGAACGACTGATTGACTGAGTGCTTCAGACCAATAGAATGGTATTTAACCACATTAAGCTACTCATAAAGGTAATTGATAACAAACGTTCGACGTGTTCACAAAATAAGAATTATGCTAAACTGAAGCAATTTCTATGTACAAGGAAGTGTATAAACACATACACGAAATACAATGAAAAACTTTGGTGAAAGATTAGAGGAATGATATTTCTCCTATAGTAAACCTTAAAAAGGTTGGCATCACTCTTCTATTGTACACTAACGCATAGACCGAAACGCTCTGGTGATAATACTCACATAAAACCGGCGGCCTGTTTGAACATCTGGGCTACCTGTTCCTGTCATCTAGATATTTCAACAAGTTATCTAATTTCGTTTGCTTTAATACATCATTATGCCTATTAATCGCACAACCTATTCAGGTGCGTTTCTGAAAAGTGTAAGACCTTTCGCTGTGAAGGTTACAGAAGGCCTAATCATAGATATCGTGGTTGCTGGTAATATGCATCGAAAAAATGTACATTATCCAGATGTCCATTGAATGGGCTGCTAACTTCTAACTGGCGATCACTCAATATTTATTGTCAGGAAGGACGAAGAAGTAAGAAACGGAAACTTGTTGAAGTACTTTGTGCTGAGAATTCTATATTGTACCAAAAATATAATATCGAATAAAGCTAATAATAATAATTTACGACACATTTCTCATTGTGTGTTTTTCAGCGAGTGAGAAAGACAGAGAATATTTTTTTTCCAATGGTCAGTATGTGGAATAAAGATTAAAGCCGCATGACACCGCTATTAATGTTAAGGCTCTCATTTTATTAAATGAGAACTAATTAATTTACAGTTCGACTTTTAAGTTATAGCAGGTGTGTGATTGGTATGTCGATCACATGTGATTCAGGTAATAATTAACTTTAAATTTATATGCCCCTAGTATTACATCACGTGTTAATTTTCGTTTACCATTGTTAATTAGTTTGATGAAATAGTAGAATGGAGTTGAATTGAATAACAATATCATTTACATTCAAGAGTAAATACATGGTTGTTTAAAAGTGGAAAGTAGCTGACACACATTTATATAATATTTTAAAAAGAAGGATGTTGGGTAGTTATCAGTATTTGATCATAGATACCTTGATGACGCTTCATGCGTCATGGACATTAAGTGACTAGTACTGAAGTTAGATTCAGGGTACAACATAAACTGATTGATGAGATAGTGAATCTCTATCAAATGAAGTGGTTGTAACATGTATTACGTATGTGCAGCCACCGCCTACCTCGATGAACTTTTGTGGTTAACTGTTGTATTTACAATCAAAGACAATAATGGCAAGACTATTAGCTGACTGACACAAAAGAATAAAAGACATTTCTTGATACCTACCCTTAAACTAATGTCAACGAGTAGACGTGCATAATCCACCCCATTTCATAAGTCAAACATTTTATCAACTGATTTTAGTCATCTCACCTTCAATAAAGATTAAAATACAAGTTGATATTCCTATCAAATCTAAGAACTATCTCTGAAAATTTGATCAGATGTAAATCTCAACATCCAGTTCATCATTATTTTGGGATAAATTTTCAAGTTCTACTACTAACAACACATAAGTCGAATATACTTACGTACTTACGCCTGTTACCCCCACATGCAGGAGCATAGGCAACTCAAAGACCACGATCTGTTTCTGGCTTGCACTAACTACCGGCACAGTCATCGCCGATGTGCCACCTAGAGTCCTCCCTCTGCACCTCAAACCCGGACTCAGATTGATCACATCGCGACCAGTTACCACTGGCGTTTATTTATTTATTTAAACACATAAATATTGGTACAATGAAGCACCAGATAAATATGCGCCTCACAAATCTCATTCGATTTGTGTGAGGGCTGTGATACTGCCCAGGTGCCCAGACTGAAGCAGGCGGTTTTCTTAAAGGGCCCTACACCCGGAGCCTTCGACCTGAATGTCTGATCCATAAGGCAGTGGAGCACCGTGAGGAGATGCTGACCCATGGTAGCCGTTGACCAATGACAGGTTCGTCCGCCATTCGTTCCATCAGGATATTGGAGCCCATGTGCACCATTGGTTTGGAATCAGGGTTTTCCAACTCCCCTAGGTAAACCCTCCGTGTCCACCAACCCGGTTAAAGCGTCGGACATTTGCTTTTCGTCCTCTCACTATCGTAAACAACACCCCCGCCTCTGTGAGAAGGCAGTGAGTAGGACTTACCTGGCAGAGGCTATATATTCGCTGGCCATATGAGAGTATTTGGAGAGGGATAGGTGACTCTCGCCACTCTCCGCCGTACCAGGGCAACCACTGGTGTGGTTGTGTACAAGACTGCCGTTCCTTTTGGAGTACCTATTTGGACTCTGATCATGCCATGGTCTGCGCAAATCTTACCTTACTTGTCAGTGACCAACAAATTGACCGTCATCAAAAGATTGATGTTAGTAAACTGGTTGCAACTTCTGTTGCAAGTAAGTATCAAACTGAGCTAGCTTCTACGCTAGATACTCTCCCACCGAAAAGTATGGATAAGCATTGGTTGCAATTGCACGACGCCATGGAAACAGCGAGCGAAATCGCTTGTGGTTTTGCGGAACACCCCGCTTAGAAGCACTGGGCTTCTTCGGGCTCCTTAGAACTCATTGAGACCCGTCGGTCTACTCCGGATGACCGTGAGTTTGACCACAAACGAGGGCTGTTACGCAACGAAATTGGGCAAAGCTTGCGCGAGAACCGAGAAGCCTAGTAGTTAGGACGTGCCAATGAGTTAGAAGCAGTAGCTGAATCTGGCAACTGCAGGAAGCTCTTCCAACTCATACGAGCCACTGGCAGCAAGAAGTCTGGTGTGAGTGAAACAATCTGTGAGGATGACGGGATGCCAATCACTAACACCTATCGACGTCTTGGCGATGGGTGGAATTCTTCGAAGGGAAGTTCAACCGGCCTGCTGCTCCCAGAACATCGATCAGATTGACTTGCCCTCCATGGCCAGTGACGACTGATCCACCAAATGATGCGGAAGTCCGCAAGGAACTCCAACTCTTGAAACGCTACAAATCGCCGGGCCCAGATGACTTACCCCCGGCTCTTTCTAAAGATGATGGTGACTTTCTGACTGAGGAATTGATTGTGTTGTTTACAAAGGTTTGGGAGCTAGAGATTGATCCAACGTCATGGAATGAGTCGACCTCACGGACAGCTGTTAAATGATCCCCATGCAGGGTTTCCAGAGCGTAGGGAATGGCGGTGTGGATCTGTTGTCTGGAGAAAGACACCTCGACCTCGAGTATGTGGATGATATTGTCTTACTGTGCGATGATGCCCAAGCCATGCAATCCGCACTTAATCAGTTGGCAATCAGTGTCTGTAGGTATGGTATGTGCTTTGCACCTTCAAAGTGGAAAGTACTCCTACAAGACTGACAGGTTTCTAATCCTGTACTCACCCCGGTTGGTGAGCAGATTAAAGTAGTTAAGAAGTTCGTGTATCTAGGTAGCTACATAAGTGCTGGTGGTGGCGTGAGTGATGAAATCTATTCACATATAGCGAAAGCCACAGCGGTTTATACCAATCTGGGCCATCTCTGGCGCCTTCGTGATGTTAATCTGGCTGTATAAGGTCGGATCTAGAACGCGTCAGTGAGAGTAGTTTTGCTCTATGCTTGTGAAACCTGGCCTCTCCGAGTTGAGGATGTTAGACAACTCTGTGTTCGATCATCGTTGTCTCCGAAGGATTGCTGACATCCAGTGTCAACATCATGTTAGTAATGCAGAGGTTCGGCATCGTGTGTTCGGGCGCAGAGATGACAATTCAACTGGTGTCACTATCTTGAAAATATCGACTTCAGTGGTTTGGACATGTTCCATGAATATCGTTCCAGAGAATTCCACGTCGTGCATTATTTGCTGACGCCGGGACTTGCTTGAAAAAGTGGAGAGGTGGTCAGTGTTTGACGTGGTGTCGTGGTATGAAAGAAAGTTGTACAAGACTGGCTTCTGTTGGTCATTCACGACTCCCTGGTTGGGGTCCTAGAGATGGTGCAACACAGTGGCTGGAGACGTTATCAGACATGACTCAGAATAGAAGCCAATGGCGATCCTGCTGTTACGTTATTTTACTTTCTTCATAAATAGTGGTCATAACTTTATTAACTGAAAGAATTCTTCTGATTGTATATGTTGAGTCGGCTTACGGAGAAGTTTGATGGAGCCTCCAGAAGCCCAAAAAGCAGCCGAAGAGCCCCAGCCAATCAGAGTACGATGGAACATTCTAGAGTTCCAACGTGGCGTGCTACTATTGGTCGGTAGCATAATATGTCGTTAATGGATTGGCTGAAATATGATGGTGATTTAACATACACTAACATCTATAAATACTCATGATTTTCTGTACAAGATTGAACCTTGCACTAAAGCGTATCTCTCATACTCGTGTCTTCTCTCTGGTGTTCAAGTCGCTGAGTAGTTCTAGCCTGTGGGTTACCAGAATAGCTTAGGAAGCGAATATGGCGTTCAATCGACAAGACTTATCAGTATATTTCAGTTTCCTCAACATTACTTTTATTTTTTTTATATATGCATCTTACCCCTTTTCTCTTCCCATTCCCATTGTTTTGTGTGGCGCATATATACCTGGTGCCCCCTTGTACCAATATTTGTGTTTGAATAAATAAATAAATAAATAAATAAATATAGGTAGTGATGTTGTGTGATCTAGATACACCAATAAGCGAGTTTAAATTCATCTATTGTGATTGTAGAAGTTATTCATCGCTTTTTAATAATGGTTATCAAGACGATTGATGGATAAAGCCTATGTAATTATCTAGAAGCCAAGCCATTACAACTTCATGGAAGATTCAATTATTCAGAATGATCGATTATAACTCAGTAATCAAGTACACGAATGTATAAACTTAGCTTCAAGCCATAGACTTTTGTGCAGAATAATAATTCATATCATCACCCGGTTGACTAAACGTATGTCGGTGGAACAGCGTTTGAACATTCAACCCAATGTGTATGATCAGCCACTTTCACGGAACACGAGCCAACAAACACTTTAGTAATCTCTACTGTCTAGTGATTTGAATTTATTTACACAACAGAAAATGAATCACTTTCAGGAAGTAAATCAGTCATGTTGTTATCGATGTTCTTTGGAAGTAAAACAGTTATTATGTGACAATCCATATTCACAAATTCACTAAAAAGATACATTGTGTGCTATTTCTTGTATTGTAAGCAAACAATTGAAAACTGAGCATGAAGTGCTTATTGAACAAGCTATTCACAACGCATCATATGCAGCGACCATGTGAAAAGTGGTGGACAACGGGTAAACATGTATAAGGATGACTATCCTTTTAAAATGTTCAAAAAAAACTAATATCTAGCACTTCCGAACACTTCCCCGTTCATTTAGAGTCAATGCTGCATGTAAGAATGTGATTTTCACTGCAAATTTTATTTCAGTCATCTAAAGCTATCTATATATGTCTTCTGTGAGCACGTCACTGTAACGTTTCATGACTTGCTGGATTAAACAAGTAGATAAAGAGAAAGTTACAATTCGAATTCGAACCCATCAAGGAAAATTTTGCTTTTAAATGCAGCATTCACTCACCGAATGAATGGAAAAAGTGCTAGATATTATACATTCAGAAGCGTACGCTCTACAAATTTATGGACGTGTATCAAATCTCGTAAACAGCTCATTAAAGATCAAAAAGTATACCCATACATTGCTATTAAAATTTTCGCATCAGTTTAGAACTTCTATTTGTTGGCAGATTCAACTGTCAACAAAGAATCAACTTCTTCAGTGTTAGATAGAACTTCACACAATAACAGTGAGAAACTTGGAATTTCAAAAGGATACATACATACATAATCGTATGAAGTAGAAAATTAACAAAGGTTTCGACAAGAAATCCGAACGAACTGATATTACCACCAATCAATTAACATTTCCACCCAGTTCAGAACATCTTGGCAATAAGCTCACATACATGACTCTATACACAGTGGATAGTATTAGCTACATGTTTACTTAGTAATAAGCACGATGAACTTATATTGATGTATTGAAATCGGCATTCATCTTTTAACTTCATTTCAGTTCAACACCGAACATCAGCGGTACACACTTACTCCCAACGTAGCGATTTGAGATCGTGAATTCTTTTGTTGATGAGTATTCATTGCTGTATAATGTTGATAAACTATAAAGTGAATCCGCTGATATTTTAACTGATGTCAATATTTCCATAAGAAAACAGATTTTCAGGAAAAAACATTTTTAAATCCATAAGGATTTCTACTGTAGAACTCATATAAATATCAACGGTAAACATAAATAGATCAACCGAAAATAAATTATATTATTGTTGAAACATACACACACATACCATTTTCTTGTAAATACCACATTTTTTTCTCATTCCATGATGTCCAAACTAGATTTGCAATAAACGTGAACAAAGTCAAGAAGAGCAGTACACCGAACAGACATAAGATCTAGAATGTTAAGAGAGAAAAAAATAAGCAAGATGATAACAGTGATATGATAATCACATTACTAAATAGTATGAATGAGGTGCGTAGATAGAAATATTCACATCAATAATAATGAAAGCTTTTTGTATAAAGCACATGACTTAATCTAGTGGCCTGGAGCACAACACCAATCAGTACTATCCATTTATAAAGAATACCCTAAAATAGCCCTGTACAAGGTCACTCAAGTGGATATAATTGAGCAAAAAGGAAATGAACTGAAATAAAAGTAATAAGTAAAATGTTATAGAGAACACAATAAGTAATCCATAATTTCCAGGACAAGTGAATAGCAGAAAAATAGAAACAATGCGTTTTTTATTCACTACTGTAAATAAATAAACTATTCATTTCTTGAACAACTGAAGGATTAAAAAACATTACGAGAAAGAGTAATTATTTAAAATGATATTACGTCACAGATATCCCCTGTGACATCGGATGAGTTGAATCTGATGCTAGGATCTACCTAGATGACCACTGTTGATGAATAACTATTAACTAGGAGGAAAAAGCTTGCCCTAGTGCTTCGTCATTTTTCATGATTACCTTCACAAAAAACCGAATATTGAAAATTTATATATTCTATTTAGAACAGATTGATTTAAGTTAGGTTACGATTGAAAACCAGGTAGGATTGGGAAACTTTTCTGTTCTAGAATAGGATTCCTCAGCAGTGAACAACCACATCGCTATTACGAATGGAAGCTAGCATCTATAGGTGTAACAGGTGGAGATTAGAGACGTCTAGAATTAAACAGTTGTTACCAATAATTTCAAACAGTAGCAGATTGATTGAATTTTTAAATGTGTAGTATCAAACGCTAACTCAACGGTTTTAACGGTTAACCGTGAGCTATCATATCTGAAGGTTTCGGTTTCGATCACTGGTAGAGTTGTAAACCAGGACTGTTGAGAAATCCCATATTAAAATGAAAAAGCTATCCAATATTTACTGGTTTCAATGGTACTCAACTGAAATCAGTTTGTGATAAATATAACCTGCATATTATTGGAAAGTTAATGACTTAATCGACATTCACAATTTTTAATACTATTACTTATATAAATGGAATTTATCATTTCTCAGTATTGTATACCATTAACATCTCGTATTAACCATAATTCGATTTCATTGGGTCTAAAATGATGCTTTAAATCATTGATACTACTGATATTTCGACTCCATTTGATATAATACACTTAGTTAATCTCATTTTATTGTATGGATGGAGGGTAACAAATTGAACTGATCTATGTATTTATCATAGATTTAACGTTGATTATGACTAACTGATTGAAAGAACTGTAGACCACGTATTCGAAAAGCGATAATCCAATGGTTGAAATTCATAACTTTGATACATTAGACTGTTGGTTCGAAATTTGTTGAAACTAGGCCTCAAAGTTAAACACATAAATCCGTACTTGGTCAATAAAATGTAAACCGGTTTATATGTCTTCCACCTTTAACACTAACATAAATTGAGTAAAATTAATGGTGTTTAAAAGTTGAAAGTATTAAGACATTAAATAGGAATAATATATTTGTAAAATCTCAGCGAATGAATTTGAAGTAAATCCAACGTTTCGCCTGGCAATCTGGTCCAAGCTTTTTCAAGGAAATATAATCAAACATCAAAATTATAGAATATAAATAGGTACATGGTTCTCCGGTTCATTGTGTACTGAATAGGTCATCCAATCAGCGTTAAAAATGTCTAAACTAGGTATATGTATTAGTGTGTAAGAGACTTGTGATGTGAAACGAAATGTGTTAAGATATATACGTAAGTGGTGAAAACATACAATTTTTCGATATATGATATGAATCATATATGTCACAGCATGTATAAAATGAAGATAAATAAACAAAATAAAAGAATGAAATTTGAAGAGGAAGAATGTAATTTGAAACTGAATATTCGTGTTATTTTTATGTTCCAATTAATTGTTTAACGAATTCCGATAAGACAACTGATTAGAATCATTGAATGTAATTGTCACTCAGATAACACGTGACAGATTATTATAAGCTTCGTTTTGACCTACAGAATATTATTATACGATTTACTGTTCCTAAATTCTGTTCACTTTATAGATAACCGCCTCCCACGTTCACAGCCACTTTTTGGCTTGAACTTGTATGTTATTTCCTATTTTATGGTGTGATGCGGTCTGTTCGCCTAGTATAAAAACCAGGTATGCTTGAAGTAAATGATTTGCATAGTGGGAGCTGTTATTGGCGTTCTGGACTCAACTGGACGGGCTATGAGAACAGAGGACCAATAAGGATGCTTATACCGATCGAACGTCATTGGTCTGGCTCAGTACTAAGATTAGATAAGTCGTATAAATGTTAGGGATACTACCCCTAACTCAGGGTCTGAAAAGTTGGAAAACGAAAATTTCGCAAATGCGATAAAAATGATCTTGGTGTCTTGTAATAATATTCCGACATGAGACAATGGGATGTAAGCGTTCTTAATGCCCTAACACTTGAGGCTGGGCTATTTCGTTTACTACCTTACATATGTGTTGAATGCAGCATAAGCTATATTGTCACGTAGAGCTGAAGGTCTCATATGAGACTGGAAGTTCGTCATTGACATTGTGGATGGTTTGGCATAACTTTGGCAAGTTTTGCTGACTGTTCATGAGCGAAATTGGTTTGCTGGTTAACCGATTTCTTTGATACTGGTGGTTGCTTTTCAGTATTCTCAAAGGTCATTGTCATTGGAACATGGTAAGGCATGTCGCCATTGCTAACAGTAATAAGTTTGACTGTCGTGTAAGCAGAATGGGACAACTTTGGCCTGTTGATGCTGTACATAATTGATTTACGCGACCATTGATCGGAATAATTATACATGTGATGTGAATGTGTATATGAATGGTGCGAATGGTTCACCAGGGTGTTTGGTACCTATGTGGTTGCGCCACAGGATTGAGCTGTACTATTCAGATGGCAGCGTTAAAGCCTATATGGTTTCTGGCTCTCCTGTTAAACGAGATCGAGCTGTACTGTTTGTGTTTTCACGTGAAAGTCTGGATGGTGTCTGGTTCTCCTGAAAATCAATGCAAAATTACCCTAGCCCACAAGGGTATATTATATAAATTACTTGTATAAATGTTATTTCCTATTTTATGGTGTGATGCGATCTGGCAGTGAGTAGGACTTCCTTGGCAGAGGCTGAATACGCGTGGCTGCGTAAGAGCATTTCGAGAGAGAAGGCGGACTCTCCCCACTACCGGTCGTACCAGGGTATTTGGGGGCGCAGTTATATTAGGTGCACCCAATATTTATCTATTCAAATAAATAAATAACACGTGATAACTAGCCGGGTTTAAAGTTACAACAGGTAGTTCAATTGAATACGTGTTTGGTGTCTAAAGAGAAAATTGGTGGATTCGAAACACAATGTGAACACTAACAACACACTAAGAGTTTGAGTTACAGCCAGTAGATAAGTCGCCAGTGTGACGAAACCACGTCCCGGATTTCTCTGCTAGCCACAACCAATTTGTTAAATAAGTTTACTTCAAGTTATTGTTTTACACTATTTGTAAAATTTCTAAAAAAGAAATTGAAAATTGGACATTTTGAGAGAGGAGGAAAGATGACAGAAAACAGAACAAGCCTACTCACATAGTTATTAGTTTGACGTTCAACTGTCGATCGTTTTAAAGGAGCTGCTGTTGAATTCAACATCACTTTAGATTCTTTACCGGTATACACAGTTAAACCTGTAAACGACAAAAATGGAATGGATAACAATAATAGTGGTATATTCTGGTTAAACATAATGGTGTTTAAGCACATAAGTAAACTGAAAGTTACATGACATAAAAAAGCAGCAGTGTCAGTTAATTGACACAGTTTATTATTATTATTATTATTATTATTATTATTATTATTATTATTATTATTATTATTACTTAAACACATAAACATTGGTACAAAAAAGCACGAAATAAATATGCGCCACAAAAATCATTTGATTTGTGTGAGAGCTGTGATACTATTCAGGTGCCCAAACTGAAACAGGTTGTTTTCTTAGGGGGCCCTACACCCGGAGCCTTCGACCTGAATGTCTAATCCATAAGGCAGTGGAGCATCGTAAGGAGATGCAGACCCATGGTAGCCGGTGACCAATGACAGGTTCGTCCGCCATTCGTTCCATCAGGATATTGGAGCCCATGTGCACCATTGGTTTGGAATCAGGGTTTTCCAACTCCCCTATGTGGACTATCCGTGTCCACCAACCCGGTTAAAGCGTCGGACATTCGCTTTTCGTCCTCTCAACTTTGTAAACAAAACCCCCGCCGCAAGACGTTAATGAGTGGGACTTCCCTGGCAGTGGTTGTATGCACGTGGTCATGTGAGGGCATTTAGAGAGGGAGGGCCGACACTCCCCACTTTCGGCCAAACCAGGGCATTCGGGGGCCACAGACAGTGGTTGGCTGACAAACTACAAACTGTGTTGTTCTTGTTCTGTATGGGAAAAAGGGGTGGGAAGCAAACGAAAGACATGCATACAGACTAACAGTAAATTGTGGTGAGAAGGGAACTTACCAAAAATCCATTTTGTATTCTTTAATGATGCGCCTCGTAAAATTAGTTGTGTTGGATTTAAAGGATGTGCTCTATAAAAATGAAGTGTAATATATACAATAATCTCTAAGAGATATTTTTAAAAAATTGATTATTATTGATCAGCATTAAAACGAATTCGTATAGAGTAAACGTAGGACACAACGTAGGACCAGGTACATATATGCATCGGTCCAAGTTGCCATACCTCGTTAGCACAACAAGATGAACACCGGATTCATAGAAGTAGTTAATCTAGTGGTGGTGGTATATAAATTATAGGTTGTGTATAAGGAATATAGTACAGGAAGAACTACAGACATGAAGCAATTTTAATCTCAAGGTTTAAAGGAAGATAAAGGGTGTATACACCTACTCCATTGTGATCGATTCTGAGCCATGTCACACAGAGTCTCCAATCACTGGTTACGATAGTCACGCGGACCCCAACTAGGTAGTCTGCATCTGCCAACATGGCTCAGACTAGAAGTTAGTGACTTCATGCTCTGATGCCACGTTTTGGTTTGGCCGCCCCCAACTCTCTTCCAACCATCCCCAATACTAGTCAGCATTGCGCGTCGTGGTAATCGGTGTTCAGGCATACGTAACACATGGCCCAAACATCTCAGTCGATGAAGATTCATGACTTCATCACCTGATTTACCATCATTCCTAATACCCTGTGTCTAACCTCACTATTACTTACCCGGTTATCCCAGCAGATGCGAGCAATATTTCTAAGGCATCTGTGGTCAAATACTAGTAACTTATGAGTATCTTCTACTCTTAATGGTCATGTTTCACAGCCGTAAAGTAGAACAGAGCGAACTGATGCGCAGTATACTCGTCCCTTAATTGATAGACGGATATCTCGTCTTCGCCATAGGTGATGTAAGTTCAGGTCAGGTCTTGAGTGCTGTTAGAGGTATGAGGGCAGTTATCACTTCCCGGTTGCCCACACCGTGGAAGGGTTCTTCTAGAGGTACCTGAATAGGAAATCGGGTTAGAAGTGGTCTTAATGACCTGAGAGCGTGACCGCAGTGTTGAAGGGACAACTGCTTGAGGTCGATCACACACGACCTTTTTGTGGGTAGTTTTTGTGTTAGCTCCATTCTTCAAAAAAAACCTTACCGCCGGAGACGGAAATCCGTGGAATAAGGAAAGGTGTGCATTTTTAGGGCCGACCTTTTCTAACCCCACCCTCCTTGTGGGAAGGCAGCATCGCTGTCATGCTGGTTGTCTGAAGGAAACACCTTACTGCCGTCACACCTCTGTACAGTCAGCAGTACGACTTCGCCTTCGGACCTTGGGTTTGCTGCTTTTAGTCTCACCGCTCTTCAACCGACCTGTCTGGCATGGTAGGACCTCGAGGAACGACTGTTCCAGCCAGCATAGCTCGATTGCTTCATCACGATAGGCAAGCCCGACCACCACGTCAAGGTAGCAGCAACGATCGGGGGTGATGTAAGTTGGCAAAAGCCAAACGAGCTTTTCGAATCCGTGCTGAGATTTCGTCAGACACCAACCCATTAGGGCTGATCAGACTTCCAAGATAAGTGAAGTTGTCGACGCGTTCGACTACTTCACTCCCTATCCTTAGTTCGGGTGTTGACGCAGGTCAGTCCTGGAGTAACAATTTACATTTGGATAGGGAGAAACGCAACGCAAACATCCTGGCATTATTACTCAGTTCTAACAAAAAACTCTGCATTTTGTCAGCGTCTTCACCAAACAGGACTATGTCATCTGCGTATTCTAAGTCGCTTAGTGGTCCCCCTGGTAGGAGATCAATTCCTGAAAATTCAGTCGACGAGAGTGTTATTTCCAGCAATAGGTCTATAATGAAGTTAAACAAAAATGGGGATAGTGGACAGTCTTGTCGGACACCACTTGAGGTTGTGAAACCAGATGACAGTTCTCCATAAGCTTTCACTCGACTAATAGTGTTCGAGTAAAGAGCCTTTACAAGGTTTATGTACTTCTGAGGTACACCTTTTAATGACAGACACTGCCACAGAACCTCTCGATCTACGGAGTCAAATGCTGCTTTCAAGTCAAGAAAAAATATCATTGTCGGACGCCGATAAACGTGTCTGTGCTCTAAAACTTGACGAATAGTGAATATGTAGTCGATGCAGCCACGACCAGGTCTGAAGCCAGCCTGATTTAACTGTGTTTGCAGTTCACGAGTCTTAGTTAGGCGCCCGATAATTATTGAGGCTAGTATTTTAGATGCTATGTTAGTCAGACTAATCCCTCTATGGTTATCACAGGATGATTTTGACCCCTTCTTATATATTGGGACAATCAGAGATTGTGACCAGTCAGATGGGATTAAGTCCAACTCCCAGATTTTAGCCAAAATATTAGTCGACCTAATCGCTAAAATTGAACCACCATATTTAAAGACCTCTGGAGCCAATCCATCTGGACCAGCTGCTCTTTCTCGTTTCAGATTAGTTATAGGTTTTCGAACTTCAGGTAGGGTCGGGGGCCTACTTCAATGTTCTATTCAGACTGTCTGGGAATAGTGGGTAGTTGTGCAGTAGCTGAAGGCCAGCTAAACCATTCTTTAAAGTGTTTCGCCCATCGTTCTAAACGTCTGGGCTGAGAGCAGATAGGGGTTACGTCTTTTTCCGAGATTGTCTCACTTACACTTGACTTCTTAATTCCAGTTTCTTTTATTAATCTGAAGAGTTGCCTGATGTTGCCTACAGCCGCTGCCTTTTCCATCTCTTTTGCTTTCGTTGTCCACCACTGCTCACGATCATTCTTTAGACTTTTAGTTAACCTAGATCTAATTTCTTTACGCTCTTCGTCATGTTCAGAGCCTGATGGGATGAGTTAACGCGAATCCATCAGTGAAAAAGAAATCCATTGGTTCTTGGGAACCCTATGGTTTAAATTACTAATAGATGTTACTGTTGTTTTCACAGCTGTTCGTATATCTTTCCAAGCAGCATATGGGTCAGTCTCGTTTGCAGAGCTGCGTAGATGTGAATTCAGTTGTTTCTGGAATTTACATTTGGCTTTCTCATCCTCTAGTTCAATCCTAATGGGTCTTCTTAGTGTAGTTTTCCTGCGTCCAGTGAGGCGCAGACTAATGGGTGCTAGGATTAAAGCGTGATAAGAGTCTGAACAAAAATTCCAATACGAGCGACAATCTTCTATCGAGCCTCTCCAACGATGACTGATGACAATATGGTCTATTTGAGTCCATCGTTGGTTTGATGCAAGGGGTGCCCGCCATGTTAGACGATGTCTCTCCTTATGCTTGAAATTAGTGCTTGCTAAAAATAAATGATTGTCTGAGCATAGTTGAAACAGACGATCTCCATTATCGGTTCGCTGAGTCGGAATACTAAAATACCCACCTAAATGTCTTTCTGTTTGATTCAAACTGCCTAATTGGGCATTAAAGTCACCCGCTACGAGCACTATGTCTGAGCGCTTAGCTTCTTTAAAAAGTTGAGAGAGCTTTGTGTAAAAGTCATCTTCCACATCATCCGCGCTGCAGTCAGTGGGAGCGTAGGCAGAAACGACGAGAAGGCAACGACGTGTGTCTCTATCCTTCCGAGTTCTTACGGAGCCATTAGAAGGACAGCACACAGGCGACTGTTAACGGGGATCCATTTTAGTAATGCTTGTTCTGCCCTTGTACTAAGTGCTATGCCTACACCTGCAAGTCCACGAGAACGAGTCATAGGGTCGCCAGATACACAGAGGGTGTATTTCGTTGGCTGTCCATTTTGGCGAGGTGAGGTCAAGTGAATGACCACACTAGGATCCTGTATGCGTGTTTCGGAGACACAGCATACATCAATGGTACGAGATTCTAGGGTCTTAGGCAAGGAGGCCTGTTGACCGATTTCACTTAAGGTACGTACGTTGAAGGCTCCAATGTGTAGTTTGGAGCGAGGTTTTAGTAGACCTGGGACAGTGTTTCGCGCATTAGAATCGTTGGCCACGGTGACACCTGAGCAGGGAACCGAGTGAGGAAGTTTAGTGTTGAAAGTCGAGGTAGAAGGAATAGTAGGAATTGAAAGAGATTGATTATGAATTTATTTATTTATTTATTTAAACACATAAATATTGGTACAAGGGGGCACCAGATATATATGCGCCACACAAAAACAATGAGAATGGGAAGAGAAAAGGGGTAAGATGCATATATTAAAAAAAAACAAGAGTAATGTTGGGGAAACTGAAATATACAACCAGAAGAACTCTTTCAGTTAACAAAGTTATGACCACTATTTATGAAGAAAGTAAAAAAAGGTTACAGCAGGATCGCCACTGGCTTCTATACTGAGCCATATCTGATAACGTCTCTAGCCAGTGTAGCACCGTCTCTCGGACCCCAGTCAGGGAGTCGTGAAGGACCAACAGAAGCCAGCCCTTTGCAGCTTTCTTTCATACCACGACACCATGTCATACACTGACCACCTCTCCGCTTTGAATAGGAATGGTGAGGTTGGGCGACCCTGTCTAACCTCACTGCTTGAATGGAACAATGGAGAAAGGTGGTTGTATGCACTCACTCTCCGGTTGAAGTTCTAGAGATCGTACAACTCACTGGGCTTGAGGAGTTATCAAATGTGGGGTTTCAGAATAAAAGCCAGAGACGATCCTGCCATGACTTTCCATTACATTCTTCATAAAAACGATATGTCCTCCTTAACAGAATAACATCTTTTACCAACACTATTCTTGTTTGTTTATTAGTTGATTGGACTATCTCTTCTTTTATTTCTTTTGTGTAACCCTATTGTATAGCGATTCGTTTTAAATAAATGAGCAAAATAAAGGGAACAGTGACTCAAGTCATTCGAATCGAATTTAATGCTTTATGGTTAACAGCCGTAGTTGACTGGCAACAATAAATGATTTTGTTGAAACCACTAGAACATATATACTATACGTCTGCACAACTTTGGATGCTGTCTCGCTTTGAAAATAATTGGAACAACCAGATATTTTAGAGGGAATTTAAAATAATGATAAAATGCACCCGATATACGATAAAGTGACAGGGCATGTGTATAATTAAGTACAAAAATAAATAACAATCTATTTGACTTACATTCCATCTGCAGTACGAATAACACCAACAAATTCATCCAACTTTCTATTAGGTGGTTCACATTCAACAACTGCGTCAAAAGAGCTTAATTCTCCAGCAGTTAAAAGATGAGTTGTAACTGGTAGACCCTTCAACAAAAATAACAAAGGGCATACACAAAAGAAATGAATGCATGAAATGACGAAATCATAGCTAAACACATCTAGAGACCCGAAAAGTTCGATGGTTACGTTTCGAACTATGAGGTTGGATGATACAAACTAGAATCCTACAGGCGTGCAACATTCGGTCACTAAGTTTCAGGTTCGAACTTCGCTTCAGTATGGGGAACTGAAGATTACAATTAGCCCTCAAATTTAGAGTGTGATTTATGCCCAAGTACCGGGTGAGTGAGACAGTTTATTATTTTATAAACATATATACTAGAAGTTAGGTTTAATATTAGAACACCAAGAAAAATTCAAGGGGAAATTACATCACCTGAAGCTGTACAATCGTACTTATAGGTAATTTTTTAAATGTAGTCAAGAGTAAAATAAGTGAATTTTACAAAATTATCACAGATAGTCAAACTTGGGTTACTTTAAGATGTAGATTTTATCCCAATTCAGTGATCTGAAGATCAACCACTAGCCGCGCGGCCTGAAGGTCCTCGAATAGAGTTGTCAGTGTGCGCTGCTCAGGAGTACCATACTAGAAGGAAACAGATATCCAGCGTTTCCTGGTTTTCAATGGTTGTCTAATCAAAATCAGTCCGTGATGTAAAACTATAATATATGTTTGCTGATCTAACACGGTATTTGAATGAATGAATGAATATACATTCTTTTCATCACATTAATTAGTCTGTGCACATATAGTTTCCGTATTTTTCAAGCAACTTCCATTATGAACTAATATGAAATGGAGGATTTATGAGGATCAGAGAGAGAATGAGTATTGAACAGTTTAATTTGCTTACAAAAACAAATTATGAATGCAATGATTTGATTTGTGGAAAAAAAACAGACAGCCAAAACAGTCAATATGTTAAATATTTCATGCTTTTAAAATACATTTTAATAACTGATTTCATAAAATATTAATCGCGTGATAGCAATACGTACTTCAAACGACCGTTTGAGTGTAGCATATGAGAAATAGACATAAAACTAGAGAACACCGATGGTTGAACAAGATCCACTCTGAAGAACATAAGCATTAGATACGTAACACATCGGGATTTCAGTCACAAGAAATGTAGAACCTTGTACATATACCCATCGGTCTAAATGGACATACCGTATCAGCACAGGAAGATGAGATTATCAAGACAAACGCCAGAGAAATAGAAAGTCACTGTCGGTGGTAGTAAAATAGTTATATATAGACAATATGATCCAAGTAGAGGGGATGAGAAGTATGGGACAATTTTAAGAATCAAGACCTAGGAGGAAGATAAAAATTGAGTGCATCTGAACAGTTGTGACCAATTCTGAGCCATATCACCCATCGGCTCCAATCATACAACTTTAACCAGGTAGTCTGCACCAGCCAACACGGCTTAGTCCGATGTTCAATAGCCTCATGGACTAATGTGATGTCTCAGATCGGATTTAGTTTTCTTCCAACCTATTCCTACACCAGCCAGCACCGAGCATCGAGGCGGGATACGGTTGGGCATATGTGAGGTGTTTAAGAGATTACAGGTGAAGTCATTTTATTCATCAACTTTTTCTGATAATATAGGTGTTATTATACTATTTGAGGATACGGAGATTACTAACAACAACATAGCAATTGACCAGGATGGTTTAGAAATTAGTTTGCGTCTAAAAATAAATCAAACTCTCATTATTGAAAGACAGAATTATTTAACTTACAAGTGAAATAGTTACGTAACGATTTATTACAAACCTACTTGGCGTAATTTCAAGTTTGTTTCTCCATCTAGATTACTAGTTTCAATATAGCACATAGCCTGAGGTTCACTAGACGCCAGAAGGACAAGATCGGCAGGAATCCCCTCATTACTGAGAACTTTGACTAAATCCCCTACCTCCAAATCTTTCCAACATATTTTAACCCAAACGTGATTACGCAATACTGTGAATTAAATAAAAATACAAACCTGTAAGAATATTCCATGAAAAAATACATGATAAATCGTAACATATGTGGACGACAAACTAATCGCTTATCGAAAACGGACATCTTCAGTTTACATATACGTAATATATTTAAAACTAAACTTAGATACCATTCACAGTACTAAACCATTAAACAAGGAAAACGGGGAATGTGAAGGCTTCATGATTAAACCACCAGACTACTCAGTCGTTACGCAAGCTTTGCCCGATTTCAATACGTAACAGTCGTCGTTTGTGGTCAAACTCACGGTCATCCGGAGTAGACCGACGGGTCTCAATGAGTTCTAAGGAGCCCGAAGAAGCCCAGTGCTTCTAAGCGGGGTGTTCCGCAAAACCACAAGCGATTTCGCTCGCTGTTTCCATGGCGTCGTGCAATTGCAACCAATGCTTATCCATACTTTTCGGTGGGAGAGTATCTAGCGTAGAAGCTAGCTCAGTTTGATACTTACTTGCAACAGAAGTTGCAACCAGTTTACTAACACCAATCTTTTGATGACGGTCAATTTGTTGGTCACTGACAAGTAAGGTAAGATTTGCGCAGACCATGGCATGATCAGAGTCCAAATAGGTACTCCAAAAGGAACGGCAGTCTTGTACACAACCACGCCAGTGGTAACTGGTCGCGATGTGATCAATCTGAGTCCGGGTTTGAGGTGCAGAGGGAGGACGCTAGGTGGCACATCGGCGATGACTGTGCCGGTAGTTAGTGCAAGCCAGAAAAAGGTTGTGGTCTGAGCACAGTTGCAGTGGACGGTCACCGTTATCTGACCTGCGACCAACAAGTTCTCATCGACCACCTAAACGACTCTCTTCTATGCCTTGACGCCCGATCTAAACATTCAGGTCTCCGGATAGTACTACAATGTTTATCAAACACACTTTATGTAGAAGAACTGTTAACTGATGGTCAAATTCATCCTTTATTGCACCCGGGCTGTCGGAGCATAGGCGGAGATGACGAAAAGACATCGTTTCTCAAGCCGATAGTTAGTTATGTCCATAACTAACGAATCAAATCCTTGCTCAAACGCCCACCACGTCGATGTAGTCTAATGCATCTGTAGATTATCCCTGTTGCATGTAACCTGCTAATTGAAGGATATTATTAACCTGTTATATCAGTATGACTCATAATTTTTATTCTTCTCGATAAGACAGGCAATACTGGTCGGTATGTTTGTACGTTCCACTAAATGACTATAATTCATTTAGTTGTTGTACTAATTAAACTGTTATTTTTACGTTTAGAAACAGACAAAGTTTAAGGCTAAGTTGTCCTTGTTCTAACTATAACTTCCACATAGACTCTGGGTCGTCAGTATCACAGTTACAGTTCTGGTAGAATGTCTGTAGAACAAATTAAATCCTACACCGATTTATTCTCACTTTGATAGAACTTTCTAATCTAACAGGACACATAAGCGACTGTTAATGGGAATCCAATCGATCAGTGCTGCTTCGGCCCTAACACTTAGTGCGACACCAACGCCAGCGAAATCAGACGAAGATGCCAAAGGGTCCCCGCGAAAACACACGTGAAACAAGCATTTTGAAGCGATAGATGGAGAGCGAATTTGTAGTACTTCACCAGTCTTGAATACGGGTTTCGGATAGACAACAAACGTCACTATTAAGACTTTATAAAGGCATAGCCAACCCTATCTGTTGTCTTATCTGCATTAGTGTGCGAATGTTAAGGGAGGCCAGTTTGAATGGTATACGTGGTTTTAGAAAGACTGTGACAGTATTCGTATTCGGTGGTAGCATTCAACATTCGACCAGTCAGTGACTCATGATCGTTTAGATAGGACAGGGTTCCCATCATAGGCGAGCTGCTGTATAAGTTGAGAAATAAGGATACAAAAAATGCGAATAGAAGAGAGTAGATAAATAACGTAGTATACAAAAAAAATAAAAATGAAAGTGGATTGTCTCCATTTTAATTGAAGCGAGAATAGTATTCCCAGTATTAATTGCCATTTCACTTCACTTGTGTATGGGATGTTACTACCCGGGCGCCCAGACTGAAACTGGTTGCTTCTTTCTAGGGTCCACATGAGGAGCCTTTTAGCTAAAGGTCTATTCCACAAGGCTGTGGATCAAAATTAGTTAGATGCATCTTTATAGCATATCAAACCGAAGTAGATCAGTTGACCATAAGTGTTATAAAACTATTGATATATGTCCATCCGTTTAGTTAGCCGTAACACAAAAACAGCGAGATAATATTATCAAGACAGTTTCCACAATCGTATAAGTAGTAACATGTTAACAATGATCAGACGCAGACAATGTTATCAGAGATGAATAAAAGAATCTACAGAATACGTGGTATAAAATAATTACAAAACTTAAGATCTAAGGAAATGTGATTTTGGACCTGATACATTCTCTCTTATACTTACCACTAGATCTGGACATCCCAGACACTCACAGAAGCATACTAGAGGGGGAATAGCATAGGCCGTGGGCCTTCTGTCTGAATTACAGTGATGACAAAATGCTGATAAAAAGCGATTTGACCCAAAGACCTATTTTCATATACCTACAAGGCAAGGTTTGCCAAACTACCCTCTATTGAATGTTGTTGCGTCACAGAATGTAGTGAAAAAATATGGAATCAAAGAACACCTAACGTCATAACTTTTAAAAATGGCTTTCAGTGTATGACACATTCTTTTTGGCAGAATTATTATTAACGGTGCTTACCCAAAGTCTCCTCGTTATTTGTAGCGTCATCAGCACGATGTCGTCTCTAGAATCGCAATGTTAGTCAGTTAAAAAAAATAGCATACAAAATCCTCTATCACTTCTTTAATAGCTGAGACAGTAAGTATGATGCAGAGAGGTACAAGGGTTGTGAATCTTCCAGTAGGTGAAACACCAGGAATTTGCTAAACGAAGTGACGTAACTGTATTAGGAAACTACCTGGAGAAGAGCGATAACTAAGAAAAATATGTTTGCATATCTTCGGAACTGCTCCGTCACGAATTTCGGAATAAAAGTGAGGAAATTATATTTTGCAGTGCTAAAAAACAATGGTTTTAGGAAAGTATTATATATCACCTTATATTATTCTTACAGTAGTTGACCAACTGGGGTTTATTTACTTGAATAATGCGACAGCTTTCAGTTACTGGATGACTAGGACTACTATTCCGACTTTTCATTTCAGTGTAATCCGGTCGAACTAAGGAATGAAAATAAAATTCGACTCCAACTTACCTTCTGTTACATCCTGTGGAATCATTCGCAAGACAATGCGGCTTTACTCAAATGCCAGCAGTTTCCCAGTGACCTTGAAGTTGCAAACGTCGTGCGTTACATCCAGAGTTGATTTGGGCTAAATGAAAAGCATGTACGTTCCCGTGAAGATAATCTATCAGTTTGAAAAGATTTACAACCTATCTCAGAGATACTTGCTATTAAGTTCAAGCGAAGCCATTTTAGCAGCTAATAAATCCCCAAAATCAATAGCTTTCATTAAATTGCTTATACGCTTTCGCAGGTGTATGAGTTTATTTACCTTTTTCGCTCGCTTTGTGTCTTTACTCAAATACGAGTGTATTTGGACATGCACTTACATATTCTCTTATTCTTTTCCAGGATGGCTGCAAAAGACGATAAAAAGAACGATGAAGTTCACGAGGGACCGGAATTTCGATTGTACTTTGTTTTACGGGTCATCACTACCTCGATAGGGTGGGGGGAGTGATCTTTAGCTGTAAATAAAAATCTAAAATCATTAGCTCTGTAAGTGTTGGACATTGGATGCTGACAACATTAGTTTTAGTGAACTCATTTAGCTCAAGGAGCTTGGTCATGCATCCCCATCCGATCATGAGTGGAAACGCTGTGCTCAACATCCCCTGCGATCGCTGGCCAGATTGGATCAGTGGAACCACAATATATTGATAATCAAACCTTTCTCATCCAGGTGTTCGCGCGTCCATCAAGCTTATAGCCGAACGTTTTTGCTGGCCTGGCATGATTAAAGACGTGAGGGAGTGGGCACGCTCTTGTGTAAGCTGCCAGAAATCTAAGGTAATCAGACACAACAAATGTCCCCTAGGCTCGTTTAAAACCCCTAATGCTCGTTTCGACCATGTTCATTGGCATTTGGTAGGACCCCTTACCAAATTCAAATGGATAATCTTATAATTTAACCAGCGTAGACCATTTCACTCGATGGCCAGAAGCAGTACCGATTAAGGATATTACTGCTGAAACAGGGGCTCGCGCTTTCGTCGGAAGATGGGTAGCAATTTTTGGTTGCTTTTTAACCAACACTACAGGCCGCGGACGCCACTTTGAGTCTGGACATTTCCGTTGTCTGACCAAACTATTAGGATTCACCCGTTTCCGAGCGACCGCCTACCACCCGACAACTAAAAGCTTCACTATCAGCTACAAAGGTCTCACAATGGACAGACGCTCTTCCACTCATCTTGCTAGATATCCGCACTACAGTGAAGGTTGACATTGGATACACTGCATCTCAACTCGTTTACGGAACGACACTCCGACTTTCTGGAGAATTTGTGGATCCTTCGGCCTCTTCATTGAACATGGATCTAAACTCTTACACGAGCGGGCTTACAAACGCGATGCACTCAGTTAAACCTGCTTACACTCGACCGCGATCAACTGATGTTTTCGTTCAACCTGAATTACGACATAGTGCACATGTCTTCGTTCATCGAGACTCACATCGACGACCCCTCGAATCAGCATATGAAGGACCCTTCAAAGTTCTTCAGCGTGAACCTTAGTACTATATAGTCGATAAGAACGGCGCTAACGATAAAATCAGTATCGATCGCCTGAAAGCAGAGTACTTAGAAGGAAACCATAGCTACGTCGATTTTCCTTCACTACAATCGAACGACACGGATCCTACACTTGTAGTACCCCACATGACAGCCTACACACATGTTGATACTTCGTCAACATCGAAAAACAAACTTAAGACAACGGAAGAAGAGCAAGATTTCCAGAACATTTAGACGACAATCGCACGCAGGACACAAACTTTATCTCAAATTTGCTTTGCATTATTTACTCTAAAAAAATTTTAATATGCTCATTTTTATATATTTATTTTTAAAAAAACCACATTGTTTTTTTGAGCGTATATATTTTTTATATGAAAATGAAACCAATTTTTTCTTCTCAATCGCTTTTACGCTGTCGTAAGCGTATTAGTTTATAAACTTTTTCCCCTCACCTTGTTTCCTTACGCAAGTACGAGTGTATTTCGACATGCACTCGCACGTTTTATTTTTTATTTTCCAGTACGGCTGCAAAGAACGATGAAGTTTATGAAGAACCGAAATTTCGATTTTACTTTGTTTTACGATCACTATATTGTACTTCACAGCCCTCTATATTAAGAAAAGGCGACCAGACGTTGAGAAACATAGCAAGCTATCTGGCTGACCATGTCGCATGGTCATCATTACCTCACTAGGGTGGGGGGAGTGATCTTTAGCTGTAAAAAAATCCCGCAAATCAATAGCTCTGTAAGTATTTGACATTGGATGCTGACAACATTAGTTCTAGTGAACTCATTTATATTTCATTTGTATTCCGATATACGAAAATGTATCCTCTCTTGCAATGACAAATGTGCATTATAACATATAGATCTAATTGAGTAACTTGTTAAAGCATTTGTAACAATTCAACCTTGCCTGTAAACCGGCATGATTCATGTAACATATTGGTGGTTGAAAATATATTCCTATTATTATAATCATTAAATATAGCATCTGCAACAACGAACAATAGTCAAGAAAGGAGAAATTGATCATCATTTTCCTGATAGGTTACCAGTGAGTGTAAGAAGCTTCCAGTAATGTGGACCTGTGTGAGCAGCGGATGTTATCGTAAGAAGAGTCGATGATGTGATGTACAAACTAGATGTTAAAGACAAATGCCTAAGTCCACATGTAAACCAAATCCGCGATAGGCAATTTAACTCGGACTTCGAAACCCTTAGCCCTTAATTCCAACCAGACTACTAAATTGATAGAGTAATTAAGGATCTGCAAGATTAGAGTGGAAGAGCTTATGACCAGACCCCAAGACGTCATCAGGGAGATGACGTTTTCGTGCCGGTAAGTAATCGTCGTTCAATTTGTAGAAAAAAGCAAACTAGAAGTGTATAGTTCTTTATTTAGCTCATGGAAAAGTCACAGTGGAGCGTTAGGTGACCTATTCAAACACACGAATTTTTAAAAATTCAATGCAAGATAGGAAATATAATGCCTACACAGAATAAGAAAGTGAGTGAATGAATACTTGAGTTCTGTTGTTTTCGCAGATAATTACTTGTTTGAGGTCAACTCTTAACTAATCAACCTATGTTGTTACATTACAGTTTTCGCAGAATCGAATTCCAAAAGCGTTATATCCTAGCGAAGACATGAATACGGGTAACTTCCGGAACCTATTAATGCACGATTATTCTATACATATTGTTACGTCCTTGAATCTGTCTACCTACTTTAGTGGGTTGTTATATCCCGATGAGAATAACGAATGGAAACTGTTGGAATCTATTTCTGGACTAATACTAAACATATATTTTTGTATAATTGTTAAGTAACTAAACTATTTATATTTGTGTTTCTCTTATTATAAGCTTTATTTTGACCTATCAACTATCATTATACGATTTACCATTCTTGAGTTATACCCAGTCTATCCCAAATTCATATCCACTTTTGGCTAAATCTTGTACAAAAGGTATTTTCTATTTTATGGTACGATACGGTCTGTTTGGTTAGTATATAAACCCAATATGTTTGAAATACATGATGTATATCACAGGGGCTGAGATTGGTGTTCTGGACTTAACACGTAGGGCTAGGCAGGAAGAAAGAATGTAGTGTAGTGCTTCGTTAATCGATCGTCTTGATAACCGTTATTATAACAATCTGAACGGTGTATAATATCAGAAGACAAAGGGAAGCAGCAACTACATTTTTATTGATAAATAACATGGGCTAGAAGGCAGTGAGCACATTAGCAAATGTAAGCAAGCGAAGGAAAGATGACGCAGAGTGGAGATGACTGGGAAGCCAACTCGTTATAAGCAAGCATTAATCAACATTTATAGTCAGGCTAAAATGAATGACAGACATGTGATAGGTAGGATAAGAAGTGTGCATACACATACGCTCATATAAAAAAATAGTCAAGGTCAATAAGGGAATAATTAATATGATCAAAATATGACTCATAACGTTATAGGTGAATTGGCTTGTCCAGAAACTAGAATAAGCTATGTAGGTGTAATATAGTACACGACGTTACACTACTCCCCACATAGCTCCCCCCCAGAGTGTCCGGAGGAAACACTGTTATGCAAAATAAACAAGGGGGAGGAGGTGTATATGCGTTCACAAACCAAAATTAAAGTATTAGCACATTAATTTGAAAATAACACTGAAATGGCATATGGATAACGTTAATAATAGGTAGAGAAAAAATTGTACTATATCGAATATGTTACAGTGTCAATCGAGGGGCGAGTTTATTAAACGAAAGTGTCACACTTATGTGAAAATGTACATGAAAATTGTCAAAATGAGGACAGAAATGGAAATGTTGGCATGTGATTATGAGTAAATTAGTAAGCGTACAAAAATATTAACATGCATTTATGTCGTCACTGTCCGGATGATAAAATAACATGTTTGTATGAGCAATTCGAAATATCGTGAAAATAGAGCAATAAATTGTTTATGGGTATGACAGCGGAATAAATCGTGGAAATAAGTAATGTAGAATATAATTAAAATTGGTCTGTAGTGCCAATTGAATATGAGAATGAAGAACAGTGAAATATGATGTTCTGATAAGTCGCAGTAGAGTAAATAGAGTCGCTTAGCGATGAGTGTATTCGAATTTACATAACTGAAGTTTACGTGGGATAAGAAGTAATCCAGCCGTAGGAAGATGACTGCATCAACAGGTGGTATTCATTGCTGTACTGCAATTGATTATGATAATAAAATGCGAAATCAGCGTGCGCTAACGCTTGCGTTGAGTTATCGTTAAATATGTATTAGTAGAATGACCAGAGGAACAGGATAGTGACTGCTTAGACGAGATATGCGGAGTCGTATTCCTTTATGGTCATGCAGCCTAGCGTGGTTTGTGTAGTTAGAGGGATATGCGCTCAACCTCATTTGTTACGAAACCGTTTTAAGGCATGATAAAAATACCAATACATATGATTGT